CGTTTCAAGGGTCTCGTTTCCAAGTGGTGGTGGGGCACCAAAGGACAGAAAAAGAACAAAAATAACGGCCGGGAAGTTATGCGCGGCGATGTCATAGGGTTACATGGGAGTCATAGTTTACTCGGGAGGGTGAGGACGCTGGCGTATTTAGCCAACGAGAGTCCTCGGACGAGATCATCGTCCCTCCTTTTTTTGCGTCACTGGTATCGATTGGGCACGGATGATGATTTGTGCTTCTGGTGTTTTGGTGTCCTGGTGTCCTGGTGTCCCGGTGTCCTTGGCGCCGAGTATCCTGACGCTGCGTTTCTGGGTTGTGTGAATTGTGAGTTGTGATGGAGCGTTATCTCGATTGTGATACAAAGTAGATTGAACGTCTTTCTACCTCCGTTTCGTTCCTTGTTCTCTTCGATTCTTAAAAAAAAGGCACATTGGGGGAACGAAACCGAAGATATACTTTGCGAAAAAAACGTGGCAGGTCTTTAGCGAGGAAACACGCGGATTTAGCAGCCACAGCGCAGGAATAGTTGGGGGCCAAAAAGACAACCGGATTAAGCGGAAGGCAGCTCGATGTTACGCCAATCTGACTCTCACTGTTCTTCCGTGCTCGACTCGACCCAACTGTCCGTCCGCCTCCCCTTCCTTGTCCCTTGTGTACCTTTCCAACCCTTGATTGATTAATGCCATCAAGCTCCGGTATCAACGGCATCAACGGCATCAACAGCGTCAACAGAGTCACGGCGTCAGGTATCATCGCAGAAGAGGGGACTTGGATCCTGGTCGACGTCAAGCCTCAGGGCGTCTCTCTTATTCCCTGGCTCCCATCATCCATGTAACCTCCACACACACACACACAACGCAGCCTCATTTACGCTGCAGCTGTACAAGTAGAACACGCATAATAACATCACCGTGCCTCCCAAACGTCAATCGTTCTCCACATTGTCCCCTTCACTCGACATACACCCACCCCCCATCTCAACTCTTACGCTTTCCCCTTTCCACGGCACCGTTTTTGAACCCATTCTCTAGGGAACTAGCCCACCTCTTCCCCCCCCCCCCCCCCCCCCCCCCCTTGCCAACGGTAGAACCCGATTTTAGTATGATCCGAGAGATCCAAAAGACTCCGAGTCTCGAACATGCCCCCGTCTGCACTCCAGTAGTGTACACTTGCCTACTCAGTATACACACTCTCTCGCCGGCATTAGCGGGGGGAATAATAATCTCCGTGACGGCGGAGCGGGGCTTAACAGGACCCCACAAGGGTAGGAACCGAACACCCACCAAACTTGGCGTCCATCGTCATCGTACGGTTCAACGTTGGGAAACCCACTCGCGCCGGTCTCCCCCGCGTTTTCCCTTCCAACTCGACGGAGGGTTTCCTCCGGCCCACAATAAAATGATCCGTTTGCCGAGCACGCCACGAACGGTTGCATTCCAGGCGGGGAGGGGAGGGGGATTCTCTCTCTTTCAAGAGCAACCAACCAACCACTCGGTAGTGATAGAATCTGGACTCTGCGGTAGACCGATCGCCCGGTGGTGCATTTGTTCTTCAGAGTGTCGTTTTGGTAGGAACCGTTCGATTCAGTCGGCGAACTCCCGGTGCGTTCCCCTATGAGATCAACGAAACACTTCGACCCCGAACAGGCACATGGCTGATTCCATTTTGTGCCTTCCGGGATGTTACATGATTATTGAACCAACTGTCGACTGGACTCCGGGTTAACTGCTTGACCCCGTTCCAGCAAGATATCGGAGCCGATCGTCCAGCACTCAAAAAACCCCGTAAGCTATCATGCCACCGGACTCTTTATGCCCAGGACACGCGGTCGCCATTCGTTGCGAGAACGTGGAAAACCTAGTGTCACACATTTCTTGCGGGAAATCTCACAATCCGGCAAACATTTGGAACGCAAGGCTCGCAAAGAGATGTATGTGGGACAGACACCTTCTTATTCCTGATCCGCTGTATCAGAGAGACACGAGCACATCATGCGGAGACATTGCAGATAGCTAGATAGACACGGTTCTCGGGATGTGAAAGCACAGCCGCGAGTCGTTTAGTTCGCGGACCTACAAGCGAGTCAAGAGAATATGGATATCGAATCCCGCAAACACCGCCTCCAAGGAAGAGCACACATCCTGAGATGTCCTGCATCCATCACCCTGAGGAATTGCCACTCGAAAAGGAACATCGTTCCATGCAGATGCTTGGCATAAGCGAGCTAAAGTATAGAGTATAGAGCTGTTTAGCCTTTCGACGCTGATGGAGTCATTCCAAATAGGCCCCCGCAATGAATGCAATCTCCTTGAAAGGTAAACTAGTCGCTTCCACCGGTCCAATGTGAGAAGCCTGCTTTCACCGCCGCTGTACATCGGTCTACAGCCCAGCTGACTGCTGACTGGCGTCCATGGCACGAGGGCTGATACAAGGTGGTAGCGCAGGCCCCCGAGCAGGACTTGGAAAGAGCCAAGAACTTCGTTACTTACTACATCCCATACCCTGAACCAAGAAGTCAACGGCGCACGAGTGGCTTCTATCTTCGAAGTGACGTAACATTGAGCCTTGCGTTAGCTGTAAAACCGGCGGCTTCAAGATCCATAGCTATGCTACTGCTTGGGAACCCCAATGCCACCCCTGCTCCGCCCTCAGCTGCGCCTGCAGGGCTAGTCGTGGTTTTTCCCCCCTCCTCTGGGAATGGAGGGAGGGCATCCAAGGCCTACTCCCCGATAATGAAAGGCTTCTAGAAAGGGAAGAAGAGGCAGCTAAGGTGAGGACCGGCAGGGAGCTGCAGGAACTAGCATATGTATGTCCTACACTGGTAACTGCAGCCGGTGGATCTGACCCGGAACCCCAGACGCGGAATCTAGGCTGCTTTCCTAGGTAAGCCTATCGCCGTAGTTACCTCATCTCCGTTATCTTCTGTACCCGTCGTATCCATTTAGAGCTGCAGTCAGTTCATAGACGCGTGGGCGAGAATGTTAGCGATCACCATGAGGGCAAGATTTGGAGATAGGTATATGTCACCGCCGTTGAGAAATGCCACTTATAGGAGGCCAGTGACAAGCTAGGCCTATAAGAAGCTGATGAGAGGGTGACAGTTAGCGAACATTTTCACCTGAGCTCCTATGCCACGACAATAAAAAGGGGAGGAGATACCTCAGCTCCAGTCGTGGCCCGGGATAACCACCTACCCGATGTTAATTCGATTAAAGTGATTGTTGCTATCTCTTCAATAGAACTAAGAAGCCTTCCCCCTAACTCCCTTTTCGCCCGTTCACGCACTGAGGGACCTTTTCTTTGGCCCTACGCGGTATACGCCAACCCTTCAAGGAGGAAAAGGAAGCCGTGTACTTGGTACGTCTCGGTGGCCTTCCCTCGCAGGACGGCAGGCCTGGGGCCACCCCGAGTGGGTAGATTTGGCATTGGCCGTATTCCTTTTCGTACATCGTGTGTCCTACGCTGGAGGCCAGGTAGGACTTGGCGATTCTTCGCCCCTCATTCCCTCACGCCACATTTCTAACCCTGATAAACTTACGTGGGAGAATGGATGGAGATGACACCTGCGATGGGGTAGTCTCACGATGCGAATTGCTGTCCTAAATTTCCCGGTATAAATCCTACCTAACAACCTACCGTTTCATCGAGTATCGCGGACCGCGAACCTTGCATTGATGTTTCCGTATATATATATTGGGATCGGTAGCTGCCAGGCTATCTGGCAAAGCCCAAGCCCAAACCTCATTCATTCCCAATCCTTTCATTCCATCTTGACTCCACGGTGCCCTCTCTCATCCCGTGTAACCGTTTCAGTCCACGTCATCCAGGGTCCTAGCCATATGGCCTGGATTTCCCAGTAAAACCCATCCGGAAGGCATGGCCACTTTTTGCCAGAGGTCAAATCAGTACGCCGCGGTATCCCTGGAATATACCTTGGATGGAGGTCTCAACTCACGTAGAAAGGTTGCCTAGATCCAAGCTATTATTACTGCTTTCGAGTTTCGAGCCGGGACGACGCTGAGAGAAAGCCTAGTTTCTGGAATTTAAGGCATCAATGAACCGTGGCTCGTGCTCCATCGCCCGTAGCGTACCGTGACATCCACGAAGCTAGAACTGGAGGCCGTATTCAACATCACCAGACCAGCCTCGAAGGGAGCTTCCGCGACACATCGGAACAACCCACTCACCTGTGATATTGTCGATGCAATAAATGTACTTCTATATTGCAGAAGAGCCTCTCCTTTTCGAACCCTATTAGGCCATAGAACTCTGTGATTCGTTCTAGGCTCCATGTTCCATGTCAAATCCGGGAACCAAGGACCAAAGAACCCGGATGGCTCATATTTCCCATTTCGGGTAGCTTCAACGCGCCATCTTCGAGCCAGAAATAAGCTCCCTCCATAAAGGGGGATAATGAATTACTGAATTGACATCGGCTGCATTGCCGATGCTTTCTAACTTGGTTGTACAGAGCGAACGATATCCGATGCACAATACAGACGAATCGAGCTTTGGAGGGAGGGTGTTGATCAATAATCAAGACCCTCCTCGGCGTGACCGCCCCTCCGCGTCTATGTTCCCATCCTCCCCCATCCTCCCCCATGGCCAGTCTCCAGGCCAGACCGAGCTGCCCCCCCGCCAAGGCAGCCTGGGCCAGCAGGGTCATAGATATAATAATAACCAGAATCCCTTTGTGCTTCTGCCCTCCTTCAATACGACCTGGTCCAGGCATAAACCACTAGCGCTTCAACCATCCCACGCCGAAAGGACCCTTATGGCCCCCGATATAACGACCCAGCTTTCCCCAGAACATTCCTCACCCACGCCGTACAGCTGGCGGTAGAGCCAAAGAGAGATCTTCGAGAAGAGCCCGCGGTCCTTCTTCCTTCCTCTCACTCACTAGTAGATAAAATCCTCGATGAGAACTAGAAAATAACAACCCCATAACTCCGAGTTTGTGAGGCACATATATCCCCCGGAGACCATGGCGATGGCCATCAAGATGCCTCCTCGACCTCTACGGATCATCATCGCGACGGTGTTCCTGATATTCATCACCCTCATCTTGTTCAAGAGCGACTGGGTATCGATAAATGACTTGCCTCCGCCGACGCCGGAACGACAACATGACCCGGCCCCATCTAAGCCCGAGACGACAGAAACCGAAACCTCCGGATGCCACTTCCATGAGGCGTCGCTGTACGTTTCCTCTTTCTACTTCTTCATCGTTTCTTGCAAACCCCTCGCACCCACTGCTCTATTCTTGAGATTTTTTCTTTCCATTCCATCTGCACGCCAAAATCATATTAACAGGTTGAACTTCGTGGATAAAGCGTATGCCTCGTTGGCACGACCGAATATGTAGTCAAGACATCCGCGACACCAACCACCGACGCGGAACCGCCATCGTTCACCGGCTGTCACAAACACGGCTCAGATCTGTACGCTTTTTCTTATCCTTCTTGGTATTCCCTTGGTATTGCCCGGTGACCTAACCGAGAATTACACCTCATTTTTCTACCTTTAGCTTCTGCTTCGGTCCGGACGGTGATGAAGTCCAACTGGTGCTCGCATCTGATGCCCCCGCGACGGGATCGGAAGAGCATCCCGACGAACGGCATTGCCACTTCCATGCTGGTGTCGAGTAAGTTGAAGGGCCTTCATATCGAGGGAGCAACCATTCTTTCTCTCCGTCTTTCTCTCCTCTGACAGCGGAAAACTGGCAGACACTGCGTTGGACCGGAGCCGAGCACACCGGGGGAATCGGACGAGGACCGATGTGGTCGGGTTCAGCGAGACTACAACGTTCCTTTGCGGCTCGTACTCCTCGTCATAATATTGGTCACCAGCGCAATCGGTAAGATGATTTACCACAAGGCTCTCGAGGATCCTCTCTTAGAATGAAAACTGACTCAGACCAGGCGTCTTCGGGCCTATATTTCTATCCGTGTACTTGCCTCCCAAGTTCAACATCGTCCTGGCCCTACTTAAGCAGTTCGGCACCGGCGTTGTTATCTCGACCGCCTTCGTTCATGTCAGTATACTGCCAAACCACCATGACACCCCAAACAACGTTCCGGACCTGCGCCTCCAGAAACTGACATTGCTTGAATAGCTGTACACCCATGCCAGCCTCATGTTTTCTAATCCATGCATAGGAGACGTCGGCTACGAGGGCGTAGCATCCGCCATCCTCATGGCCGGCCTCTTCGTCTCCTTCTTCATCGAATACGCCGCTCACCGGATTGCCGACCTCTACATGCCAGCTAAGGACGCGACGGAGGGGAACGCCGCTTTGAGCCGCCAGATGATCAACATTTCAGTCATGGAGGCAGGAATTCTTTTCCATTCACTGCGTGAGTATATTAATATTGCCAAAAAGGATCCCTCCGTTAAAACCTCTCTGTTCATGACTATGGGGCTGATTCGTATCGCACACCCGCAGTAATCGGCTTAACCCTCGTCGTCACAGGAGACGCCTTCTTCATCACCCTCTCCATCGTAATCATCTTCCACCAAGCCTTCGAAGGCATCGCCCTGGGCAGCTGCATCGCCACCCTCGGCCACGCCTCCAACCTCCAACTCTCCGTCCACTCCCACCACCACCACTTCCCTCCCGCCGAGGAATCCGGCCTAGAAGACGACGATTCCCTCGCGACCGCCTCGCCGGTACCGCTGCGCAAGAAGTTACTCCTCGCTAGCGCCTTCGCACTGGTCACGCCCGCGGGCATGGCTATAGGGATCTGTGTCCTGAATAGCTTTAACGGGAATGACCCCGCTACGATCTGGGCCATCGGTTCGCTGGATGCCTTTTCGGCGGGGATTCTCGTGTGGGTGGGCATTGTGGAGATGTGGGCTGGGGATTGGATGCTTGGGGGCAGTATGGCGCACTCGAAGCCGGTTGTCGCCCTGCTTGGGTTGGCTTCTCTTGTTTCTGGGATGGCCTTGATGAGCTTCTTGGGGAAGTGGGCGTAGAATGTATCTTTGGTGCCTCAACAATGATCACGACAAGATAGCGGAAGAGTTCTCTGTCGACAGCTTGTCCCTTTTCTAGGACCTGGGGGTCATAATAGGAGCCCCGGAGGAATCGTGTGAACTGGATCTACCAAGGCACATGTTACAAGCGGCATCGTGGACATCTCCCATTGAAATGCAAAAAGAAATTATTGAACAACCTTGTTAGGATAAATACCTCCCGTACTCTTCAGTCAAGAGTTCAACGTCCGAAATCTATCAAACACACAAGTCCTCCGCGCCATGTCTAGTGGACTAAGAGTCCACCTCCCCTCCCCCAATTCCTCAAACAAAAAGCGCCTCAATGACATCCAACCCACACCTCGAACAGCAAGCACAAGACAGAGTGACCATAGAAACACGCAGCATTTCGAACAAAAAGACAAGACGGGAAGCTGAACGAAAAAGAAGGAGGAATCTAATAAACACTCTCGAAGCGTCTAACCGATAATAATAAAACACAATGCCTTCCCTTCCTTTTTGGTTTCCGAAATGATGGGCAGAAAAAGCGAAACAAACGAGAAAACCATCCTTCCAACCTCCTAATACACTTGGCAAAGGATAACAAAAAAAAGAATGATCTCGATCTCTCTTGTAGAACAATGCGCCGTTCCCTTGGCAGTAATGCTCAAAACAAAAAGGAAGTGATAAAAAGAAGGAAGCAAAAACACACACACAAAACACCCCTGAGCCATATCCATCCTCCCTCGTAGTTAACAGCAACCCGTCGATTCCCTACCCCCTCATCTTTAAAAAACTGTGTGAAAAAGTAAACACCCTGGTTTCTGTTTTTTTTTCTTCTGTTGTACATGGTTTGTGTTTTGGAATTCTAATTTCAGTGGCTTCCAACTCCTCCTCGGAATCTCCAGCCCCCCTCTAATGCTTCAAGAGTTACTCGTATCACGCATCAATCTCCCCATCAATCATGGCAAGACGTTGCTTGGTCGTCTTCGCCTTCTTGCTGCCCGTACGTCGTTTCTTGGCCGCCTTGGTGTCAGGCTCCGCCGCCACCGGCGTGGCCGAGCCCGAAGCCTTGTTGTCGTCGAAATGACCCTCTCCTATTGTAATTCCATCGTTAGTGGTCTGCTGCTTTCTTATTTCCTGCCGAGAAAGACGACACTTACCCTCGTGGTACATCTCGTCGAGACTGACACCACCATTGGCGCCTGCGTTATCAACCGCCCTCTTCCTCTTACCACCCCTCTTCTTCTGCACCTTGTCGTACTCTCCACTCTCCAGCAGCTCCTTCTCGCGTCGCTCAATCATCTCCGCCTGCTCGTCATCCGCAAGCCACATGGCGATGTCGCGGTTCCTGTTCTCCGGCGCCCTGCGGCCAGAGAAGTCCACGCTGGCACCACCACCTTGGATGACCACGCGCTGTACTTCTTCCTTCTGGAGTGCCCTCTTGCGGATACGCTCCTCGATCGTGCCGCGCGTGATGAGACGGTACACCGTGACCTGCTTCGTCTGACCCAACCTGTGAGCTCGGTCCATGGCCTGCGAGTCTATCGTAGGGTTCCAGTCGGAGTCGTAGAAGATGACCGTGTCGGCCGTCGTCAGGTTGATACCGAGACCACCGGCACGCGTGGAGAGCAGGAAGATGAAGATCTCGGGTCGAGTCTGGAAGTCGTGCACAGTATCTCGTCGGTCCTCGAGCTTCGTCGATCCGTCCAGACGGCAGTACTTGTAGTTGCGGTAGGTCAGGTATTCCTCCATGAGATCGATCATGCGAGTCATCTGGAAGTAGAGTAGGACACGGTGACCCTCGTTCTTGAGCTTGAAGAGCAGCTCATCCAGCTTAGCCAGTTTGCCGCTGTCAGTAACAAATCGGCGCATTGACGGAACTGTGATGTTGTTGAACCGCTTCTTCTCGTTATCGGGCGCAGGGAGCATCTTAGCGGGAGGCATGAAAGCAGGGCGGATGTTCTGCTTGATGAGAGCCTTTTGCTCGACCGGGTTAGGCCCGTAGAGTATCCGCCTAACCCCGACGTTGAAGAAGGCTTGCTCTCGCTCAAAGCTCGTCGAAGGATCGTTGCAGACGACGCCGATGGGCGGTGCCGAGGCCGGGGGTCGAGCTGCTTGCTCGAGTCTTCCAAGGCCGAGATGATTATACTTGACGCGTGCGACATTCATGAGATTTCGGAGGATTCCTTCACCAGTAATCTCCGCGAGTGGCTGCCTATTCTGCCTTTCGTTAATTAGGAATAGAGCGTGGCCGGGTGTATAATCCTTGTCCTCGGGTTCGGAGTACGCCACGGCCAGGCGACCAAGCCTGTCCTTTCGGGCCACCGCATCAGCAGCACGCGCTACGATACCGGAGTGAGTCGCCTTGTAAACGTCGCCGGGAGAGGCATCAGCAAAGCGGAGCCAGGAAAAGGTATCGGAGCCCTCCATGCCCTCCCGGATGTTGTCGGGGGTGAAAATGTTCATCATGTGGTTAAGCGCCTTGTTTCTCCAACCAGCCTTGACGTTATCCGCACTCGCCTTGTTCAACCGACCATCGCCCTGCCAGACACGTACAGGCAGCGAGTAGTCGATCAAGTTTCGCGTCGAGTACTTGACCGTCACGTCGTTGCCCTCGCGGACAAAGGACGCCGTCTCGCCGAAATGGCTAAAAGCAAGAGGCGAGGTCGTGTCGGCACGCTCAAACAGATCGGGATGGTTACAGACTTTTCGGAACTGCATGACGAGGTTCATCAGCGTGCCCGAATCGTTGTCGTCGCCCAGCGTGGCCTTCTCGATGAGGTCCATGATGCTGATCTGGTTGCGCAGGTTCGTATAGTAGGCTCGCTGTCGGTACGTGAGATCGCAGAAGACGTCAAGCTCGATCTTGTCGCCGAGCTCCTTCTGGACATGCTTCTTCACACGACGCAACATGAAGGGCTTGAGGATCATGTGCAGACGCTTGAGCTGGTCCTCGTTAAGTTTCGTATTACTCTGAGCGTGAGACTCGATATCCTTGGAGAACCATTCGCTGAACTCGTCGTGCGAATCGAAGAGCGAAGGCATGATGAAGTGGAGAAGGGCCCAAAGCTCCTGCATGTTGTTCTGGATGGGCGTACCCGTAAGGAGGAGTCGGTTGCGGCAGTGGAAGCTCAGCAGACACTTCCATCGAGAACTTTGAGAACTCTTGATGGCCTGGGCCTCGTCGAGAATCATGTACTGCCACTTCATCTTCTGGAAGTAAGCGACGTCAGACACGACGAGCTGGTAAGACGTAACGCAGACGTGGAAAGAAGCCTCCTTCTTGTACGTCGAGTGCTTCCGGTCCCAGAACTTGCGGAGCACCTTGCGGTCCGCCGCGCTACCCCAGTACGGCAGGATCTTGAACTCGGGAACGAACTTTCGGATTTCCTGCTCCCAGTTGTGGAGGGTGGACGCGGGCGCGACAACGAGGAAGGGACCCCAGATGTCGTACTTCTCGGCGAGGTACGCCATGACCGAAATGGATTGAACAGTCTTTCCGAGACCCATCTCGTCGGCGAGGATACCGTTGATGCCCTGCTCGTAGAGGTTGACGAGCCAGTTGAGACCCTTGAGCTGGTACTCCTTGAGCTGAGCGTTGATGAGCTTCGGCTGCTCAATCTCGACATCGCCGAGACCCGTTGGGTTCTGGAAGTTCATCTCGCCATCCTCATCCATGTCTTCATTGTTGAACTCGCGGGCCTTCTTCTGGGCTTCGGCGATGGCATTCTGAGCGTTGGCGATGGCGGCCGCCTTGAGCTGGCTCTCGTCCTCATTGTCGAAATCGAGATTCTCAAAGTTGCTGACCTTGGTGCCGACGGGGCCGGTGGGCATTTCGATATCCAGGTTGTTCTCGGGGATCTTGTCCTTGTCGTCGACGGCGACATCGGGATGGTCCGTGCTGCGCTCGACCTCGTTCGTCTTGATCTTCTTGCCGATGAAGTGAGAGTACAATTCGGTCTGCGAGATGAGGAAGTTAAGCTTCCTCTTCTGTCGGGCGGCTTCGCGGTCGGCTTCTTCCTTCCGTTGGTTTTCGAGTTCCTGTCTCTCGGCCGCCTTCCGGAGGTCGCGCTCTTCTCGCTCGTTGCGCTTCCAGAAGCTCATCATGTCTCGCATGACCCTCTTGGCGCGAGCCTGCTGGTCCTTGGTGCCCTTGTTCGTCTTCAGCTGCCACCTCTTGGCTTCCTTGGAAGCGAGGATGGCCGTCTTCTTCAGGTTCGAGGACTTGGTGGCGTAGGAGTCGGTTGCCAGCTTGTTGGCCTTGTTGACATCCTTGCGCGCCATATCTCGCCAGATTTGATCGTAGATCTGATTATAACCCTTCGACTGGAACTTGGCATCGGGCGGTGCCTCCTCCTTCTCCTTGGACTTCTCCTTACCCTCCTTGCCGGCCTTGTTCTCCTTGTTCTCCTTGTCCTTATCCGTCTCTTCGGTCTCCTTCTCTTTCTCCTTCTGCTGCTTCGACTTCTTGCTGAGCTTGATGCGGATTCTGCCTTCCTCCTTGGGAGGCGGCAGCTCCTCGCCAGCGTCAAGAGCAGCTTGAGCAGCCTCAGCCGACGCCTTCTCGGCCTGCTTCTGCTCCTTGGACTTCTTGGGCCTCGAGCCACGGCCCTTTGACTTGCCCTTCGTGGTGGCGGCGGGGGTTTCGGCGTCGGATGCGGGGAACGATGACATGGTACCGCCCTCAAGGTTAAGATCAACAGATCGAACAGGGCCCTTGAGACCCTTTTGCAGAACGAGCTTGGTCTGCTGGGCCTTCTTGTTCGCCCGTTCGGCTTCACGCAAGTGCTTCTGGCGTTCAGATTCGTCCTCGGCAGCGCGGGCCTTAGCAAGCGCGGCCTCCTTCTGCTCGATCGTGGCAGCCATGGACTTCTCTCGTCGTCGCTTTCGCTGCATGTCCTTCTTGCGTTCCTTCTCCGCGAAAACTTCACGCTCGCGGACCTCGTGCAGTGCCTCTTCGTAGTAGAGTTCGTCATATCTCCTCTTACCAATTTCGGAGTAAGCCAGGAGATGGTCGAGGCCACCCTCGACAAGGTCCTTCCTCCGGGCACGATTACGCGAGTCCTCGGTGTCCTTAGCGGTCCGGAGGCGTTTAGCGGAACGTTCTTGGAAGGCATCAGCCTCCTCGGCAAAGAGATCATAGTCCTCTTCCTCTTCGGCAGCCTCAGCATCTAGTAGCTCCATCTCGAGAAGAATCCTCTTCTCCTTGGCGGCCGAGATGGCAAGGCTCTTGGGCTGGCCATTAGATTGACGCTTGGCCGGCACGCGAGGGGTGCTGGGATCCCTCTGCGATGACGTGGATGCTCGACGGTTGGAGCTCTTTGGCGTGCTCTCCGCGTCCCTGATGTCGGAAACGCGTCCCTTGGATTTACGAGAAGGCTTTTCTTTCTTCTCCTTGGCCTTGGGAGGCATCTTCTTCTTATCCTTGACAGGACGTTCCAGCTCGGGTTCGGGCTCGGGCTCGGTGTCAGGCTCTGTCTTGGTGGCGGTCACATCTGGCAAGGTCTCATCCTCCCTCTCCGTTTCAGACCTCAGTTCGAGTTCCTTTTCGGGCTCGGGCGCACGCAGACTGTTAAGTGAAGTCTCTTCCGGTCGCCTAAGGGGACGTTCAGGCGAGGGTTCCCTCAGAAAACCGACACCGCGACGGGGAGACGGTTCCCGCAAGGTTTCCCTGACCTCGGGCCGTACAGGTGTCGTTGGGCGAAGCCTGGGTGCGGGTTCGGATAGGATGTTGGAAAATGACATAGGGTCGGCTGCGCGGCTAGGTGTCGACTGGAGGAGGAAACAGGAAATATTAGTCGGATGGGCGTGAAGAAGAAGAAGAAGAAGAAGAAGAAGAAGAAGAAGACAGGAAGTAGGTTGATACGGCGGGATATCACATGACAGGGAAGAGAGAGGGTAAGTATACTTACAGAGACAGGCTTAGAAGGCACAGGAGCCGATGGGGGCGATTGGCTACGAAGCAGCGAGGGCAGCCCTGCGCTTACAGAGGCACTACCTCCGTTTGACATGGGCCGCATGATGGGCGAAGTAGTGTGGACTGGCCGAGGTGAACCGGCTACTTGGTGTCGTCCGGATGGGCTGGCAGTCGCCGATAGACCATGAGGTCGAGAACGAGGACTTCTGGATTGGAATGTAGAGGTTTGTGGCGATGTGTATGTGCCGTTATTGTAAGGGTGTTGCTGGTCAATGGACGATGATGAATAGGCCGAGGCCTCACGAGTCTGGCGTGGCAAATTTCGACGTTAGAGTTGATGATCGGGTTAAGTTTTTAGTTCGATGATGCGGATGAAAGAAGAAAGAAAGGAAGAAAAATTAGATGATTGGGGATGGGCCGACTGGAATTGTATCGCTCAAAAGAAGGGGGGCTAAGGGGAAGAGAAAAAATAGTTGATTTGGTGCTTTGGGCGCAGTGGCTCGTTCTTTCCCGTAATACAAGACGTTGGATTGGGGGAAGGGGTGATCATCAATCAGAACGTGAAAGCCAAAGCCAGGGTGGTTTTTCTCACCAAAGTGGGAAATGGAGCGAAACGGCACCATCCCTGGTGGGCACTGTGGTCTGAATTGGATATGGACGTGGGAAAAAGCAACCAACACAGAAATAGGACATGGTTTTGGATGATTCGGAAGGGGAAAACGCGTGGAAAAGGGCGAGGGAAGAACAAGAGGAATTACACGAAATGTTTGAGCCCAGTCGGCCTATGGTAGTTCCAGAAACATACAGGATAGAAAAGAACAAGAGAAAGAAAAGGCGGCGCCTGCTGCAACTTACCTTGGGCGTTGACGCGCCCTGCCAGGATCCTGTCTCGGAAACCCGGCGCTCATTCGTCATAGTATCTGTGATGGAGTCGTAGAAGCTCCCCTTCTCGCGATGCTGCTCCTTCTGCGGTGGAGGATAATATGCCGGGGAGCCGCGCATCGGCGATGGCGGAGCGGCGTGGAGATGACCGCCAGCCGAATTCGATGAAGAGTGAAGAGGAGGCGGCGGAGGCAAGGATTGGCCGGATCCCACGGACGCGGACATGAAAGAGTTCAGAACGGGCCGCGGCGGCGAGTGGTGGTGGTTCGCAGACGTGCCTGACTGTGACGGGTAGGGGGGAAACTCGGTTTGCGTGGGCGATCGGAGGCTGAAGGCCGAGTGTCGTGGGGGCCCTTGGGGAGGACGCGGAGGCGCGACAACCGAGCCCGCCGGATTCAGGATGTCTCGCGGGTGTCGCCTATCTCGCTCGTCATCTTTGCCCGGGGGCCTCTGGAGAACGGTGGAGCGGAAGTTGGACTCCATTGCGGCCGGCCGTGTTGGAAATCGCGATTCGGGTTTCCCTTGGATCTCGCCTTGCAAATCAAGCGGAGATGGGGGCAACGAGCCCGACGACAACACGGCGGGTTATCGTCGCGGGTTTTGGGGATCAGAAGTAGAGATGGATGCTTCTATTCAGCTTTCGAACCCATGTGCGAGAGGAGATGGAATTGGCTGGGGTCCGGGAGAGGATATTAACGCGTCCGAACTGTTTCGATGGATTCGGGTAGAGCAACACGATGAGCCCAAGTATGGGGGTGGTCTAGAAGGGTTGATGGTGGCGCTCTTGGGATATTTTCGCAAGAGCGAATAGATGAGATTTATTATCGTCAAGAATCGTTCGCGGGTGGGCGGACGGGGGCGTCTTCTTTCGTTCGGAAGGATAAAGAGGACAGAGTATTAGGTGATGCTGGTTGTCCGACAAAGGGTGACAAGGCTCGAAGTAGCCAAATTTGCTCTTTGGATTAAAACACGACGGAAGAAGAGAATAAAAGTTGATGCAAGGAACAAAGCCCGGGATCGCTGATTTACAAATGCGTGGGAAAAGTCCGGCGGCACGCGCACAATTTCGGCAAAGGAAAATGAGACGTGGTTTTGGTGACGCAGGAAATAGGGAGGTTTAAAAAAGCGAGACAGGACGCGAGCGAAGCGCCCGGTGAAGATTAGGGGAAGATGGTCAGGGGGGTTGGCGATGGTGTCGTGGTGATGGTGATGATGGTGTCGAGATGAAAGATGGGAATCGAGTTGGGAGGAGGATGAAGGGAAAGGAAAGGGGGTTTGGAAATGGAAATGCGGTCAATGGGGCGAGGGATGATGGCTTTGATGGAGCCATCCATAACAATTGCCTAGGAGTTGCACCTTCGAGTGGTTTTTTTTTTCCTGAGGGGTGCGTTGGCGTTGTTGGGGTCGAGCCAGGCCGTCGTAGCCTGTAGTGTAATCCGCAATGCACAATCCGGAATCCCGTGAAGGTGGGAGAAGTGCGAGACTGGGCGGGTGCGGTCCAGGTCCAGCCCAGTCTGAGTTGTACTTCGTACCGCGTACCGATTCGATCTATTCTCAGCCGAACCCACCCTTGCTCAGCTTTATCAGTGCCTGGACCCCTGAGGTACCGAATACAGTGTACTTGTTATTGGCTGTCCAGCTCGGGCCAATGGCAGCCCCATGTTGGCTCGTCAAGCGCAGCCAACGGTCAATCAGTACCCGCCCCATCTGGGGGCAAGATCACGCGCAAAGTACCGAGTACAAATGTCCTGAGACTCCCCAGCTTCCGTGATAGCTTCACAATAGTGGCAACTCCAGCAATCGCCAAAAACTGGGCTTTCGAGGAGGTTAAAATAAACATATGGCGAAATGAAAATTTGGCCCGTCAAAATATCTTTTTTTCCCTCGCTTTTTTCTCATCGCGGGATCTTTTTCTACGTCCTGGAAGTGTGGATCTGGCAGCTACAGCAGGGTTGGCGGTACCTGTAGACTCTAATTACTGAAATGGAGCAATTATTACCAGGTCCCAACGTGACAAGATTCTCCTCTCCTCCTCGTTCTGCTCATCACCGGGTCGTTCGCAGCTGGTCGAAGCAGATGAGACACCACCACCGGGAGGTAAAATTTGCCCAGTCATAACCTAAAAATCCATCCCACTCCCCATTCCGTTAATCTTCTCCCCCTCTTTCTCGCCGTGATCATCCTGTTTCGTTCCTCTACACTATTCCATTCCTTTCATCGCCACAAATAGCCGTCCCAGCCCTCCACAGACCCGAAATTATTTCGCATTTTCTATTCTGGTGATGACGATCACCAAACCCGACATTGATTCAAGCGCTGACACCTTGAGCTGAGGGAGGCGGCTTGGTCATCACTCTCACGTGATGTAGCAGGTACCTTGAACAAAGTACCCATTCACCCGCCATCTTCCGACACGTTGAGGCAGATTTCCACGACGCTTGATTACGTACGAGGATCTCATGGCATCTCTTCCATCACCATGCCGACTGTAGATTTGAGACGGATTTCCTTGCCCCCAGAGCATTGATCGGCACCCTTCACATGAAGGTAGTCTCTTGGAGTTCTTTTCTTCTTCTATTTAACATTTCATTTAACCAACTGATATTATTACTTCGAATCCCATCTTCAGAGTCGTCGCCGGTCAAAAGTAGAGTCCTAAGGATCGAGAAAACTCCCGCCCTAATGCTTAGCCTGAATAATGGTACAAGATATTTACACGAGCAACAACTCATTGATGGCTGACGCTATTGATTCTATTAATTCTATTGATCTATATAAGGTATCTCGAGAACGTGTCGAGCGGAAATGGAAAAGCATGATCCATCTTTTTGAATGTCAAATACACAGCTGCCCCGTCCTTCATGAGGGCCGCCCATCAACGCAAACCTCAGGATCCCCATAACTCCCTTCCTAGCACCGCCTCGTATTTTATCCAGTATTTCTCCTAGGCACTGTTTCTTGAAAGCCACTGGCTAGGAAGTCAATTTGTGTTGACTCTATTAGCTTCTCGGCACCTAACTTTCTCCTCCCAGAGTCAGCGACGCCTGAGTTTGATACCATCCGGGACCTTGCTTGAATCGTGCGCCAAACGCTGTTTCATTTCTCAGAAGAAACGCGTTCGAGAAGGCACACATCTGTACGCCATCAAACATGTGCTCCAGAGAACCAAAAATCATGGTCTCAATGAGATTCAATCACTATGCGAAACTGCGCTTTGGTGGACGCACGATGGGGGGTTTTATTGTTACCATCTACACGACGAGGAGGAAGTTGCTCGGCATTAAGGAGGAGAGGACGGGATCCGAAACAAAAAATTCAGATTGCCTACCCCCAAAATAGGTGGTCTTGTATGTCTTCTTCTATCTTGGATAAAAAAACAAACTATCAGCCATCCCATCCCGGTTGACCTTCACTCTACCACACGTCTGTCTCGGTGGCCCCTACATGAAACATGCTGAAAAAAACAAAGACGGACTCAACACCTGTATTTTGCCCTTTTGACCAAATTATAGCCCCTCGGAATCCATATTCTATGGCCCTTTCTTCCGAAGCCTGTTATGTAGACCTTTTTTCCCCTTCCCTCGCCGCCCCGTTTTTTCTTTTTATATCTGCCCTCTTTCTCTAAAAAGGCAGCAGTCCCCATGCATGAATGCATTTTTCCGGGCGGCCAATCTTCATGAAGTCGTGATCAACAATGCAATCCCTTTGTCTATTTCGATGTCCAACAACAGTTCATGCCAACGTAGTTTCGTTCTCAGAATAACCGATGCCCATGGGGCTGAAAATAAAAAGAGGAAAAAAAGAAATCGAGTAATGCTATCGAGTAATAGTATCTCTCGCTTCCTTTTTTTCTTGTTTAGACGGCGCCAGAAGAAATCATCTTCTTTCGGAGGTAGTTCTTGTACTCGGAGATGGTACCATCCCAAGGCTTGATGGTCTTGTTATCGCATACGAGAATCTCCTTGGCAATCTTGTCCAAAAGTCTGTCGAAACTGTTAGTTATTGTCCTTTGTTTCATAGAGTTGCCATACTTGGGGGAGAGGAATCAAACATACCTGAAGTCGTGACTGACGACGACAACACCACCGCTAAAGGCGTTGATGGCCTCAGCTAAACTGTCGATTGTCGGGATATCCAAACCGTTGGTAGGTTCGTCAAGAAGAAGCATGTTGGGACCGTCGATGGCGAGAAGGGCGAACACGATACGGCTCTTCTGGCCTTCCGAAAGGGTACCCATGAGCGCGGTCTGAGCCTCACCGGTAAGACCGTAGCGGCCAAGCTGCTGTCGCCAATACTGGTAGTCTTGGGAGATGGTGGGGTACTTGTCGCGCACAAAGTCGAGGGCCGACTTGGTGAGGTCGAGCTGCTCAGCGCTGTGCTGAGAGTACAGGCCAAGCTTCAAGTGGGTATGCCTGGTGACGCTTCCTTCACGGGGCGAAAGCTTGCCGGTCATGAGTCGGAGGAGAGTCGATTTGCCAACGCCATTGGGTCCCACGAGGGCGGTTCGGGAATCCATGTCAAAACCGAGATCGAGGTTCTTGTACAGATCGTCCTTGGCTTCCCCAGAGTAGGAGAAGCTGACATTGTCGAAAGAGAGGACGGGAGGAGGCAACTTCTCGACATCGGCGAAACGGAAGCTGAAGACCTTGTCAGGGATGACGGGCTGGATGAAGCCGTCGGCTTCCATCTTGTCCAAAATCTTCTGTCGAGACTTGGCCTGTCGTACAAGGTTGGCGTACGTACCCGCGCTAGCGATGAACTTCTTGATGTGGGCAATTTCATCCTGCTGCTTGTGGTAAGCCTTCATCTGGTTGGTCTCCTGTTCGCTTCGAGTCTTGATGTAGGAGTCGTAGTTTCCTCCGTAGTAGACGAGCTTCTGCGCCCTCATGTCGATCATCATCGTGCAGACACCGTTGAGGAAATCCTGCGAATGAGAGACAAGCACGAGAGTTCGGTCCCACTTCTTCAGGTACTCTTCCAACCACACACAGGCTTCGAGGTCAAGATGGGCCGTGGGGTCATCGAGCAGGAGGAGCGAGGGCTTGACGAACAGAGCCTTCGCAAGGGCAACTCGCATTCGCCAACCACCAGACATGTCCTTAGTCTTCTTGTGGATGGTGTGCTTGTTGAAGCCTAGACCAGTTAGGATGAGGGAGGCGCGGGTCTCGAAAGTGGAAGGATCCATCTTGTCCATATGGTCGTAGAGATCCATAAGGACAGGGCTCTCGGGACCCTCTTCCTCGAGCAGCTTCTCTGCAAGCTTGTCGAGGCGGTCCAGCTCATTCTTCGCCTCGGTAACGACCCACTCAAGGGCACCGAGTTCGCTGGGAGGGGCACCTTCATTTAGAAGATAGATGTCGACATGTTCGGGGATGGGGTATTCCCGCATCGAGATGGCCTTGAGGAGTGTACTCTTTCCGCAACCGTTCTCACCGAGAAGACCATATCGACGACCGTATGTTAGCTCCAGGGTGCTGTCGTTGATAAGAACACGACCGTGGAACACTAAGCTGGCACTGGCGATCTTGACGTCCTTGCTCTGCTGGGTAGATGCCAAGACACCGGTGGTGACTCGGTCAGACAGGCCGTGCTTGTCCATCTGCGCGGCGAGGCGCTTGACCTCATCTAACTTGTCATCTGAAGTGGCCGGCGCGTCGTCGACGATGGGGTTTCCATGAACATCGAGGGCGGGCTCGTCGCCGTTGACCGAGGCGGCTTTGCTTGCGGCGGCGGAGCTGGTCTTGGATGACTTAGACTTCTTGTCCTTACCGAGGGCGGCCTTCTTGGCAAGGCGCTTCTCCTTGGAAGAAGAAATGGGAGGCATTTTGGATCGTGAAAGTAAAGGAAAAGGGGCGACTAGGAGTGTCGTTGGGTATCGAGGGTGATCGCGGTTCTCAAGATTGGGCTGGGTGCCTCTCTGTGTCGTCACTTATCAGGTGGGGCAACGAGGAGGGGTAAAAATGCGCTGAAGATGCACAAAAGAAGAAAATTCAGCGCGAGTTTTCGAGTCGGAATCAAAAATCAGATAAATTCCGTTTGCTTATCGACGTCGAATAAGAGAGTGGCAGTCAAGGAAGGAAACCCAGACAGAAAAGGGAAGAACAGGGAAAAGTGCAGAGAAACTCCCTTGATGGGTAATGTTGTTGGAATTCAAAAACTAAGAGAAAAAAAAAAAAAAGAATTCATTAATATACTTCGGTGACCCTATCAAAGTCTTGGTGTGAGGGGCGGTTTGCTTGGTGGGGTTCAAAATTTTGATGACTACTATTCTTAGTGGCTCCTTTAGAGTTGGGAATCAGCCAATCAGGGCAGCCGGATTCGAGGCTCGGCCGGGTTCTGCCTTCTCGATGGCAAATGGGGCGAAGGTTTTCGAAGACCGAGACTTCCTTCCCTAGCTGGGCCAGGATTCTTAGTCATCGAGTCGTCCAAGGAAGGTGCCAAGTCCATCTTATCATGTGAAAGTCGAGCAAGCCAAGCAAGTTGGGGAGACTCAAAAGATGGGGGGGAAGCGGTTCACATCGATCAACTAATCGTATGAGGTTGCTAGTTATTCTTGGGCAATACCACGCACCAGACTAGCCGTTGGGGCAGAGAATGCCCTGGGCAAGAGGAAATCCGCAAGCAAGAGATTTTCCATCTTTTAGTTTCTGGGTCCTTAACCTGGCTTCGTTCCATGTTTTTCTTGCACTCATCCAGGGGTCCTACCCGTCGACTCGGCCTCGACGGCTTCGAAAGGCCTTTATCGGAATCATGAGACGAGAGACCTGTTGATAACTTCACGATTTTGGTCAGAAGTTCGGATTCTCAAAGCTCCGACACTCCTCGGCCACCTCAGAGGACCAAGCAGTTGTTCAAGGTCACGTGATTCGATGCTGCCCCGCCATGCCGTTCTTAGCTTCTAATGCAAGGAGGTTCAGGGGAAGCAGTCCCCAGACCGCCACGTCAATAACTCGACGGGGTGGTGTACACTACAATTTGCTACCCCCTACTGCTGCTGCTTGCCGAGCTCCGATAGTTGTGTTCTTGGGGGAAATCCTCACCCAACGGTCCAAGATGCTGTCAGGAATTCTCATATTCAACCAGAAAGGCGAAAACCTCATCTTTCGATCGTTCCGGAATGACTGCCGCCCGCGCCTCGCCGACGTCTTCCGCATCCAGGTCATCTCTAATGCGCAGGTCCGATCCCCTATCCTAACCCTCGGAAGCACAACGTTCAGCCATGTCAAGCACGAGAACATCTATCTCGTGGCAATCACCAAGAGCAATGCCAATGCCGCCTTGGTGTTTGAGTTCTTGTACAGGCTGATTCAATTAGGCCGTGGTTACTTTGGCAAGTTTGACGAGGAGGCTGTTAAGAACAACTTTGTCCTCGTCTACGAGCTTCTCGATGGTATGGATTTTGCGCCATTATCAAGATAATCCTCGGATTCAGAGGAGCCACCGCTAACATTTCTCCATTTCCGCAGAAATCATCGACTTCGGCTACCCCCAAAACACCGAAACTGACACGCTCAAGATGTATATCACCACCGAAGGTGTCAAATCCGAGAGGGCAGTGGAGGATTCGGCCAAGATTACCATGCAGGCGACAGGTGCCCTTTCGTGGAGGAAGGCGGACGTGAAATATCGAAAGAACGAGGCCTTCGTCGACGTCATCGAGGACGTGAACCTTCTCATGTCGGCTACCGGCTCCATCCTCCGCGCCGATGTCACCGGTCAGATTGTAATGCGCGCATATCTATCGGGAACGCCGGAGTGCAAGTTCGGTCTCAACGATCGCCTACTGCTCGACAACGACGGACTTCTCAGCCTACCCAGCGGCAACAGGATGGGAACTAAGGCGACAAAAGCTGCCGCCGGCAGTGTTACGTTAGAAGACTGCCAGTTCCATCAGTGCGTCAAACTCGGCAAGTTCGACAGCGACAGAATAATCAGCTTCATCCCGCCGGACGGCGAGTTCGAGCTTATGCGGTACCGAGCGACGGAGAACGTCAATCTGCCGTTCAAGATTCATGCTATTGTGAATGAGATCGGTCGCACCAAGGTGGAATACAGCATCGGTGTCAAGGCCAACTTCGGGTCCAAGTTGTTTGCCACCAACGTTGTTATCCGCATCCCTACCCCGCTTAACACGGCCAAGATCACCGAGAGGTGTACGCAGGGTAAAGCCAAATACGAGCCTTCGGAGAATAATATTGTGTGGAAGATTAGTCGGTTCACGGGCCAGAGCGAATACGTGCTTAGTGCCGAAGCTATCCTCACGAGCATGACGAATCAGCGGGCGTGGTCTCGTCCTCCGCTCAGTATGAGCTTCAGCTTATTGATGTTCACAAGCTCGGGGCTTTTGGTGCGGTATCTGAAGGTGTTCGAGAAGAGCAACTACTCGAGCGTAAAGTGGGTGAGGTATATGACCAGGGCAGGGTCATACGAGATAAGGTGAGTCACAAATGCTCGAGTGATAAGTGAATCTATTTGCTGATATTGTGTCTTTAGATTCTAATGAGTGCTACCCGATTCCATCCCGCACCCCCCACATCAGTGTTAGATCTTCGGCCGACGCTGTCGGCCCTGCTTGGCAAATTCTTGGGGACTACCACCCGGCCTTCCGGGTCTGGAGGCTCTTGGCATTCCGCAATTAGAAGGTGCTTTCAAACTTTCGCCGTCGGAAGGAGAAAGCCGGCCGGATTCCCGGGGCGCGGCGCCACTGGTCTCATTACATATCCTAGAGCAGGCTTCCAACTATTACCGGATACTCACCCAACCCGGCAAATCATCATCAGGTGGAATTCTTGGGCCGGGGAGAATACGATGGCAGCTGCCATCGACGTGACAGTCCTGGATAGTTGTTAGATGTGCGGCAGGAGATCTTGGGAGAGTTATCGAATCGAGACATGGGATTGCATGTCTATGGGCAAAGCTACCCACTAATCGGGTACCCCCCATACTGCGTGTGGCCGCATAATACCGAAGAATAAGTTGGGCTATATTGAGTCGGCCTTCGAAACGCTCTTTGATTAGCCTCGAAAGGCAGAGCGTCCTTCCTACTACAAAGAAAAGTATCTACGATGTATAGAATTTATATGAAACGATTTAAAGATCCAACCCATCGTTCTCTAGCTCTAAGGTCCTCCTGCTGGGCCACTTTGATTCCTGCCATACAGAGCATCTGGTGAGAGAGATTCCGACTATTTCATCCGACTTGCGATGTTTCTCTTCCTCGCGTTTGTGTTTATCAACCAGTTTCAGCCCCGAGCGTGCGAGACAAAGAGTATGCGCTCCTTAATTTGATCTGTGAGAAGAAACCTAGTCCACGGGGTTCTTACCCACAACCCAAGGTCGCCTCACATCTATCCGACATGCAATACACTCGCACCCTATCCCACGGAAGTCGAGCCGTTTGAAGCTCAACGGTTTCCGACACGAACGAACTGGTGCATCCTTTGTATCTCGACCATCTAGGCTATGTAGCACAGAACGGGCGCATGGTTTAGTGGTATAATTCCTCTTTAGCATAGAGGCGGTCCCCGGTTCGATTCCGGGTGCGTCCAATTTTTTTTTCCGTTTTTCTGGTTTGGTCCTTGCCGATATCAGAGATCGGAAGAGTCGAGCATTGGGATATGGGTTCTTGACAGTGGCTCGGGAGGAAGAAAGGGAGACCCTTCCTGGCGTGAGCTGTTTCCCATCGACGCCGAAGAGTGAGGGCTACAATTTTCGGTTTAGTCCAATGACTCTAACCTCATCAGTGGTTTTGCCAAGACAACAACAAGCATTCCTGTCACGTCACTTGGAATGCAGTTGGTTCAAGTCGGGTTGCCAAGAAGGCCGGATTTCAGCAGACGATGTATATTAAAACGACAAAACAGAAACCCCAAAGACACCAAGTTCTTTCCAAGACCCATACGCCCAAACAGATTCATCAAATGCATGCTCGTTCCATCCTACAATCGTCGTTTCACCCAGTTATGAATAAGTGCTTTCTCCCGCTTGACTATAGCCTCCAGCGTGTTTAATCTAGGGTATCTTTGGCTAGGGCGTGATTTGCCGTGCGTGCTTGGAAAAACATCGATTTTGGAATCTTGGGTTCGTCTTCTTCTTCCTCTCCTTGATCACTGCCTCTAATGGCACAATTTCGGACACTCATGGCTCACCGATTTGGCGGGAAATAGGTGTGTTCATTCGAAGAGGTCAAGACCAACGATACCGGGCGCAAAAGAAAAATTCATCTCGACAAAGAAACATGCGAATAGCCTGTTAACAGGTCGACATCGGTGCCGGTCGCCAGATCCGGAGGGTGAGAAAACTGGCTCAGCGAACCAGGTCGACGTAAAAAGTTGAGGTTACTTTCCACGCAGACGACCGCCAAGGAAAAGTAAACCACTGAAAAAAGGGAAAGCCAAAAGTGCCCTGAATAAGTGCTAGTGCCTCCGTTGAGCGTGACTGACTTGCGCGGGCGGGGAATGCGCGAGGTATTCATCAATAGCGGTCTGGCGGAAACGGGGGGTATAACAGGCGCAGGATCCGAGGATGGTGTCGCGAATCGAGGGTCATATTCTAGTCATTCATCCACCCCTTCCAATTCCCCAATTTCAATCCCCACCCCAAGCATAACAGAAGCAGATGGCGCTAAAGAGACAGCCCAACTCCCACACATTTCGCAGACAACCGGATAGAGAGCAGGCAAGAGCAGGCTGAAACGAGTTGGCCAATAACAAGTTCACGAGGAAGGTATGCGCTCTCCTTGAGCCGTTTACTGCGCCTTCTCGTTAAGAGCCACGCTCTTACCCCGTGGCCTCATGACGGCATCCTGAGAAGACATGCGACGATCGAGGGCACGTTCGAGCTTGGCGCCGAGGGCAAGCTTGGCTAGGTAGGCAGACTTCTCCTCGGTGAGAGTGACACGCTGTTGAGAGAGAGCCTTGTTCTCCATGCGCTCGAGACCGTTGGTGATGTCGCGAATTTCGTTTTGGGCGGAATCGGTAGTCTGAATGGTAGGAGTGAAGCTGTATGTGCTGTAGCGCACCGAGGTACGGGCCTGTGAAAGTTGAGGGCAAATCGGTTAGCACGAGCTTGGCAGGCGGTGAAGTGGGGAGAGGCGTTCACAAGGCGCAGGAAGCAGCTGCCTGATGGCGTCACGATCGCATGGGACGGAAGAGTATAATTCATCTCCAGACGTCGTTGACCAGTGCTTCTCGCGACAGCCGTCCGTCTCCCTCGCCATAGAACCCCCCCCCCCAAAAAAAAAAAATCAAGCGCAGCAAACCTACCGAGGGTGCCATGATGGGTCGAGAGGAGTCCAAGGAATTAGGCATGTTGAAATGTGGAGAAGTACTTTTCGGGGGAGACGAGGGAGAAAAGAATATTTGTAGTTTTGGTCGACGTAACACTCCCAGGGACGCAGAGGACCAGAGGCTTGAATCAGGGAAACAGGAACCAGACCAAACAATGAAATGATGAGAGGTGGATACTGTGTCGAGTGAAGAAAGAGATTGAAGTCGGAGAGGAGTATTAAAAGAGGGCCCTTGTTAATAGTAGGGGGAACAATGGGTACAAGTGGATCAGCAAAGGGGGAACGGGGGTGAAAGGCACTCGATGTGCTCGATCTGAAACGGGAAGTTGATCAGCGGTCGTCACAACAAGAACTGGGAATATGATTTGGCAAAGGCTGCGTTAAGAGTCGAGGCGCCTGGGCGTGGTTCCTGAATGGAGAATGGAGCAAGGCGTGAATGAGTTATCTTGCGGGAGGGATGAGGGCAAGAGGGGTGGTTCCGACGAGGTTTAAGGAGTCAATCGAATCGCGCAGGTACTTCGTACTTCGTACTTCAATGCTGGCAATCTTTAGGCAGAATTGGAGGGAGAGAGAGGCAATGAAAATATTGATGAAAATAAGTCGGAAGTCTGGGATGCGACGCTGTGGGCTTAATAGGCGATATGGAGTTCTCCTGAGTAGTGTACTCCCTTGGTTCCTTCTTGGCCCCTTGGTCCCCTCCCTTTGTACTTCGCACACCTGACACTTCGTGGAAGGAACAAATTGGTTGCAGTGTCCACAGTGAAACACTAGCACCAGGCCCAGCGATGAGATTGGAAGAACGGACGCACGGGTCGAGTCTAGAGGCAATGGGATCAAGACGGAGAGAGGATTGATACTTGTGCTTCGGTTCGTAATCTACCCTCCAAACGACATGTACGATGTGATTACTACTTGTGGCTTAGTGTTGATTGAGCAAGGATTTTCGCCTTGTCTGGCTACGTCCGCGTTTAGGCTCTTGTTGGCTCTCGTTCAAAGTAAGAGAATAGACGGTGAGGTGAAGCCACACAGTCTTATTACTTCGGCTTCGTGAAGAGAGCGGAGAGAGGCAGGCATTGGGAAAACCCCCATGTGACTCCAAGTCCCCTTCCGATGCTACGATGCGACGATAAAAATCGATTCCGGTATATTTTGGATTGGGAGATGCCCTCGTTCGATACCCCAAAGAAGACCCTGGAAAACATTATCCAAGCGGGCTCCGGAAGCAACAGCCTAACTGGTCAGTCCTTGCAAAGTGGAGATGTGATAGCGAACGCAAATTGTATGAAGTACTTTGTCGTTCTCCGAAGAACGCACATGCCAGAATGTACTTCATACTTTAACCAGGGATTAACATCCCGCAGGGAAGTGACGAAACGAGGGCTCGTGGCAAGAAAGAGTGAGGGTCTGGTTCTGCATGGTTTCAACGGGGCCTGGGTGCCCTGTTGACTTTGGCGAGCCCCGAAAAGGTGTGAGCCAATTTAGGCTTCCCCGATGTACGCAAGGGTCGGCAGGAAGGCTCATCGCCAGTAATCAACATTTCATGAGCCGGTGATGAGAGGTGCTTCTTAATGTCAGCCATCGCTCGTTCTTTTTGTATTCTTATTTTTCTGATTCTGCTTGACCATGTTTCCGTCCTATTGGGACGTGCGCTGCATACAGTGGCATCTAAACCTCGGGATGGGAATAGACTTTTCCCAACACAAATGACATAACACCGCACATTTAAAGGTTAGTAAAGTACTGCCAGGCGAGGTATCAATAGGACTCGGGACGACTCAGTTTCGGGGCACGTGGTAATGGACGTATCGCTGAGTTCAGTCTCGCAACTGCCCTGTCCGATTTGATGCCCCATCCAAGAATCAAGGTGGACCGCTGTTTCCTTTCAAGTTGTGTAAACTTACGAAATGCGTACTTCGTACTCCGTACTCCACGAATGTCACAATCTACGTATTGATGGTGTGGTGACGACGACGAGAAAAGCAATGTCCCTCCGTTCTCCACCACGCCATTGTCCATCCAAGGACCAAAGGGTACTTCCTACCAGGCCACCGCTACTTCGTACAGTGCAGACCAGTCCCGACTTCTCCGCCAGACCGTGCCTACCCGTAGTACCTACCCGACTCCCGCTTAGCCTCAATGGCGTCAATGGCCTCTTCTTCGCTCCTCCCTCCTTCCACAGTCCAATCCTGCCACCCCCAAGATTCCAGAGGGAGTCGCGGCCAATATCAAAGTCTCGTACGAGAAGGTGAGCGACGCCCAAACCAGACACTGCTTGCCAATTCGAGCAATCATTATTATAACGTCGTATGACCCACCCGTGCGCATTGCGGTTCCAAGGTAATACTAGTTGAGAGGAATGTACGAAGTAATTGTACGGTACTTCCATGGCTAGTGCAAAGAGATGGGCAGATGATGGGGGGCTATCTTGATGGTCAATTTCTTGAAAAAGAGGCACGCTAGGAACGCCAATCCTTCTCCCGGTCACTCGTCCAAGATCCACATCCTCCCCAGGCTACCGAGCCGGGCAGGGCAGAGGGACCATGTCAATTAACGATGTCAATTTGACCGCAAGCCACTATGGAATCGCCGGCTGGAAGGAGCAAGTCAGGCGCCACAGAACACACACTGCATCTCACCTCGGAAGTTCGTACGAAGTACTTGTCCTTCTCTCTGTGCTCACTTCTCACTGAATGTGGGGTTCGTTTCTCTCCCCGATGTCTCGTGAGCCCTCGACTCCAGTCTTCTTCTGTCTTGTTAGCGCGAGCCAAGGCTTTATTGCTTGATCAGACTCTCCTTCCTTCGAGCTAGGCTTTAGTGCATTGTCGAGTCCACCCGCCAAGTCCCATCGTTCTGTCTACCATACCAAGTGCAGTGCAGTAGCCACGGTTCCTGCATACCACCACAAACGGGTTCCATCAGTGCTTGCTTTTTCTTACCTCTGATATCAACTGCCACTCAAGAGGCGCCAACCAAAATACGAAGGCGAAGTCAAGTAAACGTAACGGTCCAAATATTGGCCGGCTTTTTGGAGCCAAGTCCGTCCCTCATCTGAGTATGACAGCGGGGATCATTTGGCCGCCGTCCACCATTTGCCGATAAGCTGGAACACCTGGAAACCCTGGCGCTCGCTTCCAAACTCGCATGCTTCCTCCACGTGGCGAATGATAATAACCCTCCCATCCGACTGCGCCCGCATGGTTTGCTCACGCATTAATGTCGGGGAGATCGCCCTGCCTCGTGGCTTTCATCTATGTTGCATTATGAAGTACTTCGTACTTTCGCCCAGAGTCCTCACTTCCCGCTCAACCGTGGTAAAGTGAAGAAGAACAGCTTGGGGATTGATACCCTCCATCACGGCCACGCGAGAAGGACCGAGCGCATTGGTTAGATTCAGGAACCACACATGTTGATTCATGACAAAGAGGATGCGATACTTCACAAAAGAACTATTCGGACCACCGGGACAAAGGCAAGCCAAGCGAGACCTGGCTCTAAATCTGTCCTTCGTCTATTTTCATTTGACGAGGCTGCTGGTGGACACACAGTTGGAGGTCTCGGATTCATTCTCAACTCCGATGCCACACACACACACACACACACACACACACACACGTAGTTCAGAAAAATACTTTTCTTGCTCGACTCGGCCACGGAAACAATTCGGCGAAACACAAACGTGTAACCAGTTCAGCCCAGGAAGACTTCAGGGGGGACGGGACCTCATCTGACGTTTACTTCGTAAGCTAAAGATCCGTGTCACGACCACGTTCCACTCCGGGAACCACGGTTCTCGGTGCTGGCGGATGCTGCTTGGTTTGATGCCACACTGCACTGCGTAGTGTCGATGCCTACCAAATGGCAGGCTATTCCTTGATTCACACAGGCCATGCCGTATTTTATTGCGGTCCAGAATAGGAAAAGGGGTCCAAGATTCATATGGCATGTTCCTCTTTCCCATATTGTGTGTGCTTCAGCTGGCCACAGTCCTCACGAGAGGCCTGTCGTGCGATCCTTGCATTAGGAGGTTTCTTCAACCAGGGCTCTATCTGATCTATTAGCCTTCTAACCCTTTCGGGCGGCGTCACGAATCTCGGGGTTTCTCCTGGCTGCGAAGTTAAGCTTTCTTGCATGCGCTAATGAGCATCTTACGAAGTACACCACGTCTGTTAACGATATTCCGTATCCTTGGGTCGCTCCGAGCCGAGCGGAATGCATTTAATGGATTGAATTTGAAGAATAATAATTCCCGTTTTAGAAATGTGGAGGGGAAGGCACCGAGTCGGCGAGCTGAAACTGAGGCGGATTCTTATGCTGGCTTTCCTACCCTAGACTTTCGGTACCGGCCTAGCACTCGGGTTCGGAAACACGCCATCTCGGGAGGCAATGGGTGGTACTACCCTGCTGGAAATCTAGTCGCGGGAACTGGCGATATGCTCCCCGAGCTGGAATCGGGAAACCCACCAACGTACTCCGTGCTTTGATGTCGCAGGCATACTAAAGAACCACATTCGCCGGAAACCGCTTTCTTGGCGGAGATGCGCACGCTTGAAATCAGATAATTCCTAGATCACGGATCCTGGATCACGGATCACGTCGGATGATAACTCGTTTCCTCATTAACATTAATACCCAACAAAGGCGCTTGCGCCAAGATCCTCCCGCTTCGAATTTCGGGTCGCCAGGACTCCGATTCCGTTCCGCCTCTAGGGACATCCCATCTGCTTCCTGACGTTCACCCAAGCGGCCTTGCTCAGTCAAGTCTGCGCCGAGCCCGCATGATTTGGTCAAAGCCATCGAACGATCAACGCCCATAACATATCTTTTCTTCCCCCTCCCCGCTTCGTGATGACACAGTCCCTCTAATGTATGTCTCGCTGAGATCTAGTCCTATCTTGGGATACGGTTCCTTCAATGACGCCCGCTCTTTTGACTTTTTTCACCAGCCGAAGCGTCCTTTCCGACGGTGGTGTAGTCTAAGTCGATTTTAAAGCGCGAAGATAAGTCTGAAGACGCTCCGGATGACGACTCCGGGTGGGCTGAAGCCAACGAGTCGTGACCGGTTGCACGGCTGCTGCCTCCTTTCCGGACGCCCCCATATGCCATATCCGGGGTTGGCGGGTTGCTCATGCCTGTTTTTTTATCAGTCAGGCTCCGCTCAAACCCAACTACGCGATGGTCCAGCGACTCCTTAGGTGGGGTCGAGACGAAAATTTGGTTCACTTACTAAAATGAGTGCAGTTCTTGCAGCATCCGTGGTCGCAAGTCGTCTCAAATGCCTCGACCTCGAAAGTCTCGGGGTTCCTCTTGAGCCTCGCCGTCGGCATCGTGCACCATCCTTGCGTGTTGGGACCCTGCTTGCAAGCGCAACACGTCCAACTGCCCTCCATGTCTTTGAACTGGCAGTTCTGAAGAGGGCAGTTGGCGGTAGTCTGTTGACTCGGAGCAAAGGTCGTACTTGAGCATGGCGTCTCATAACCCGTGTCCGGGTCCTGTGATGCCGAGGGACAGTAGTGCCATGTCACCGAGGTATGCGAGCAAGGGTGGATGCGGGGTTGACCGTGGCACATACTGAAGACGAGGATGTCTGGCTTCGTGTGTTGGATAAAGTGGTTTTCTGAAGACTTTGTGTGGGGGGTTTCCCTATTCCACCCTCTCTTTCCCCTCTTTGGGTTTATTTTTCGGATTTCCCCCAAAGTTTCAAATGAAGGGTGAGGATGGGAAATGACGATGCGGGGCCGGAAGCAATTCGCCGATTCTCTGTGCTCACTCGCGCCGCCCGGGCTATTCTTCTATGGGGACCAAAGGATTGATGACGAGTTTGGGATTTTTTTTATTTTTGGAGGAGGTCGTCGACTAGATCTCGAAAACTTCTACGCATGCCAGTGCTCGAAAGAAAAAGAGAGCGGCATCTTACCGAGTTATCTTGACGAACTTATATATCCCGAGCTCGCTCAGCTTTCTTGGAGGTCGGAATTTGCTTCAAGAAATCAATTGATCAATCATGGAGCTGTCAACCAACCAAGACTCGTTTGACAACATCTGCCGGGGACTTGAGGACGGAGGAGGGTAAAGTTTTCTCAATGACAAGCTGAAGACAAGAGCTCGTCAGACCCGTCAGACCCAATGCGGCATCAAGGCGTCGAAAACGCCTCGCCACCTTCAAACAATCATCAGGTGGGATCGATCTCTTCTCTACAGCGAAAAGCACGTTTTTTTTTTTCCTTGACAAGGATAGAGCGGCTCCGACGAACCGGGGAATTTTTTCGGTTCTTTCTCTTGCAGTTGTTGCAAATCCTCCATCCCAGGCACCCTGCGACCTACGCCCCCACCACGCCGGTTGCGCGGCGTTGGAAAGCGTCGGTCCCCGGCTCGAAGGCTCCCACTGGCTGGAGCATGGGGTTCTTTTCAGCTCGATTTTAAATTCACTTTTGTGTGGTAAGTCCGATCGATGGACATGGGATGTGCATACGACCAAGCAATGGAAAAGGCCTCCGGGACCCACTGCGGCAAAGGTGTCAAACCCGTTGGAAAATTCCCCGGAATCAGCTGTGGACGTACGTTTATTCAGCTTTTGTCTGCTGAATGTCCTGCATAATGATGTTGGCAGCACCAATGTGCGTTGATTCCCCCTTCGAGATGCTCGGTTCCCGGACAGGATATCCTTCCCGCGACAAAGAAACTGGAAGGGGAAAAATATTAATTGCATAAAAGGGATGCAAATAGAAAGGAGAGAAAAGTGAAAAGGGCGCGACTGCGGGAACCATCACCGGGACTAGCTTGGCGACACTGATCCGACCCTAGACGGAAATCGCACTCGCCTGTCTTCGCCTTGGCCAGTTACGTTTGAGTGCTGAATACCACCCAAAGAAGCCCTCGGGGCTCGGTCTCAACGGCCGACAAGGCAGATCTAGAACCCCGAGGTAGGACTAGTGGGTGTGGTGGATGCACCGCTGGCAGGGTGTGGCATCGATGAATGTGATTGTCTGTTCCGGAGGGCGGATGCAGCTACTGGTTCCCGGTTGCTGGGTTTTTAATTGACAAGACCATCGAACCCGAACAGCTGGATTCGCCAGACGGCAGGCAGCCAGCTCGGATGCTCTCGCAGCAGTTGTGACGACAACGTCGAGGACCAGACCTTTCTTTGCTCGTCTTTGATGGCCGAGCATGGTTCGGATCATCTTTCTTTTTCTTTTCTTTTTCCCGCGTTTCCGAGGTTCGGAGAAGGTATAGGAACCGAGACACAGAAGAAAACTATTCGCGAGCTACTGTTGGATCCCGCCAGCCCACCGTGGCGAGAGTGCTCGATTATCATGCCCTGTTTAATCCGCGCGGCATCAGAAATTGACGTTGATCTGCTGCCCGAGTGTCTGGTTTAGGGCAAGACAATGAGCAAACATTACAAGTGCCAACTCGAAAAAAAGCAATATCTGAGCCTATGGGTCCTCTCGCCATCGTACTCGATCCGATATTGATTGCCTGAAAGATAATCGGCCAAGGGCAACTGATCACTTCTTCGGCGACTATCCTGACTTGTGACCCACCTTTCCCATCTGACCGTTTTTTATGCTTGCTTTTTCTTTTCTTTTCTCTACCAATTTCTTCTGCCAGATGTACCACCCACCACCGAACCCTTGGATTCAGCTAATTACAGGGGGGAGAGAATGGTGAGGGGTCACTTCCGGTGATGATTTGGAATAGTTTCCGTCAACACGGCGAAACTCCTGACAAGGCGAGGAAGACGAGCCTAGATGAGCGCGTTTGTCCCTTTCTCTTCGGGCTATCTGGGCCATGCTACGGAAAGGGTAGCAACAAACGAATGGAAGCGTCGTTATCACAACACTGGCGATACTGGCTTGAGGGTAGAAAGGAATTCGTGCCGAGTGGCGCATTGCGGTGGATGGCAAGGCTATCCGAGGCTCCGCGGAGGGAAGGACGGGAGAGGAGAGGGGAAAGGGAAAATAAACTACCATCGGGTGATGCCGGTTTGAGGTCATGATGAATTTTCGTTTCACCATCAACGATTTTAGAAAAGATAGATGCCGGAGATATATCCCCTTCTCCGGAGCATGCCATACCCTGGTAACCCGCATCCCTCGCTCTCCCCCCTCCATCCTGTTTCTTTAAGTCACAGCTGACCAGGGGACCCCGAGTCTTCCTATGCCCTCTTCCAGGAAGAGGATATTCGTTGAGTGACGGAGCTGTGGGAGTTCGATGATATCCAGGGCCTTCTGCCATGAAGGAATGACATGGTCGCAACCCAACGGAAGCATCTTCAGCTGTCTGCGAGCTCGACTTTGCCGCATCTCGAGACAGACTCCGGCACCCCGCCCGGCGTCAGCTCGCTGTGACCAACCCATTGCATACCTTTAGGAGCCAACCAGCTAGAAGAGAAATGGCCAAAAAGGAAGTTGCAGCAAGGCCTAACCAGGATTTCCAGACCAAAACTCCTTGCCAATTTATTTTTCTTCTCCACAACACGTAGAGGCATAGACGGCACAAGCACAAGCACATGCACACGCACCCACACACGCACTCGTACATACATTCAGACAGTCTTCGTCGCCGCTTCTTCTCCCCTCTTCCCTTCACCCGTTCCTTCCCCCCTCCACCCTTCCCCTCCGCTGCCTGAAACTCGCAAGACTTGCCTTTCCTGCTCCCCCTTTCCCCTTTCCCCTTCCCTACCCCCCTTTACCCCTCCCCCAGAACACCACTGTCCTTAATCCACGGCCGCCTCGCAAGTCGTACAGCATATATGCTCGCACTTATACTGACTCCCATCAATTAGCATGACGCAACTACACCTCCCCCTCCGATTCCTCGCCTTCCCGCACCAGCAGCAGTTCCAGCACCGGTTGCGGGCCTCGTAGGGACAGTAGGGAAGCAGCGGACAGTCGGGTATTGTCCGGGGATCTATGTCGGGGGGTGGTGGGTCGGGGATGTTCGTCGTCACGACGTTGGGGCAGGTCGGACGGGGCGGCACGACGGCGTCTGATGGGCTCTTGCCGCCGGCGTGGATGGGGCGGTGGGCGGAGGTGGAGAGGGGAGGGGCGGCCGGGCAGTAGATTGTTACCCTGCGGACGTGTTCGCAGGGGAGGGTGTAGATTATCTTGGTGCACATGTTTGCTTTCTTTGGGGTTTCTTCTTTCGGGCTATTTCAATTGTTCTGTTCCTCTTGTGTCCCTCGAGGTCTAGCCCTCTGCGACAATCGTAGTTGGCGGGGCTGAAATATGGAGGGGGGACAATCCCGGTTTAGGGAAGGGAAGAGAGAACTAGCTTCTTCCCGGAAAGCTCGTTTGAAACCACTCGACCCCTGGTTTCTCTGTCGATATGCCTTCTTTTGTATATCTCTTGTTATAAATTAGGGAGATAAATATATGCTTCGTAAAATGAATGAGCGCGAAGAAAAGAAGAGGGATAAATCCAGCCGAGTCAACGGGGGGTGTGCAGAAATGGAAGAATAAAAAAAGGAATAAAATATGTAGAATCCAAAAAAAATTGGACAAAAGGGTGCTTTCTGTTTCTGCCCACCAGTTCAGTTCGCGAAGCACTTGAATTAGCGGGAGGCTGACCGGAAGAGCACAAAGCCGAAGGGCTGCATCAAAGACGAACAGAAAAAAAAAGACGGGCAAAAAAAAAAAAAATGGTAAAAAAAAGAAACGTCAATTAATACCTTTTTTTTTAGCGTGGTCTTCTTCTCCCTTTCTTTCGCAAGCGGTAATCCTCCTTGGCGAACTACGCGTACACTACTTCGTACGTCCTTAAATGATCTGCAGCAAGGGGGTGTGTGACGGGAAACGGGAAAACAAAGGTGGGAAAGCCGGGAGTTCCAGGAGCCGGGGAATTGGGGGTGTTTCCGATTTGAGAACTTGGGGGGTGTTTGTGGCTGGAAGCTGGTCGTCGTTATCGTCGAAAATGAAGCGGGGGATAAGGAGGGAGAGAGAGAGATCGGCGTTAAGAATTGAAGGAACTTGAAGGAACTCGGGGGCCCTGGTTTGTTTTGGGTCTGGGTTATGGGTCGAGAAGAATGAGCGATTTAGGAGAGCGCGGCAAAGAAAGAAAGGTGAAAAAAGTGGTTTTGGACGTTTGGACTGTTTGAAGCTGGAACGAGTTTCTTGGCGATTCGGCGGGCCGTGGAGGAGGGACGAAGTGATTGTTTCGCACGAGGTCTGGAATGAGGCGGAGCGGAAAGAGGCGGACTTGCGGGAGAAGCATTTTGGGGCGCAGTTGTGAGAGAATGACACTACTTCGTCCACTACACACATTCATATGTAGATCAAGGCATGAATATGCGGTTCATCATATCCTAAGGCATGGTTCATCTTTCCTGCCGGTCTGATAGAAGAACCTCCTCGCCCGCTTTGGGCGACATGAGCCCGAATATCTTCTCTTTCACTCCTTTGGGAATATTCTCTTTTCGGAGCCCGCAAACGTGGCCCGGTATAAGAGGGATCTGCAGTGTAGGATGAGAGAGACTAGAGATGGATAACGGCACAGATCCGAGATAAGAATCATAGCGCTGAAGCACTCCCCCTCCGAACTCCGAAGACGGAGAAAGTGTGGAGATTTAAAATGCAAGCTTAAACACGACCTTGTCCTGGTCTCGAAACGAGCGCTCTCGAGAGCCGCACGGAAACAACAAATGAACAGACAGATGAGACACACAGCAGGAAGGACACTACGCCGTGGTAACGGTGCTGGTGTGCAAGAACCATCGCAAGCTCCTCCCAGACAGGACGACAAGTTATTACTTGGCCATCTCGACTTCGAGGACAAAGGCCTTGACGCATATCTCGAAGTGAACATAGCTGATACTTATGCCGCGATACATCTTGGAAGAGGAAAGAGAAAACAAGGGAAAATCCAAGGGTGCGGGCCGAGCTGAGAGGGAGAGGCAAAGAGATAAGATCAAATAAAGCCTAGGGCGAGATTGCTCCAGTTCAGCTCGAGACTGCTATTCCCCTTTCCTCTTGGAATTGAGATTATACTTGCACCACTAGGTAGCTCAGGACACGGCCTGTGAACATTGTACTTCGTAAACCCTCCTCTATTACGTATATTGCTGTTTGATGACTTGAGAAAGAAAAAAGAAGAAAAAGGAGGATATCCAATGCAAACCCTAACCTAGCGATCAAAAAGTAATAAAACTGTGAGAACCTGGGTAATTGGCTCTTCGAAACCCGCGCCTTATTGCTATCCTCGCCCTCACCACGTCCCGTCCTGTCCCTACGACTCAACCTTGGCCTTCTCAATACTCTCATCAATCTCCCTCGACAACGCAACCAAATCCCCCTCCTCCCCCTCCAACTCCAACGCCCTCCCCACCCACTCCTTCGCCTCCGCCAACCTCCCCATCTCCATCAAGCACTTCCCCCTCCTCCACCAAGCCTTCGTATTCCCCACCCTCTTCGCCTCCACGCTCGCCTCGGCATCCACGGCCCCCTCGGGCCACCTCCTCAGCGCCATGCACGTCTGCGCCCTGTTCGCGAACAGCGCCGACGACTCCTCCCTCACCAGCTGCGACCTCTCCCACGGCGGGCGCGACAGCGCCATCTGAAGTCCCATCGTGTACAGTTTTCCCGCTTCGTCATATTTGCCCTTGCGGAATTCCGCGTTGCCGGCGTCCCGGAGCCGGTGCACGCCCGCGCTGCGTTTGGGGTTCACGGGGATCGGCGGCGGGGGCACGCCCAGGGGTCCTTCGAGGGTGTTGAGCATGTACGTGAGCATGTTGAGTTGGGCGAGTTCGGATTCGAGGGTGCGGGACGTGGGTTGCTGGGGGCCGGGGGTGACGGCTTTGGTTTTGGGGTCTACGGAGAGGGGGAGGAAGTCGAATTTGTCTTGGTCCATTGTTGCGTGGGTGTGTGAGAGGGTTGTGTGGTTTGGTGTTTTTTTTTTTTTTTTTGTGTTGTTTCGGGGGCGAGGTACGGTTTCGAGGTTGGGTTTGTATGTTTCGTTGAGGGTTCGAAGCTACTGGGCGATTGCAATTCTGCACCCAATGTCGAAAGAGCGAGGATTGGAAACTTGTTCGCAGCTCTTCGGGAGCAGGGGAAATCAACGAGTTTGCGGAAAGCGCGATTGCGCAGGTGCGGCTCGAGATATAGAATGAAAATTGACTCTTTTCGTGATAAGTCTTTTTCTTATGCGGTCTGACGAAGGAAAAGGGATTTGTCCGAGGCCGCGTTGGGGAGGAGAAATTGTCGTTAGTTCTTAAGAGGATCTTGATGAAGCTTGGTCATTGTATTTGCTGTTGAGGACGAAGCTCGACGTGTCAAAAGAGGCCAGTTCACTTGAATTTCCACACGTCTTATCGACAGTCACGTGGTGATAAGACGACTTGCAGAGCGACTTCACTTCAACGACAACGCAACTGCGAGACATGTGGCAGGCGGGCGTCTCCAACTGACATCGAGCAACTTGGGAAGATGCAAATACGGACAACTCATAGACGACTGTTACTTGTTGGTACTGTAAACGCCAGCCTCTTTGATTAAACAATAAACAATCTCTGATCCTGGAGGGTCCTCCTCGCCCTCAAGTATTCTCCCATTCTGTTTTAAGTTGCCTGCGATGATGATTCCTAGCTCATGGCCCCTTGCCTAGATGAAGTTTACATGTTTCTCTCTTGCTTCGCTTTGCTTTTTATTCTTCCTCGGTGGTTTAAAAAAACGCCCCTTCGGATATCTATCCGTGTGTATATGTATCAATGATCCCTTGTGCCTCCCAAAGCTCCTTGCAAAACCCCAAGCATGAGGTAGAGGTGCATTAAGCAGTGAAAGACTCTCCGATTTCCCATTTCTGATCAAACATGCGGCATACCCAGTACAACTGATCGTCCCAGTTCACTACATACTTGAATGTCTCTCCTGCCGAGGAAAAAGAATGTCAGTATTCATCGAGCTCGAGAAAGGAGTCGGTTTCTTGGGAGGAAGGGCGGCTAAACTAACTCTTCTTCCGCATCATCATACAACTCTTCTTGATAAATGTGAATTGCTCTGCCGTGAGATCTGCGAGACGAGATCTATGCCGGTCAAGACAGGTGACCTCGAGAGGATCCTCATCAGTGCGGTAATAATGCCAATAAGCGAGTAAGACGTTGGCGCCGAAATGCAATTCCTCGACAAATCTGGGCAGGGTATAACCCTTCTATATTTGAAAAAGGAACACTTTGTGAGCAAGCCGTCCAAGGTTTTGGGTGGACAGTTTTGGATTTTGCATCCATACCTGAGCTCCATTTTCTCTCCCGTGCCGCCGGCGGTCTGCTGACACCACAGAAGCACTGTGGAGGAATATGAATATGGCAAGATAAAGAGTGAACCAACTTCGAGGCTTGTTCGCCTTGAAGCGATTCTCCAGCTGCTTGAGGAACCTTCTCCGCAGCGGCGAAATGATGTCGGTGGCGTTGATGCTGTCGTTTTGCGCGACAACCATCCGAGGCGTGGACACGCGACCGTACAGCGGGTACGACTGGTCATCCAACTCGGGTTGCATGCCTAGCTTATCCTCTCCGCAAATGTGCGACGATCCGACAGTGTGCTCTGTGAATTGGTCAGCGGGCGAGGAGAAGTCAAAGTCAAAGGGTATGGGTGGACTTACTGATTGCGAGCCAGAGTCGGAGGACGTCAGCTAAGAATTTCCACTCTTCAGGCTGCTCATGATCGGAAAGTCCTTTCACCTTTCCAATCCCGCCATGACGTCAGCATATTCTAAAACAGCCATCAACCGAATTTCTGCGAACAATCAAGGCGTAGGAGCTTACCCTGAGATTCTGATACTGCAGGATCACCCAGCGGAAGGTTTCGCGGATCAACTCGTCGTTGTTCTCGTCCTCAGTAACCGCTACAAGAGCGTTCATGACATTCGCATTTATGTATTCCTTGAGCGCCTGGGATGCCTGCCGTATGTTTGCTAGTGCGTAAGGCTCGAGCTCCGTCCGTTTCACAACGTTCCCATCGCGCCAACACCGGTAGGTAATATCGCCGGCCGCAGGCTTGAAACGCTTGACTTGAAGAACTAGAGGCACGGGAGAGATACCAAGGGTGATCGCGATTGTTCGAATACCTTCACCGGACCAGTCGTCGACGTCTCTCATCGTGAACCCCTGCCACCGCTGTGTCAGATTCAAACAACCCTGGGACCCTGCATCTGACCGGCTCAGTGTGATATCGGCAATTTTCCAGCGTAGACATGGAAGCCGATGGATGACCTTTTTCGATTCCTTTTGGACGTCTCTACAAGTCTGGCACTCCCTGTTGGGATCATTCGGATCGGGTTTGCACTGAGTTATAGGTGTTAGTTTGGAAAATTGAGCATTGAACTTATGAAGGTCCCAGACGCCTCTTTAAGGTGAAGGATTAGGTGTTATAGAAAAAAAGCCAAAAAAAAAAAAAAATCTCTGTCAAGGATGGGAAGACGCTTACCCGAGAGCGCTGAAAACGACAACGGATGCAAGCACCAGTCTTGCGCGTTTCTCCCGTTTCCCGTCGCGCATCCTCCGAAAACGCAGCGCGTGTCTTCTTCGCCACTTTTAAAGATGGGGAATCTCGCTCGTCAGGCTCATGTCCCAATTCCAAGTCGTCGCTACCCAGTTGTTCAGGTTCTCCAACAGAGAGAGATTCTTGAGACAATGCGTTGTCGGAGCCCACGGTACGACTTCGATCGGAATGGGTCGTTATAGAACTCTTAACCTGCAACCCGGGATGTTCGAAGGGCATCGCTTCTTGACCGTAGATGTCAATTTGAGAACTATCCTGGCGCTGTTGTTCGTATTGGTTGGTGCGAGGCAGTGCCATGTCGGCATGCATAAACCCTAGGGGATGAGGCCCTGCTACATCACTGCTTTGTACTGATAAGCCTGGGCCATACTCGTGCCGATTCAGCTCGGAATCAAACGCTGGGCCGTTGGTCTCGATGACTTGGTGACGTTCGGCTTGCGGGACAAAATACTGATGAACCGGAGAAGAATCATTCGAGCCCTGTGGTGCCATCGTGTCCATCATCGGGGGATCGACAGGACGGTTACTGTTGCTGGGATGAGTCGGCCCATGGGGTGCTGATGGATCGAGATTGTAACTAGGAGATGGCATATTTCCGTGAGGTTGCGGGTTGTGCATCTGGACTCCTAGACCCTGCATAACATGGTGGTGAGAAGGATATGCGAGAGTCTCGCGAGGATCCGATTCCGTCGGCGATGACAACTGAAATGATTTCGACTGGCTCGCCACCGATCTGTCACTTTGAGCATCGAGAGGCGTAGACCTCTCGGGAAACTCATGCTTCAACCCCACATTTCTCTGGGCGTTAGAAATGGCATACTGAGGGATGGTGGGATACGAAGCGAGGCGTGGCTGGTGCATCTCAATGCCTTGGTTGCTCGAGAAAGGATTCGGTGCTGCGTTGTCCCCTTCCATGATCGGTTGACGGACGTTGACGTTTGGGGGTCGGTGGGACTGTGGTAAGCGTTCAAATTCACGAAACTGGTATGCGGGATGAGGATACAAAGACAAAGAAGGGGCCTGTCTACGGAAGTGATCGTCAGCTCGCACAGTCGACACCACGTTTGGTAGGCTATATGACCTGTCGGAGGATCTGCCGCCGAGAGGTGTGTTCTGGGGGTGGGGCCATACATCAGAGTCGTATCTGATATTGCCGATTTCTGATGGTGCTAATAGCGGATCTGGAAGACCACCGGAGCAGTAGGGACGTTCGGTTGAGGTCAGTGGAGTCTGGATATTCCACGTTTCTGAAGAGGCACGAGTTGGCATCCGGGGGTCCCAGGTAGAAGTTCGAGATGTCGTTGGAGAAGATGAAGCGGGGGAAAGTTGGGGATGAAATATAACTGTCGGTTCCGGCTCTATAAGGGCAAAGGTGCTCCGGTTAGACCAGCTTCGGCGGCTCTTCTTACAAAGTGTGCAGGGTACTCAAGTCCCCGCCGGTGAGCACGGAGATATCAACGCAGTTTTAACAGCCGCTCCACGGAATACGAGCAGATTGCAGAAGAAAAAAAAAATGGCTTGGCTATCAGTGATCCCTGGGCACAGGTGCATTACGCATGGCTAGTGACTGCAACCGTATGACACTAGCGGTGGACTGCCGACGAGGTGTCACAGCGTATGATGCCGTCAACCGTGAGGAATGCTGTCTCGTGCGATTCTCGCAAATCTCTGGGGTCACAGCAACAAGACAATGGCATGACCAAGAAGCCCGGCCACAGAAGTGGGTATCTGGGATGAAGACTTAAGGTGGAGGAAGAAGGGGGCTGGGTTGAGCATTATGATATAGGAGGGAGCGGTGAGAGGGGGATGAATGTGGGCAATACGCCGCAAGGACCTTACTCAGATTGGACTGATACATGACGAAATACATGGGAAGTGATTGCAAAGAGCAAATAAGGCAACCTTTTTAAGCGTATACAGCAATGTAAACTAGGCATACCTTCATGATTCTGATGCTTGGGTTGGGGAGAAAGTCGGCCTGGTTGGCTCCCAGATCCACGGAGATAGGGGTCTGGAACGGGACGGGACGGGTCTATTAGCATGTCGTCGTATGTGTCACGGGTGGCAACGTCGAGCTTCGGCTTGTGAACTGTTGGTGGAGCATTCTTGACCCAACCGGCAAGCTCGGCCGGGGCGGACCAGGCCGCCGTCGGTGCAGCAGGAGTGTGCGCGGTCACCAGAGACGACCGTTTCACGGGACGGCCATCCGAAGAGAGGCTGGCCCTGCTCCGCTTCAAGATCGGATGGTAGTCATCACTGCCGGGATAATGTGAATTCTGACGATGAATTAGATGTATTGACCTCCATCGATGGGGCGAAGGCACATGGACAGACGACATGCCGGGCGGGAGGGGGGAGTCACAAATCAATTTTTTCGAGAGAGAAAGGGGGAAAAAGGCAACGAATTTGTGTTGGAGGGACAAACGAGCGCCTACCTGTGTTGATGTATGACCGCCTACATCGAGGTCGTCTGTCGCTTTATTGGTTGGGTGGGCCATGACGATGGACACCGGGTTTACGACCTTCGTACTTGCTTTCCGGGCAGAGGTACGTTCAAGGTGGTGTGCAGCTCCGCGAGTACCAGGGCGCTCATACGTGGCGGAAACAGAAACAGAGGCAGGTCAATTTGGGAAACCGGTGAGGGTGACTGTGAGTGGGAGTGCAGAGAGGATGAAGAAGGTCAGGGAGGGATAACGAAATGGAATTGGGTGCGAGGGCTCTCTCAGGCTCTGGCCCCAGCTGGGGGTTGGCACTTGGCAGTGTACCTCGTACAAGAATGCATTTGGAGGCCCAGGGTTGCAGCTCCTCTTTCTGTGGCTTTCCGCTCATCAGGTCCGAGTCGGGAAAGTGCAGCTTTAACAACGTCCGTGTACTTCGTACATAAAAACCATAATTATGAAGGGGCACGAAGTCGCTGCACAAGTCTCTGTTTGCAAGGGGGTGTTGAGCTTCCAATGAGATTGGAATCTGGAGGGGCGGACAATTTTGAAATGTTACAATGTACTTTGTACCAACTTTCACTGCATGCAAGGACTTCGGATGAAGTACACATACAACACTGACGAAGTTCCTGTCTTGCTATCCCACGCTTTCCTTTTCTATTGCACCAACCCAACACATGAAGCAACCAACGCCATGCACGCGATTGCTCAACCTGCACTGCACCTTAAAGTGTGTCTAGCCTCTCATGAAGAGCATGTTTGACAAGACAGCACTTTACTAGCCCAGGCCAGTTTCACGCAAGTTATTCCCAGTTTGGTTCATGTAGCGAGTAACCCAACCAGCGACCAGGGAAAGAGGGCGGGACTGACGAAGGAAGTGATTGACAGCATCCAATACCCCATATATTGATGTGCATTGATGTACGGAGTACATAGGGCTGTAGACTGACCCGTCTTGGTTGGCAAGCAAGGCGAGTGGTCTTGCGCTACGTTTATTGTGAGACGGGCTCAATTTCTATCAATCCATCATTGATCCTGGTGGATCGGATTAATGGTCTGGGCCGGACAATCGCATCGAGAGATCAAATGATGCAAGTTTTTTATTCTTGCGTGAACTACATCTATCGGCCGAGTGGATTGGCGATTTTAAGCCCAGGTTTGCTGTTAGTGAGGTTGGGCGTCTTGGCTTAGGTGGTATTGATTAATACTCAATATTACCATGCCTACATTGATATCTGTACACTACTGGAAGCACTTCGCTATAAGGACAGGGTCAGGGTGGTAGCAGACAGCGCGCTGGGCAATGGAGGCATTATTGAAATATATCCGCACAGACCAGTAATTGATACATACTCGTACTAGTCTATCGATGCGTGGTGCGGACGACCTCACCGGCTTCGGAATTTGTTTCGGGGAAGTAACCTGTCAGTTCGAATCTGTTGATTTGGAAGACTTGACTCGATCAAACGCCGCCGCCTTCTCCACTCTTTCTCTTTGTCATCTGGCTTGGCGTCAATACAATCGTACAATCGCAATCCATGTTACATGGTAGTACTATAAAGTGGTAATAATAACTGGCAGCAACAAGCAGGTGGCTGGTTCCTTGACTGCATTCATCTTGTCTTTTTGACTCCCGTGCCACCTTCCCGAGACCAGGTGAATCCCTGTCCTTCTCGCTCTTGCCTCGGGGCTGTCAACGTACGACTGGTTTTACGGCCGCTCATAACTTGGAGAACATGGCAAGCAATGTTCTCATATGGACTGATTGGCTCGGCGTCTGTGGATGGTCTTGGGGGTCAAGTTGCAATATCATGACTGCACAATATATATCAACAATGAATGGTGCATGTGGGGGCAGCATTTTGAGACTAGCCTGCGGTTCCTGAACCGCGGAACACGGCTCGGAGTGCAGACTTCGACGTTGGAGACTTGGAGTGGTGGTCCAGTCCCAAGAGACTAGACCCAGAGAGGATGGGGGTGACCAAACTGAGCAGCAGCAGTGCGACGAAGTAAACCACGTACATGGGGCATGTGTTCTTAAGTACGTCATGACTTCCCTCTTCGTCTTCCATTTCCCTCCCCTTCCCATTCCCCGGGAACAGAGTAAAGCAACCCATCTCTAGGGAGTTTTCTGCATTTCATTTCGTAATGTAATTGCTACCCCAAATTTCGGGTCGAGCTCGGAGGTCGATGCGAAGTAGCGTATTGATAGATTATAACTGGGGACGTTAAGATGGCCTGGGTGGTCTGATCTGTGCTGCCCCCGCCTAGTATAAAGGCAGCCTGAGGCCGCCTTGGGGGCTTGGGGGCTTGGAGAATGGTGGGTATGGGTTTACTAGGTTAGTGTCAGAATTGGATCGGCGTTGCTATCTTGGTTCGTTTTAGTGTGTGACCGTTGCGGTATTTCGGGCGTGAAGTAACCGACGATGCCCACTACGACCGCTTGGCTGGCCTTGCGATTTACATTGGCTCCGTCGTTTCCATCAGTGATGTCCTTTCGCAATGACCATTGGGTGAATGCTGTGTGGAACCGCCCATGCGATCGAGTGTGATCGAAACTTTACTTCGTACTTATGTTCCCTCTCCCTCCCTCCCCCTTCGGCTCTCGCCTTTTCCAGAGCCCCAGCATTCTGCCCCCAAAGTTCCAAGATCGAAGTTCTTGTGCGATAAATGGACGCCACCCCTTTCAGGCAGATGTTTGTTAGGCTAACGTGGACTGCAGAAACCCGAAATCCCGGTGCACTTCATCCTGCAAGTGTATGATGGGTCGCGACTTTTCTCGCTTGTTCGGTCAGGTTTCCTTTGCTGGATGAGCCTATGCAAGTGTTCAGATGCGTCTATTACACGCTCCCCTCCCTCGAATCCAAGTCCATGTAGGTGGATGATTTCGTCCAGACGCAAGCGCCTGTCGGGCGGCTCGCTCTCTTGAGCCCTGCCATCTTTCCCGTCAAACTTTTTTTTTCCAAGAAACAGTCCTAGATCCTTTACCTACCTCTGCCTGCTTTGATTATTTCATACTTACTTGGACGATGTCGACATGTGCCCCGTCAATATACCTACCCTTCACCTCGGGCCCTTCCTTCTGCTGCTGGGAACCCCATGCAGCCTTGTTCTACTCTCTACTTCTTCTTTTGTTAAATATCCTCAGTCCTACCTTCATGCTTGTCCACCTGGCACTCTGTTTTGGCACTTTCATCTATTGGTTCGTTAGGGAGGGAAGTTGCACCCCCATCAAGTGTGCATCCACAAGCTTAGCTGCCTCCCTAGTCCCTACTCCTTGGCATCGCTTTCCATTCTTAGAGCCTCCTCTTTCACTCACTAATAGCAGCAACAATGAACAATGATTCAGCTATGCTATACACATAATCACATAAGCAGATACATGGGATCTGACAGAGCAATGAACCTTGGACCCCTGCACATCTCCCCTGCACCTTCCTCCTCTTCCCCACGATCTTAGCCGATCTGTCCATAGATCCTTCCAATCCCGATAGTTAACCTTGAATCGATCACATTGCAACTTCCATTCTGAGAACTGAATCATCTGCTACGCCTTATTCAGCCTTATTCAGAATCAACAACCCAACTTGTGTGATTCAACCACCATGATTCAGAGAAACCCAACTATGCCCCCACCTCCAACAGCCCCCAAACTGTGAACTATATAAAGAACATCTCTACACAGCCAAACCTAAACCTTTTACCATCTTGGAATCAAACAACATCCCCGCTCGACCACGACGACATTCTTCTCAGTGATATCCACTGCTAGCCCATACCCCTTGACAATATTGGAAGCGTTTACTACTCTACAGCTAATCCCCCGAGACCAACGCCTTAACAAGGACCCACTCACACCTTGTTAACTCTTTCTTTGAACATTTTGACAATGTTTTCCCACCCCATCATCCAGGGCCCCCTCGTGTGGGATGGATCCATCGAGGCTTCGCCCGAGCTCTTCACCTTGACTCTCGAGAAGGAGGACCAGGTCGAGATTGACACAGCCCTTGAGGTTTTCAAATGTAAGTACCACGTTCGCTCTCTACCAATTTACCAGTGCTGACAGTTTTATTTCTGAATTTAGCCTACGGACTCGACGGCGGCGACGTCTCCGCTGACAACTTCCCCCTCCCCGGACTGAAGAAGCGCCTTGAGAAGGTCAAGGAGGAGCTCCACAATGGCGTGGGTTTTTACGCGATCCGGGGCATTGACCAGTCCAAGTATTCGGTCGAGGATTCCGTCGTTATCTACCTCGGTCTCGCCCGTCACATTGGAGATCGCTTTGGTCTCCAGGATCGAGATGGCAACATCCTTTGTGAGTTTGAGGGAGTGGATGTTCAAACCCGCGCTGCAGTGCAAAATTATATTAATCCTTCTGTCTTCCATGATTACAGGTCACGTTACCGATTCCAAAGCCTGGAGCGTCCCGGCAGAGCTTCGTCATGGAATTCATTCCAACAAGAGCCTGGTAAGAGTCTAAATCACACTTCGAGTCTTACGGTTTATTTTCTAATATGCTTCTGTCCTAGCCCTTCCATAATGACATGGGTTGCGATATCCTCGGCCTTCAAGTTCGGCAGAGTGCCTCCAACGGCGGATCCACCTATCTCGCCTCCGCCGCGACCATTTTCAATGATTTGGTTAAGACTAAGCCCGACGTTGTCGAAACTTTGTTGAGCCAAACCTGGCCCATTCAGGTGTAAGTGTCTCTAGGCATTTTCTGGGGCAACTTCTTTTTCTTGTCTCTCCTTAGCTTCCGGAGACCCTGGCTAACGTTCCTAAAGGTCTGGCCAGAAAGCGAACTACATCCTCGCGCCTTTGATGAAGATTTTCGAGGGCAAGCTTTTGACCAGCGTCGATCCTGGTCGGCTCGGCCCTTACCCTAGTGCCGATTCGAAGCCGAGCGAGGTTCCAAGTCTCACTGAGTCCCAGCAGGCGGCTCTCGATGCCCTGATGGAATCTGCTAAGAAGCACGAGGTCCGCGTTTCGTTGAACGCTGGAGACTTGTTCTTCATCAACAACTGGGCAGTCCTGCACCGCCGTGATTCGTATCATGACGATGACGACACTTCGCGCCACTTGGTTAGGCTCTGGCTTCGGAACTCCCAGATGGGTTGGGCTGTTCCTGAGGAGATGCAGATGCCGTGGAAGGCCGCCTACGGACGGAAGGAGGAGGATGGCGTCTACGCCATCCTGCCCATGCCCGAGTACAAGGTTCCGCGTTATACAGCTGGCTCCGCTGCTTTCATGATCGAAGACAGCGATGATGAGTGAATTGCGCAGCGCAAGGGGCTTGTGAGAGCTCTGATTTGCTGGCGATTTTAAATTAGTCTAACTCGAGAGCATTCCCAGATTGAGCATAGCTCCTTTTCCGGAAAGTGGAAACTCGTTATTAGGGACGTCGGCTGGAGTTGATTGCAAGGTTTCGAGCTAGTTATAATGGAGAATAGATACCCACCATTGACTTTTTCACTTTTTCTGCTTCTGACTGTCTGACGTGCCCACTGACTTACTTGATGTGTTGGATGCTCACAACTTTCTCAGAGCCATGGATGTCCTCGAGACCAGAGATGCTCTAATTCCAACCTATTGGTATCCGATCTCGCTCTTGACTTAACGTCGCACTCCGCAGACCATCACCAATTAAATAAGCTCGTCGTGGGATGTCTTAACCGGTCCAGCAACGATTTGAAATGCCCTGATTGCCCATGTGTAAGCTCATTTACGCCCGACATATAGGGTTGCGTCATTGTACCTCTCCCCCAGACATGCGGCTTTGATCCGATCCCTGGCTCCAAGCTCAGGGCTGAGGGAGGGGATGAAGGAAGCATCCTCCCGCAGGCCAACGCTGCGGCTCCTTGTGATGAGGCACGTGACGCGGCTTTTTTTGGACCTGGGAAAAGCCTCGACGTATCAGGAACAAGATAAATATGGTCGGTCCATTGTGAGAAGAAAATAAAATACGAAGTAGTTTAAAAGCGTCACGAAACCCCCCATGTACCCAGTGATAGGTCACCTGTCAAGGTGCAGCTTCCTGCACGAAAGGGAGGGGTATCGTGGTGGTATTCAGAGATCCGAGAATCCGGGATTGTGATGCCAGATGTGGTGGAGACTTGTCAGACGGATCAATTCTCGGGACTCTACATAATAGTAGTGCGCCAATTATGCAAACTAGTTGTGCACGTTCCTGATCCACTTTCTTCTGTTATCTTTTTCCTCTGAGTTTTTTTTTTTTTTTTTTTCCATCATTTACTTTCGATATCCTAGCCCTTCTCTAAAGAGGATGTCCATAACTGTCACCAGCTCCATCGAGACGAACTTTAGCGGTCTTTTCCGATGGAGTAATCTACTTCGTAGAGAGGAGTGAGGAGAATCTCACAAACCGTCCCTGGAGGCCTTGTGCGTAATAGTTGCTACCTCCACAAGTCCTCGCGGAGAATCGGCAAAGAACAGACTACACTAGCTCGTCGGAACTTGGAGGCCTCGGCCCGGTTATGAGTTGGTCTTGCCGGGGGCAGAATGACGAGCTCGGCTTCGGCAGCCCAACGATGCTTCGTCCTGCTGGGCCTCTTTTACGTGCTGGCTGTAAGTCTACTTGTCGTACAAGAGGGAAGGGTTACTTGAAGGTGTAAGCTACGAAGTACATATTCATGGGGTATCTGGCCGGGTAAATATTTCCCAAGATCAAAGAGGCCCAGCAGGTTCAGGATATGTTCTGTACTACGTAACGATATCAGCCTCACCAGCCGTCCATCTGAGTGGACCAACGACCCTTGTCACGCAAAGCATCTAGGCGCCCGGGGGTGGCGGAATGCCCGACGATTGGAGGACTTGAGAGATTAAACCGGTGTGTGATATCGGGTTCGGATCTCTTTCTGCCATCTGGGAAAGCGATGTCTTCTAAAACCGGTGAAAACTGCGAGAGCTGAGATCCGGGATATCGTAACCACTCTGCAAGCACCACGTTCTGTCTGTGGTTAGCCTATCAGTTCACTCGCATGGCAATTCGGCGGTATATGCAGGTGGCAGGTGGTCAACTGCCATGGGGGTTTTGGTGACATCGCGTAATCCTTCGATTCGTCGTCCCAAGTTATCAGGTCCTTTTTTTCGATGCGGGAAAAGAAGGATCAATGAATGCACCGGTATGTGGGGATTTGTGGGTGACTTCAATGTGGGATTTCACTTTTCCATGATTGGCATCTCGCTTTCCCATGACTCGGTAGGAAAGCGGCCCAGATCGGCTGGAGTATAGTGTCATACTACAACCCTTTGACCGGCGCCTCACGATACGACACACACCTCGTACTTTCTTGGCAAAAGTGCAACGCTGGGGGCCAATGGACAGTGTTCTAGTAATGTATCTCCCTGGATGTGCCTCAATTGGAAATCCGAGGCTGAAGTGATAGTTTACTGATAGACTGATAGGGGTACACCAAAGACTGACATACTTGTACCAGGCTATCACAAAGCATCTGAGGTTGGGAGCGGGGAAATACTACTGCTCAGGCGAGCTGAACATCATCCGCAGAGATGACAATCCTCAGAGGAACCCGAGAGGGAAAAAGAAGAGAGCGCCATCACTTCTCGGTGCCGAATTCCCAAGGGGTCCCAAGGGGTGAGCGGAGCCCAGATGGCGCAACGCCTACTCTTATAGCAGACTGCGCCTCGCACGGCGATCTTCGGCATCCATTTCAACCAATAATATATCAAGAGGACAGCGAAAGATGCGTCTGGCCATTTCCCCCGCCCACCTCAATGGTGCGACGATATGCCTAATGTCAGCCTCACTTTCAAGGAAGAAGGGGTCTAGGCCAGGTCTATGGGTCGATAGAAGATCATCTTTCTAACGGCGAACTTCCACGAGGTCATCTCAGGCCATATGACCCTCCGATGGTGTCAGGGATAGGTCGAGGTTGTTTAAGGTTTGTTAAGGGGCTGCGAATGGTCGCATTCTCTGCGTTTTGATGGGATTCATACTGTCATCAGTTTTTTTTTTCCATTTCGACACGTTATGAGTGTGACCTTTAGTTTATGATCATTTATGGCAACTAGCTTGGGGAAACTTCGTTACAAGCGGGGAAGAGCGTGCTAATATTCCGAGCTATAGTCTTCCTTCTCCAAGCCCGCCGACGAAGAGGCAACTATTCCCTGCTACCCATTTTTGCCCAGCCACGAGTAAAAAAAGAAAAGAAAAAAGGATCGAGTGTTCATTTTGGTGGCGACTTTCTCAGTGGCGAGGATCAAGTGATGAAAAAAAAATCGTAGTGTCACATCCTCCCATACCACTATCCCCCACATTCTCGCCATTTCGGCTCCGAATCCGGTCCGACCAAAGCACTTTCAGGAGAGAGCAGTCCTATTCAAACTAAAGTTGACGCTCTTTGACCCTGGTCCCGGCTTATGGGCACATTCGTCTGATCTTCATCAAATTCTTCTGGAAGCTCTTCTGCTCGGGCTTGGCATTAGCAAGAACCGAACCAGGCAGACCTGGACCCCGGAATTTCGGTGTTTGGGGGATTGGAAGTCAAACGGCACCTCTCGGCCACTGATGCCTAGATACGGTTTTGCCACTTAAACGGGTTTTAATAGTGATGGGTGAGACACTCTTCTCGCTTTTTCAACAGGGCTAGTAGGCCGGGGGAGGTTGTGTATGTCGAAACGGTTTAAAAGCGAATGTTCTGTCAACTTTTTTTTCTCAAGCCAGAGTTGCTAAAACCAGACGCTAATTCTTCCAGCAACCCGGTTCAAATAGAGTTTCTATTTAATGGGTGGCAAGGACCCCTTCTCGCATAGATGAGGTGGAGACGTTCTTCTTTCTAGACTGCACTAGTGTTTTAGTCGTCCCACAAGCAGGATCCATTTCTCGCCTCCAGAAAGTGGTCGCACGGTATGGCCCAGCAATATCAAGCTCTGTGAAGTATGCGAGATTATATTTAACTGGAAGGCTATATCTGGCTCCTACCTAGAGCACGGGATCGCGAACTTATGCTCGATGCCACCTCTTCCAAGAATGCGAGGACAATCATCCGAGAAAGGGGAATCCGCTAGGGATGGGTCAACATACACCGATATAAGCTTTCCTGTGTTGCGACCCTGCGACCCTGTTATCAAATAGTCAAATAGCCCAAGAAAGGTCCACTTGGTCTCAGTCCCTATCACTGGTAGTGGCCGGAGGTATTTCGGACAGGAGAGTAAACTAAACTGAAGGGCTGTTACACTAAAGAAAAGGGAAATATCTCCTAGCTTTGGACCATCGCCCTTCGCCATACCAAATCTCCGCTGCGCTAGAGCTGATATTAGTGCAGGTTGGAAACACTACGTACGTAACATCGTAGCATGGCGTAGTGCGTACACCGGGGACCCGCAGTTAGATTCGCCGTTGAAGCGGATCATTTGGACATGTCAAAGCTCAATCCGTCTAGGAAACTCGGCCGCGGCCGGAGATGTGGTGGGGGGTTGTGGGCGGTTTTTCGGAGTTCACATGGGCTCTTTGGGTCACACCGGCGACTCTTGGCTCTTGGGCCTTGGACCTGAGCAGGGTTTGTTAAGGGGTCGTGGCGAACGTTGGGGCATGGACGAGGTAATGCTAGGGTGGGATTTTAGTGGGATTTTGGGAGCAGACTAAGTTTAGGGGGGATAATCTAGAATGGGATGCGGACGAGGGCAAGTCGTGGGATGGACGGAATCATTCCTTGTGGCCATGATCCGTGACCTTCTTGGCTCAGACGAGGAGTTTATTTTAAGACAAGACCAGGGCAAGTCTAAATGTGTTGGTACGTTGGGCTGCTTCCATGATTTGTGCAATACGAGATCCTTTTCACTTGGATACGTCGAGTGATGTCAGGTCTGAATCGGCACGGGCGGACCGCGGCCGGAGTGGGAGCTGGACTGCCGAAGCACTCCCGGAGGCTGTCGAGGCATCTCCGGTCCTTAAAGGGATACCGCATTCACATCCCTTTACAAGCAGCGGCCCCAATAGGCAAAGATCATCGGCTTATTCTAGAATGACCTTGCGGTATACCGTGCCCACGGGAGTCTCCAGATGTGAGTCCTTGGTGTAGCTATGATTCTCCTGGCCGGATCTAAGGTCATCCCCATATTCCCAATCTTCTGGGGTGAGCAACTCATACTCGACTCAGACAGACCGTCCAATATCAGGCTGAAAGTGTACGTCTTGAGAACTGATGCCACCCAATTCCTGGCTGTTGAGAGTCAAGCCTATTAACGGGGGCTTTTCTTATTCTTCATTTTTTTTTATCCTTTTCTAGTCAAAACAGACCCCAACATTTTCGGTTTTTAGCTGCGAGCTATAAAAAGGGTGCATAGGGATTCGGTCCAAAAGCAAACCCAATCCAGGGGCAACATGGTGACATTTGATCTAATGAAGACGAGACTGCGCAGCATCCTTCATCCAGGATACAAGCACTCACGTAATAGAGCTCGCGCCGCAAGGGTGAAGAGAGACATGGACGAATACTTGGGAAATTGCCCTGGTCTCACATTGCTTTTACGACCAAGGCGCTAAGATCTGAGCGCTGAGCCAAGTCCGTTGGGGCAAATATCTGTTTTTTCTTTTCTCACCATGTTTATGGAGGGTTTTGCTTTTGGCCGATCATCGTCTCTACTTTGCGGGATGGCTTGACCAATTGATGGAGGCTCCAAGAGCACCATGTTTTTATTTTGTCTACGACGCGAAGCAGTCGAGGTCAGATGGTTTTTGGTGGTTCTGGGAAAGCCATGTCTTTTCGTATTCCTCGAAAACTGGGAACGAGCTGGCCATCGAGCAGGGAAGAAGATCCATCGAAAGGAGTTCGATGGACGATGGAGGTGCCGGCTACCCGTGGTTTAATGGTTTTTTTCTCTTCCCTTTCGGTCGGGGATGATTTCGCGTGTCTCGACAAGTTGAAGACTCTTCCGGGATCCGGAAAGGGGGAGTGAGACATGCATCTTATCCTCATGGCTTCTCACCGGGACCTGGGGAGAGAATACGGATGTTCCCCGTCCGGAATGTCGATGCTCCCTCCTTCTCCTTCGTCAGGACCTTTTTCCGTGCCGGCGTACCGGGGGACTCGAAGAATCACAACACGCGTTTTGCAATCTCCTCCATTGTGAGACATGGCGACATTGGAAAGATCAGAGGAGTTTCGGATGCAAGACTGCCAATATGCGGCACGTACATAAAGAATGCGGCCGCTCTCCCCGTAATGTCGATCCTAGGAATTAGCATCGCCATCACTCTTTTTTCTTTTCTTTTTCTCTCTTTTCTTACCGGCGCCTCCTCGCCTGGTCTTTTAAGGCCCTGTCCCCCCCACACTCCCCCAGATAATATCTTTGATTCTCTGTTTTCTAAGAGATTTTGCTCTCTGGTCCACTCGTTCAGTGTTTTTGGTTGATGTTTACCTAGTGATAGTGCTCTCACTCCTTTACGAACATAACATACCTGCCTAGTTTTAGGGCGACCATTCGTTTCTGCACTGAAGGGAGCCTATTCATAAGCCCCGCGAGATATGTTCAAGTCATTGACGCTTCTCGCGTTGGGCGCCACTGGCGCCCTGGCCGGCGTGGTCACGAAGACTTGGAGCATCGATTGGGTCAACGCCTCCCCTGACGGCTTTGCTCGTCCTGTAATTGGTAAGAAGCCCCCTTCTCTTTCGTTGCTGTTCGTGGTGTCTTTCTCCCTTGACTGCTAACACATTTCCGAATGGTGTAGGCGTCAACGGACAATGGCCTTGTCCGCCCCTCGAAGTGGACCTCGGCGACAAGGTCGTCATCCACGTTACTAACAACCTCGGCAATGAAACCACCAGCATCCACTGGCACGGTCTCTATCACGAAGGGACTACGAACATGGATGGCGCTGCTCACGTCGGGCAATGCCCTATCCCCCCCGGCAAGAGCTTCACCTATGAGTTCTTCGTCAACCAGCCGGGTACCTACTGGTGGCACGCGCACGTCGGTGCCCAGTACTCCGATGGTCTCCGTGCTCCTTTGATTGTCCATGATCCGAAGGATCCCTACATTGGTGAATATGATGAGGAACATACCGTGACCCTTTCTGGTAAGGAATAATACCACCGGATACCCTCAGGTTGTTCGACTCTGAAAGTCGCTAATGTTGCCTGCAACAGACTGGTACCATGATGAGAGCCCTCCCCTCCTCGTGCAGCTCTTTGATATTAGCAACGTCAACGCCCGTCCTCCCCTGCCCAGCTCCGGTCTTATCAATGACGGCCAAGGGGCAACCTACAAGTTCGTCCCCGGCAAGAAGTACAAGTTCCGCATCATCAACGTGTCTGCTCTGGCCGGTGCCATCTTCTTCATCGACTCTCACTCCTTCAAGATCGTCGAGGTTGACGGAGTGTATACCCAGGCCGCCGAGGCCGAGCAGATCTACATCACTGCCGGTCAGCGCTACTCGATCATCGTCGAGGCGAAGGAGGGTGCCGAGTCGAACTATGTCATCAACGCCATCTTTGATGTGAACCCTGACTTCCATCATCCTCTTCCCCAGGTTGGATTTAACTTGAACGCTACCGGCGCTATTCAGTATGACGCTGCTTTCGGAGCTCCCACTCCCAGTGTTGTCAGCGCCTTCAACATCTATGATGACTTCTCCCTGGTGGTAAGTTCTCCAATACCATTATTAAATAATAAACCGATTTCATTTTGGGCGAAAAAAAAAAGCCTAACCATTCCGGTACTGTCAGCCTTATGACAATCAGCCGACCCTCGGTGAGCCTGACCAGCAGTTCGTCTTGAACTTCCGCATTGGCCTTGATGGGGAGGGTGTTCCTCGGTAAGTGATATTCTAAAACGAACCCGATTCACACCTCAAGAAGTTTGTCACGTCTAACTTCATAATCCAGAGGCTTCGTCAACAATATAAGCTACGTCCACCAAAACGTACCCACCGTCTACACCCTCCTCACCGTCGGCCAAGACGCCAAGGACCCCAAGGTCTACGGCCAGGTAAACCCCTTCGTAATTGAAAAGGGCCAAATCATCGAAGTTATCCTCAACAACCTCACACCCGGCCACCACCCCTTCCATCTCCACGGCCACCACTTCCAAGTCCTCAACCGCTCCCCGAGCGGTGCCGGGGCCTACAAGGCCGGCGACGCCGTCCCCGCCTCGCCCGTAAAGCGCGACACCGTTGAGGTCGAAAGCGGCAGCTCCGCGCGCATCCGATTCCGGGCTGATAACCCAGGTGTCTGGCTCATTCACTGCCACGTCGAGTGGCATGTCCCCATGGGTCTCACGGGCACGTTCATCGAGGCGCCGCTTGCGCTGCAGAAGATTATTGGGAATATTCCCAAGGCTCAGTTGGAGATTTGCGATGAGCAGTGTTTTGGGACGAGTGGCAATGCGGCGGGGAATAGGGCTGATCATTTCGATTTGACTGGTGCTGCTGATCCTCACCATGTTCCAAAGTCGGGGTATGTTTCTTTTCCATGACAAGTGGATGGACGCTCGGATCACTGACGTTTTCTTTTTCTTTGACAGTGCTATTTGGGAGAAGGGGAACTGTGGCAGCAATCCTACTCCTAGTGGTCCAGATGGTTCTAACCCTACTCCTGGAGGTGATGGCAGCGACGGCGCCGACGGCGCCAACGGTGCCGATGGCAAGAATGGAGAAAACGGAGCCGACGGTGGTAAGGGAGGCGACGGTGGTAGCGGAGGCGACGGTGGTAGCGGAGGTAACGGCGGAAACGGCGGAAATGGAGGAGACGGTGGTAATGGCGGCAGCGGTGGCAATGGAGGAGATGGAGGCAACGGCGGCAATGGCGGTAATGGTGGTAACGGAGGCAATGGAGGAAACGGAGGCAGCGGAAGTGGCAGTGGTAGTGGCAGTGGCAGCGGCAGCGGCAGCGGCTCCGGTGGTAGCGGTAACGGCGGTGATGGAAATGGCAGCGGTAATGGAGGTAATGGAGGTGACAGCGGGAACGGAGGCGATGGTGGTGGTGCCGGCGATGGTGGCGACGGAGGTTCCGGAAGTGAAGAGCCCACAGAGGAAGAGTGTGAAGATGTAATCGTTGACTCGGAGTAGAGAACGGTGAGCAAGCAGACGACCCAGCCCATGTCTTGAATACTCAGCTGCAATATAGGCCGAGCGACATGCGTTGGGGACTTCCATTCTTGTACTAAACCTTTGAATTCTTGTTGTATAGGCGCCTTTGGGATTGGATTTCTTTACTGTAATAATACATCTTAAACACGACCCCAGTTTGGTCATCGAGAATTGCTATTTCCTTGTTCGGAACTGAGTAGGTCCTGTCTCAGACTGAGCAAAAGGTGAACAGGGTGAGCAGCGAATAGGTCACTTCCCCTGGCGACATGCTGTTTTCTAATGGTAGAGCGCTCGACAGAGACTCGAGGAATCGTGACTTGAATAGACATAGCAGCTGGATTCAGCACCGGCAATTGTGTCTGTTACTGAAAGCGGTTTGGAGAGCGGAGTAGCCTTTTCTGTCATTCTCCTGGGCATCACAGTGGCTTGGGAACTTGTGAGCTGCGCCGGTCTCCATCTTCTGAGATTTTCCAGATACACAAGAGCGAGACACCGTGGTCGCAGCCGACGCAAAGTAGATTCAGATTGCGACCGTCTGCGACAGTGCCCGGAACAATCTTTCGTGGATATGAAAGGTACAACTGTGTTCGCGAGAGCCATCGACTTTGCCCTGGAGTCCCAAACTGTCTCATCACTTTCGCCCTGTCGCATCCCCAGTATGGCACCCAATTCCAAGGCCGCCGGCTTCTTAATGCATCGCTTCCTAACCTCTTCTCTCCTCATTTTACCAATCTACTACCCCAAAGCACTTACCGTGATGATCCACGTAGTCTGGACCCTTATTTTCCTCCCCTGCCCCGTGCTGCCGAGTGTCTTTTCGGCTTCTGGTCCTGGACAATACCGTCGGATGCCACGCCTGTAAGTCTGTGTTCTCGCTACTCTCAATGTAAAGGCGCGACGGACCATACTTCCCAGATTCCACCTCCTGCGCCACAGCTGTAAACCAACGGTGGAACTCTGCGTATAGTCGCTTGAACCCCCGTGCTTCGAGTGCCTGTCCGAGAAGCTTCCCCCAGAGCTTTGGGTCCTCAGCCTCGCATTCCAGGTTAAAGGTCCCAAGCGAGGTCTCGTCGCCACCCAGAATCGTGGGTAATAAGCTGCAGACTCCCAGTCTATTATCCCAGAAACAGTCCCATCATCAATCCTAGAGTCTCCTCCTTCTGTTGGGTCATCCGGGGTCCTCTTTCCGAAGGTAGAAGATGTTTCCCGCATCTGGCCGGGAAAGGAGTGGGCAAGCTGGCTTTGGTCCGGGGGTTTCGACTGTTTCACAGACCATCATGGAGCCAATGCTCCATCGATTAGGGCTCATCCGAGCGATGGAGAGCCCGATTGGGGGTGCCCTCTCGCTACCATGGTGTTAGGTAAATCATCGGCAGACACGGTTGAGCCTGGACATACCAGAACATCGAAGCGAGATGCTGCTGTCTGTGTCTGTTAGCTGGGCGATTGCGTTGAAGATGTGCGTAGGTAAAGAAGCTGGGGAGGATTGGGCCGAAATGCTTGATCGTTTAAAAAGGCGTAAATCCATATTTGCCCGAAGAGAGTCTTGTATTTGATCAGTACTAGGTGTTTGCTTCAGACATGGTACGCGATGTAAGACAGCAAACGATCAAGAAAACAAGTAAGAGCTCGACAAACGCCACGGGGCAGAGATTGACATGGAACAGAGGCTCAAAAGTGATGCAGGAAGAGAGAGTGCCCACCCCCCCGACAACGCCACACTGTAGCTGTCGGTCAACGGAGCGCGGTGTCTCCTCGCTAAGATCTCTCAATCGCGGCAGTCGCCCATCGCGCCGCGTCCACTGTTTTCACCTCTGGAGCACTCTTCCAAGGAGCATTGACGGATCATAGAACCATGGGAGTATATCGAGCGCAATTTGGAGTTCTTCAGTAATAGAAAAGGTGCTAGAAAGTAAAGAGGATTGTTCAAGACGAGATGATGACGGTTATCGGCGGCTCGTCTACATCGGGCACGCCTGACCGATACCCTCGACGTAATGGAAAGATAGAGTTGATAACAGTTCTAAACACGGAGGACAAGACTGGAAGCTACCTCTAGAGTTAAACAGACTTGCCCGAGCTATAGACAACCCAAGCACTTGGTTGTCAAATGGACAAGAGTGTATAGTCCCAAACCCTGGAAGATGACATGACGAAGACTTGTTGCAAGGACTTAAACCCTCCCCCAAGGACTAGACCCACAGCTATAGTCTTCTTCATCGACCACTAAGTAGTTTGTCAGACAGGAGGCTGGCTGACCTTCTATTAGGGAAAGCTCGCCGGAGAATTTGATCCTGGCGCGCCCCATCCTGGCGGGCTTAACTTTTTGGGGATGTTTGTGCAGATTCATAAAACATGGGCTTGATTGAGCCACATAGTTCGTGCACTCCATAAAGGAACAACCCCGGTCTCGCGCATCAGATTGATGAATCCTCATCCTCGACCTCCTCCCATCAGGGTTCTCCAAGCTCTTCAGACTCGCTCGTGTATGATGCTGTGCTCTCCTTCCCGACACCGTGATGGCATTCCAATATCTGAGGGAATAAAGTTCACCGGTAGCTCCACCATCCGCCCCCCTCGGAGTGGGGATGGGAATAAGTCCTCTCCCTAAGAGGCGACGGAGGAAATCCTCCGACATGGGTGGACGGGGCTAGTTCACCGAGAGCATCCGACATCCCTGACACGGACTCCGTCGATCATAATCCTAGTCGCCTCCAAGCGAGATAGGGGCATCTCCTCACAACCAAACATTCAATTCACACTCGTATCCCTCGATTCCATAACCAGCACGCAGGGTTCCCATCCCGTCACCCGTCTCCCCGGGAAAGTGAAGGGGGTTCCTACAGTGTGTGAGATCCATCGGCGTACTCCCTGAGTACACTACACAGTACACCTGGCACACAGTAATGGGTATGACAGAATCAAATGCCAAGTGTGCTTCGTAGTCGCTGCGGGAGGTACGCGGGGTTTTTGCCTCGAAAATATCGAACTGACGCTCGCGATGCCTTTCGATGTAGTGATGCAAAAGCCGGGAAAGACAATCCGCCACAAAATATGGGCGGCAGAGGCATCATATATTAATGGAGATAGGGTGAGCCAGACCACGCTGATCAATGGTTTTCTTTTTATTTCTTCTCTTTAATTCTTTTTTGAACGATTCTCCTTTTTTTCCCCCATTCATTGAAACCCGCATTGGTGCAACAAGGTGGGTGTGGGTTGACCGGTCAGATCGGTTAAGGCTGCGAAATCCTCCCTGTCCATCATCCCACATCGGAGCCACGGATCCGTGGACCGTCTCTGTAGGGTAGGCCCAGCCACATCGGTTTCTCCCAATGACATTGCTCCCCTTCTTACTCTATCTGATTATTATTGATCCCTCTATAGATTTCTATCCGTGTATCATTTCCCTCATTTCCCCCGAGTCTATGGGACTAGATACCCTGTGTCGTTAACCTTAATATCCAGGTCTATTCCTCTCTTCCCCTTTCCTTGCCATCTCCTTGAATCAACGATGTGATGCTTTTGGCACCTGAGACATCTCCCCAAACTCTATCGCAGATGCATTAAAGAAATTCGAATCTCGATTCTTCGGAAGGATCGCCTCGGCCTGCTTCTTCGGCGACCACCAGTAAACAGGATACTGTTTCTGGATATTATTAATGAGCAGAGCCACTGTGAACATGAGGATGCAGCTTAAAAGTACAAGCGGGACGAAATACCACCCCAGCTTGATGCAATTCTCATCGACCACCGCTATGAGGGCCGTGGCGCCGGCCGGGGGGTGAACGGTGCCGGTGATGCCCATCAGCACCGTGGCGACGGCGCATGAGAGGGCACCGCCGATGAAGCGGACGGAGTGGTGGTTCGGGAGCATGCCGAAGAGTTTGGACATGCTGACGCCGAGGATGGAGGCGATGATTTGGGAGCAGATGATGTTTCGGGGCTGCGCGAAGGGGGATTGGATGGCTTGGAATTCTAGGACGGCTGCCGCACCCTTTTGAGGATTTTACTCCTCAGTTAGCACTAGCACGGTTTTTCGTTTTTTTATTCACCGGACAGAGTGGAAAACTTACGAAGCTAGCTACAATCACGGGAGCCCCATTCTCGACAAACATGGGGATATGCTGCGTCAACACGGCAATCAGGCTAATCGAGCACACGATGCCCACGAACGCCCAAAATAGATCCAAGATCGGATGGACGCGGGCCGGGGGCGTTCTCCGATGACCCAGAAAGTGCGCTATAGCGTAGGGAAGGCTGGAATGCACCCTTGACAGGCACCCGACCTCCTCCTCTACATGGGGGTGGGATTCGGCGCGGCTAGGACGCCGTAGTATATGCGGAGGGTTTTCGAGTCCGTCGTGCTTAACCCCGTCCGCGTCATAACTCAGGTCGCCAGGTCTGCTTTTATTGCTATGGGAACTCGGGGGCGGCAGAGGTGTGATGGAGTCTAGTGAGGAGTAGGAGGTGGAAATATTTGTGGTGATGCCGCGGATTGGAGTCCCTGCAATCGACGGAGGTTTGGTTGGTAGATGGCGCATGTCGGCAGACTAGGGACAGGGAGGGAGGAGGTTGAGGTTGCAGATGGCTAACCCATGATCAGGATGACCTGAGCCGAACATGGACATTTGGGGGGAGGGACGGTCGGTGATGTAGGGTAGATATCTCGGGGCCGATTTTAGCTTTCTCGGGGCTTCGGGGTTGTGGGGAGGAGGAAAAACAGATCCAAGGCCCGGGTACGGTAGCCGGGGGGGAGAGGACGGTGGCCGGAGTCCTGGATCGGATCGGAGATGTCCAATGGGCCAAACCACAGGTGTGGTGGACAGAATCCCCTTTGCCAGAGTATTACCTCCAGCGAAATGGGACGGTCCGGGTTTAATAAGAAGGGACGGGGAGGACATTTTGTGGCATCGAGTTCCGTTTAAGAGTGGCTTTCTACGCGTTCATCACTCGGAATTTCTTATGCCCATTCTCCACGAGGGCGCAAGTTGGTCCTCGGGTAATGAAGAAAATATCATGTAATGGGAATTACTAGCTCCACAGTCCAGGTCTTTTTGGTGGCATCAGAGGCGGTGTTCTACGGGAACATTTCGTGTGGGAAGGGGGAAAGGGGGAAAATCCTGCGATGTTGTGGTTTTGATATCTCCGCGGAGGTTGAAAACATTTTGTAAGTGGGCAGATCAAATGGTGGTTGATCTGGATCTGATCCAATTCAGTGGGCATTGTTTGTTGAGGTCAACTAGCAGCGGGTGGTCACAGGTCGCCCCGGCGCTAAAACCTGTACCGGTCCAGCGGCGACCCTTCTCATTTGTACTCAACATGGATATCAATGACATCCAGGTCGAGGAGGGTTTAACCGGGCACGGGAACACATTGATCAATGGAGCCGTTGAGCAGTTCGAAGAAGCTGCTCCTTATTATGTGATCATCCCCAGACTATTTCTTCTTCTCAGGCGCTCTTTCCGAGTTCTAGCGTGCTAGAGTAGTACACTAATACAAGATTTACGAACGATGCAGCAAACTAGTGTACAGAGTAATACCGGCTTGAAGCAGCTGATGACGCCTTCCCCGCTCTTCCAAGAACGTACCTGGTATTACGAGGGAGGCGTTTTCGGAAAGAACAAGGAATCAACGAACGTTGCAGGGAGCGACCTGGCTTCGTGGACAGCAATTCCAGGCCCAGAACCACGGCAGATCTCAAGTTCAAGAGAGATCTGCATCAAATGCAACATCAATCAATCTTTGCCTCGCTCGTGCCTTACCTCAGATCAACCAGTCAAGACGGCGACCCATCCCACACGGCTTTGGGCACTTCATTCCTCAACTATTGCAACATTGAGCCACAGTCTTGGCTGATGCCGCCAAGGTCGGTTATCTGCGTCAATGAATCAACACATTGAAATTTGATCATCTCCAGTAGCATTCCTGTTTGCTTTCTTCCTCTGTGTCGGGGTTTACCACAGAATCGGGGATTACTGGACTTTATTTATCCCTTGTCACTCCCTCCGGACTTGCGAACGCCATCTGGGTAGAAATGGCACCATTTTTTGCTTTGGATGCAGGTCCAGGGGTTGCATTCGGCTTCCCGAGAATGTGGTCCCCGGCCCAATCGCCACCAACCCACCAACCCACCCGGGAGTCGCCGCAGAACACCACCTCGTGTTGGACGGCCAGGCAGGGAACGAAGTTTGGAGCCGGCCAAAGAAGGCTCAGAAGAGAGAAGAAAAAATTAAAGGAAATACCGCCCGAGTGAATCGAGATTACTGGAGCCCCAGGAACAAATATTATCGCAGCCATTTTTTTTTCCTACCCATTTTTTTTTTCCTTCTCTCTTTTTGTGCTGTGCTGAATTTCTCAATGGCAATATTCCGAAGGTGTCGAATCCTCTTCACGCAACATCGCGAATTCAATCTGCGGAGATAAGATGGCCGGTCTCTTAAACCCGCGCAGCCACTCCCATCCGATGACGTAAAAGCGTCAGACACTTCATCACATCACCACTACATAAGGCAACACAATTCGGTCACTGTGGATGTGAAGCAGCGTCATGGGTCCCCTTGAAGATGTTACTGCAATGATTGATTTCTCTTATTTTACTCGGTCCTTTACATGCGTTGAACCTTCTATCCTCTCTTAAGCGGCTCTCTCCTCGTCGCAATTAACATCGTATCCAACTCTCACAGCCCAAACCTGACCAAACATTGAACATTCATTCAGTTGGAATAAAGCTAAGAACCTAAGCCGGTCCAGGGTTATCACAAGTCAGACGTCGAAGCAGTCCGGAGAAGCCCCCGGAAATACAGAAACCACCTTATAAGACTAGTGCACGAGTCCCCACAGACATGTCCACCACTCTCATTTTCGGCGGTAGTGGCAAAGTCGCCCGTCACCTCACCAAGCTCCTTTCCGCCGAGCCCGGCGCCACCGTCTACAGCGTCATCCGAAACCCCGCGCAAATACCGGAGCTGGAAGAGCTCGGCGCCAACCCCATCGTCCAATCCATCGAGGACACCTTCGTGACCGAGATCACGGCCACCATCGAGCACACGGCGCCCGACGCCGTCGTGTGGTCAGCCGGCGCGGGCGGGGGGAATCCCCAGCGCACGAGGGCCGTGGATCACGAAGGTGCCATTAAGGTTTTCGATGCGTATGCTGCGGCGGCAACGGGGAAGCCTAAGAGGTTCATCATGGTTAGCGCTTTTGATGTGAGGGATCGGGAGGGGAAGCCGGTTCCGGATTGGTATAAGCCTGAGGATGTGAAGCGGAGTGATGCTGTGTGGAATGCTATTGGTATTTATATGAAGGCCAAGTTTGAGGCCGATAAAGATCTTGTCTTGAATAATAAGAGGCGGGGGCTTGAGTATACGATTGTTCGCCCCGGATCTCTGTCGAATGAGCTGGGCACGGGGAAGATTCGCGCTGGGAAGATTGGCATGTCGGGTGATATCCCGAGGGAGGATGTTGCCGGGGTTATTCTTGCTTGTTTGAGGAACAAGGATACGATTGGGCTTGCCTTTGATGTTCTTGGACCTGGGGAGGGGGATTTGTCGATTTCGGAGGCTGTTGCCAAGGTTGCGAAGAACAAGGAGGATACCTTTAAGGGTCATTACTAGATTTGATCTTTGATGGGACAGGACCCCCTCGGTCTAACATAAAGAACGAAGACGAGAGAGACGAGTCTAGAAAACCAGCTACTTCTCTGAGAGGCCCTGTTTACATCACATACGACCCCCGAGGCCAGATTCGACGATATTCGTGACGTCGACGAGCAACCAAAAGCTTGCGTTACCATATCTTGGGAATACAAACCCGAATCATATTACCAGATATACCGGAGCGCCCACACAAATAAGGAATTCCAGGATAGTAATTATTATGCCATTAATCCATCGGGTTAAATAGATCTACGAAACACAAAGGGGCCACAACCATCCAAGCATATCCCGTCGTCTCAGTTTTCGTGACACCTCAATTTAGCCAGATGCCAACAAAGCTGAAAACCCAAGAAAATCCATTGCTGTCCCCACCCCCGTGAAGAGTTTCCCTCCTCTTCGAACATCACCTCCCATCCCAGGAAATGTCGGAGCCGGCCAAGAATCGTCAACACCTAAAACTCTGCTTCTCGAAACGTATATCGGCATGGCGAGAGCTTCTAGAATCTCGGTAGTCGGGCTCGTGCAGGTTGCGCTGCATCTAGCGAGCGTGTTGCTTGCGATTGCGGCACTGGGGACGTTGATTTGGAATGCCATGAGGGTTTCGAATGCGATTACGCTTGTTCTCGCGTTTATTGCTGTGGGTTTCGACGCTTGCTTTTTTTTTTTTCCTCCGGAGTGATAAAACTCGTAACTGACGAGGAAATTAGGCGTGTTGGGTTACTATCTTTGGGATTGTGGAGGCAGTCATGCTCCTCGGCAGGAAAGATCCAAGGAATCGCCTCAGAGAGCTACGGCCGGCGTGCTTTATCTTCTTCCACGTCTTCACCATTCTGTTGATCGTTGGCGGGTGCGTATTGATGGCGTTTACGGACTGGGAGCGGACTGGGCTGGTCGGCGTCAGTACGGATGCTTCTACGACGGAGAGTGCGGTGGAAAGTACGACTTTTGCGATTCCGATGATTCTTTTGGGGATAGTTGGGTATGTTCTCCCTCGTCTAGTCTAGTTTTGGTAGAGATGGCTAATGCTTGTTTAGGGGATTCCACGTTGCGTTGTCGGTTGTGTCGTGTGTGGATTATCGGTTGAGTCGACGAGAAAACAGGAGGAGTTGGAGGTGAGCCATCCCGGGCGGGGGCTCAAAGAGTGAATGAGTCGCCGGGGGGCTCAAAATGGGTTCTTTATCCCAGGAGAACAAGACCTAATCTTTAATCGGAGAATAATGAGGGTTTATGCCGAGGGATATGCCACAAAGCTAGGGAGCGTGACAGACAAAGGTTGCCCATACACGAAACAAAGATAGTAATCAAACGAAAAGAATCCTGTCATCTTTGTGATCCCTTCCGGGTTTTAAAGAAACAAGGCCATGAATGGAGAGGTGGCAGTTCACGGCAGCTCTCGACTTCAAAGCTGGCAGTGGACTCCGTCGAATATTTAGGACTTGCATTGGTAGGCACGCAAGGTTGACTGACCACCTACCCATTCTCTTCGACAACAATACCAATCGTCATATCTAAAGCACTACTCCCTCACCCAAAGGAGCCAATCTGAGCTTACAACGAAAAAGTCAGCGATGAGCCATTTAAATATCGACCTTGGAGACCCTCAGAATGTGAATCCCTACCACCGCTACAGCCGTCCGCGAACGGTCGAGCGGCTCCTTCAAGTCCTCGCAAGCTTTCATACACTTCAGTACGAAAATGGCCACGACGCCGCCCACGAACAAATCCCCCCAGAAATGAAGACAACCCGCCGAGGCGAGGCCCGCCGAGCTCTCGTACCCATGAGCCACCCCTTGCCCAAGCTCGTCCAGCTCGCCTGTAACTCTTTCCGCCGCCCCGGCGAGCGTCGCAACAGGCAAGACCGGGCGCGAAAGAGCATGCACGCCCTGATGATCCGATGGCTCACGGGCAGCAAACGAGGGAATCCGCGCGAGTTCTCGGACTGGAACCTGGAAAAATTCGCCAAGTACGCCGACACGTATTTTTTCATGGGCACGATTTTCGGAAGACACTGGCGTAGGCGATACACAGCCCTCGGGAACTGGGAAAGGCGAATGTGGATTATTGGTCTAGGGGATGGCAAGCGCAGCATCTTGAGCCACACGTTCAAGAATTCGCGGGGCCATGTCTATATGTGCGTGAATGTTCGGGCTTTCCGGAACCAGCCGCTCGACATGCGTCCATTGTTCCCCCTCATCACGACGATCCTCCATGAGCTCTGCCACGTCTATCTCATGTCGTATGGGTGCTACTGCACAGACGAGTGTACTAAGGAGATACCGAGATGGCATGGGTTCAGCCACCATGGAATGTGCTGGGTAACGCTGTTCGGCATGGTTGTGCGCGAAATTCGCGAGTGGGATCCCCGGCTTGCGGAGTTCGGCCATGGCGTGAATACGTATTACGTCTCCGCTGGAGATGTTCAGAAGGAGACGGAGGAGCGCGAAGTGATGTTCGATAACGAAGATCAACGGCCAAATTATCTTGATGTGGAGATGATGGACCACGAAGAATATACGTATGGGACATATGAAGAGAATCGTCGGATTAGAGTCTTTGAGAGGAGGCCCATTCCGATCCAGCCGAACCAGGAGAATCAACCAGATCCACCGGATGACTCAGATGATCCAGATGAGCCTCGGCCGGCCCCGAGGAGGAAGCGGCGCCGTGAGGTCGACATTCTTCTAGAGGAAGCCGAGAGGTTTCTAGGGAAGGAGTTTCTGGAAAAGAGGAGGCGGATGGGATAAATGGCCCTGGCGGATTGGTGAGTGATTGAAGTTTTGAGGCGGAAGTGTGTATGGTCTGCGTTTCTTCCTTTTATATGTATGTATATACATTCAATCTTCTTTTCGTGACAGAGAATGCTCGAGTTGGGTAGAAAAGTGAAGTCGAAGTACGTCAGTAGCAGCCTGGCACGTCCGTGATTCTTCTGGCGCGGAAGTCGTCAAATCAATGAAATCCGGAACGAACTGAGGAAGGAACGGTTCAAGTCCTGAAGTTTACCGTTAGAATCAGGCGCAGGAAGGAGCAAAGGCCGTTTTACATGTGACAGCACGACCAAGTTGTGATGACTTCGCGAGGCAGGCGCGACTTGGGGCACAACTTAGACACAGCAGGCGCCGTTCAGGCTGTACTTCATCGTTTCTGTATTGGCAGAAATGTCCACAAGACGTCTGCATCCGGCTCAAGGCGCAACCCTTTCTCAGCGAGACCTCAAGATGCAGCCGACTCCTGCGGGCGACGCAGTGCGACCGAATGAAAGCAAGAAGATTAGAGTTCAGAGTTCGCTTTCCCTCCTCCCATTCGATGGTGCCACATCTTCGTCTTGGTATATTGTTGGCTGATAGCTGACCAGACCTAGAGCCCTCTGTCATCTACCCTGGCTTCCTTATCAGAATGGCAGTCGGCAACTAGCCTGCAAGCACACGGGTCGAGATTGATTGACAAACATCTCCAATTCTCAATGTTCGCCGTGTTCTCGGATACTGCAGCCGAGAAACTGGGCCCACTCTGCTGTCACTCTCCAATGCGTCATCGATTTCCTGGTCAAGAAACCCTTTTCAATATGAATGGTGCGCATACTTACATTGCCCAAGAGGCGCGGGGCGACGTTCGTTTATATGAGACGTCAATATAGCCTCGAGTCCCTTCTCCGCCCCCATTTGCTTCCTTCTCCCGATTCTTTCTCAATCCGTCTACAAAAACTGTCATTTCGCCTATCTGTAAAGAACTCGGTCCGAACTGTCTGATGTTTTCCATTCCTGGTAGGGTGGCACCGAGCCCGGGATTGAACCTCGTCTGATTGATGGGGTTAGAACTCTATTAGGTTAATTCGTTTTACCCAGGTCGCATATGGAGCATATTAATATCACTTCCGTGATTAGGATCGTATCCCGCAAATAATCATCTGCATGTTGCGGGGTCTAATAATTAATGGAGTGCGGTGAGCTTGGGGTTCGTGTGCTTTGCGCAAACTTTACTCAAACCGAAGACCAGGATTTGGGACTGACATGATCGCTGGACCCGCTCTATCTTCCGCAGTGGCTTCGTTCTTGTCTGATATATAAATGATTAACTCGAACGAGGATGAACAGTTTCCAGCCAAGACTCATCCACGTCGTAGATCACTTCCCCATCCCACAATGAGATCCCTCTTCCTGCCCCTCCTCGCGGCCTCCGCGGCCCACGCCGCCCTTCAATACGTCGGCGCCGACTGGACCTCCGTCCTCGTCGAAGAGCGCGCTGGAATCCAATACACCGACTCCTCCGGCACTGCGAAACCCCTCGAAGATATCCTCGCCTCCAGCGGCATCGACACCGTCCGCCAACGCATCTGGGTAAACCCCCCCAACGGCGACTACAACCTCGCCTACAACCTCGAACTAGCCCAACGCGCCAAAGCTGCCAACCTTAGCGTCTACCTCAACTTCCACTACAGCGACAACTGGGCCGACCCCGGAAAACAGTACGCTCCCGCCGGGTGGCCGACGGAGATCGGGGCGCTGACGGATAAGCTGTACGAGTATACCAAGGAGGTGTGCGACGAGTTCCAGAAGGCGGGCGTCGCGCCTAATATCATTTCGATTGGGAATGAGATCCGCTCGGGGTTGTTGTGGCCGACGGGACGGACGGAGAATTGGGGGAATATTGCTAGGTTGTTGGGGGCGGCTTCGAAGGCTGTGAGGGAGTCGGCGTTGAGCCCGCAGCCGAAGATTATGATCCATTTGGATAATGGGTGGAATTGGGGTCAGCAGGAGTGGTGGTATAGCAATGTTCTCAAGGCTGGACTGAGCCTGGATGATTTCGACCAAATGGGCGTGTCGTTTTATCCCTTCTACGGACAGGATGCCACGCTAAGCAGCCTTAAGTCTTCGTTGGGGAAGATGGCCGATACTTGGGGGAAGGAGATTGTTGTTGCTGAGATTAACTGGCCACAGCAGTGTTCGAGGCCGGCGCATCCCTTCCCCGCCGATTTGAGGGACGTCGCATTGTCGTGGGAGGGCCAGGTCGAGTTCGTTAAGAGGGTTGCTGAGATTGTGGAGAGCACGCCGAAGGGGACGGGGATCTTTTATTGGGAGCCTGCGTGGATGGATAATGCTGGCTTGGGTTCGTCGTGTGAGTCGAATACCATGTTTGCGTGGCCTGGAAAGGCTCTGCCCAGTCTTGAGGTGTTTTCTCAGGTTTGAGAGTTTTCATCCGAGGTGGAGAGACACTCCAAGTTGATGTACATATTCTCTACATTTGATTCCTTAGTATATACCAAACGAAGTCTATGCAGCGAAGTAGGGAGTCGGGTATTGGAAGAAGAATACGTCTCTACGAAGGGTCACGTTGATTGTGGTGAAAATCTTCGCCTTTTTATTGACTATGTCCAGGGGATAAACACTTTAAACACTTTCCCGTCCTTTGGCACTCAATCTCTGCCTTGACTTTTGTCCACAACTTTTGTCAACAATCGAATCATCCCCTAGGAATCAAACTAAAAGAGAGGGGGAAACAATGAGCCCCTGAAAACAATCTCACATTCCGCGCGCCAGTTTTTAACACCTTCCATTCTTCTCCCACAATTTCTCAGCCCTGGTTGACACCATGCGCACCACCACGGGCACCACCATGGCCACGGCGGCGGAAGGCCCGATGAGCCTCGGCCTCGGCCTGGCCAAAAGCCGTCTGGACTCCAGAGAGGAGCTGGTCGACGAGAGCGGCGTTCTGCTCATCTCCGATGCTAACAAACGCCCTGTGAAGGCCGCCGAGCTCATATAGGACGTAATCCCGGCGGCTATTTAGAGATTCCCGATACAAGGCCTCGTCGCTGCGGACATGAGCGTAGTGGGCGGCAAAGGGACCCTCGCTGAGCACCACCATTCTGGTGTGCACAGCGCCCAAGTTCCGGAGCTTTCGTAGGAGAGACTGGGTATAAATGGCTGGGATGTACGTCTCCACGTGAGCGAAGCCGGGCCACAAGTAGGCAGCGCCGCGGCCGCGTCTGTTCACGTTTCGTCCAGCATCGGGGAGGCGGTAAACCCAGGCTCCCACACGAACCACGAGGCGGCCAAAGCCAACGATGAGTTTACCTGGGACGGTGAAGATGACTCGAGGCAGAAAACGGACAATACCGAGGAGGAGGGTGCCGATGAAACCTCCGATGCCTTGGAGAAACCATGCTCCGGCGAGATAAAGGCAGAACATGCAAAAAGAGAAGCCGAGTGCCATACCGACAAAGAAGGGGACCATGCTGCCCTTCTGGGGTTCGTCGTTATTAGTGGGATCAGTTGTGGTGGCGTTCGACATCATGGGAGCGCCGCCAGCGTAGGCGTAAACAAAGAACACTATAGAAGGAGGAGAGGAGAATGAGGTGTTAGCTGTGGTCATGGCTCTGGAGGGAGATGATACTACTCGACATAGGTACTTACACTTGAAAATAAGGTACATCAGCATAGGATCCATTTCGGGCACTTCCTGTCGTGTCTCGAAGGTTAAGGTAAAAGACCGGGTTCTTCTACACCGGATTATTAGCGATGGATGTTCACCCCAGAGTAGACGCTGGAATTAGAGAAGGTGATGACTTACCTGGGTGGTCAAGAGATCCGATGAGGACGAGAAACGGGCCTCAAGGATATGTACTCTGCGGTTTCTGGACGAACAACGTCAGTAAATGGGTTCAGGAGCACTACATACACGTCAAGGTATCGACCAATCTGCGGTGGAATGAGACTTACTTTGTTTCAATACGCTTGGTAGACTTTACTGGTTCGACAGACGTTGATCTGATGGATTATTAGGCCTTCCTGTAAGAGAGCCTTGGCCAATGGTGAGCTCTTCCAATCGACCATTTTAGAGGGTAGGACAACGAGCGAGAGAAATGAAACGACAGGAGAGTAGCGAGAGGGGAATACGCCGTGGTAAAGGCAATAGACGATGATGGGGTGTCGTAAGAAGACGTAGAGAAACTTCCACTTACCTTGGAAGATATTGAAATCGAAAAGAACAACGGGAACAACGATGGCGTCTCTGTATCAAGTCTGAAGGAGGAAAGGCGGTAATCAGTGAGAGGTTCTGGTTAGAGAACGACTTGGGGAGTAGAGATGTAGGGGGAGAAAAGGGGAGTACGCGATTGAATGCAGATGGGGAGGAAAGGAAACTGTGCGAGGAAAAAGAAAACAAGAGAAGAAGGGACTTACCGTGCCCTAACGAGGTCAAGGGGGGGATTTCTTTCGCGTACGCGATGGAACGAGAATCGATCTTGTCAAGCAACGCGGTTAGCGACGATCCAATCGCTCTGGAGTCGAGAAAAGTAAAGGAGAGATAAGATCTCGTTTCAGTGATGATCCTTCGCTGCCCACCTTTATCAAGACGAAGTGAATACCAACCGGTGATGAGAATCGAGGTCGAAAGTAAATGAAGTTGTGGGAGAGAAAAGAAAGAAAGAGAGGAAGTGTCTGCTTCCAGGTTTGGGGTTTATGTAGAGGAGTGGAGGTCAGAGAAAAAGGGCAAGAGCGCTTTGAAGGCTGTAGAACAAAACCCATGATCCCTCATCGTTGCGATGGAGGGAGCTGTGAAGCTTGGAGAGGTGGTGAAAATACAAGCAAAAGCCTGCGACGGAGGGGAACGGAGGTGTGGGGCCGAAATCGCGGCATCTTCGGGGCCGTGATTCTCGGAGGTGTGGGTACACATCATGCCAGTGAATTTAGATTTAATAGTATTAAAAAAAGTGGCTTGGAATTGGAATAAGCTAAGATTCTCTAGTAGTTCTAGAGGACTATCTCCCATTGGAGTGTTGGTGGAGTGGCATCTATGCCTAACCCGAGTGTGTATGTGCGTGAAGAATCCTGGACCCTTTGTCTGGGGAAGAAGGACTGTGATGGATATCTTACAAAGTAGAAAGGAAATCGCTTAGAGTATTCACATTATGGGCAAAGTTTGTTTAAAGCAAAATGTTGTGGGGAGGGTATTCAAACATCTCTTATTAGACTAAACAAAACAATGGAACGACGGGGTTTCGCTTTACAGCATCCCACCACCCGGCAAGGTTATCGTCAACATCAAAGAGCGGTAAGGAAAAGGGTAGCAACCGAAAGCGCGACGATGCCAGAAGTCCAAGGAGAAGAGAATCGGTTGGCAGAGCCCTTCTGGTCATCACCATCACCGCTGCCACCATCACTTCCAGAATCGGAGTCCCCAGCGGTTCCGTTGACGATGGAAATACGGCCGTCAAGCTCAATGTCAATGGGCGACTTCTCCTGGATGTACCAGACAAGGACCTCATCCTGGGTATCAAGGGAAATGTAATCCTTTACAGTCTCGAAAATGTTATCGCCTCCTCCAGCAAGGAAATCAAGCGTGACAACCCTGTACTTCTTAGCCTTATCGAGGGGCTGGCCGCCAATAGTAACGCGGACAAGCTTCGTTCCGTTGGTGTTCTCAGGGTTGTACTCGACCTTGATCTCCTTGCTGACCTGGAACCAAGTCGTGATGGCCTTGTCGTTAAACTGGTTCCACTTGGAGACGGCTCCCTCAAGAATTTTCCAGAGGTCCTCGCCGCTGTAGGTAAGCTCGACGATGGAGTTACCGAAGGGGAAGGACGTGAGAACCTCTCCGCGGGTAACCTCACCAGCATCGATGGTAGCGCGGATGCCACCGGCGTTGATAAGAGCAAAGTCGGGCTTCTCGCCCTCGGCGGCGTTCTTGAGACGGTACTGAACCATGGCATCAGCCATGAAATCGCCGAGCAGGCACTCTTTCTGCTGGCAGGTAGTCTGGTCAAGTTCGACCTTGGTCTCTCCAACGACCTGGGCGGCGAATTCCTCAAAGGGGCCGCGCCACTTCTTAATTTGGTCTTGGAGGCCCTGGTCCATGGCAGTGGTGTTGTCAAGGTGGATAGGACCGCCATGGTAGGAGAGAGCTTTGCCCTCATCGTCGAAGGTCACATCAATGTAGCCGACGTACTCACCCCAGCGGTAGGCGGTAACGATGAAGACCTCATCACCGTCCTTATTCTTGACAATGGTAGGGTAAGGACCGGCGGAGTTGCTCATATTTCCGAGCGGGGTGTGGCTGTGACCGCCCATAATAAGGCTAATACCGGTGGTCTCCTCTGCGAGCTTCTGATCCTCGTCATAGCCAATGTGAGTAAGAGCGACGATGCGCTTGATATCGGTAGTGGCCTTGATGTGGTCAACGGTCTGTTGGACAGTGCTGACGACGTCCAAGAACTTGGTTCCCTCGCCGACGGAAGAGATGCTCTCGGCAGTAGGAGTAGTGCAGCCGATGACGGCAATTTGCTGCTTCTCAAAAATAACGTAGGGCTTGATCGTCTTGTTCAGAGATTCGTACTCCGAGACGACGTTGGCGGAAATGATGGGGAAGGTAAGGTTGAGCAAGAACTGGCCAAGCTCCTCATCACCGCCGTCCCATTCGTGGTTGCCCAAGGTCATGGCATCGAAACCGAGCTGATTCAAAGTCTCGGCAATCTTCTCGCCCTTGTAGAAGGAATAAAAGAGCGTGCCCTGGAACTCGTCTCCGGCATTAAGCCAGAGACTGTCCTCGTACTGAGGGCGGAGTGTGTCGACGGTGTGCTTGATGCGGGCATAGCCACCGTAGCATCCCTTCTCGGGTTTCGTGCAGTCGGTACCGGAGGAGGAAAACTCGTCAAGATGGGCATGGACATCGTTGACGTGGAAGAAGGCTACGGGGGATTGTGAGCTATACGAAGAGTGGGTAGGCCGAGAGAAGCAAGGATCGACAGGTGGAAAGACTGAAAAGCAGTGCAGACATACACATATTAAAATTGCCAGCAGCGTCAATTCCTCGCTTCTTCAAGCGGGAGCTGTAGAGGACATCCTCGCAAGCCACGAGGCTGGCCAGGGCCAAGGTGGAGAAGAGAGCAGCTTGGCGCATCTTGGGCAAAGAGAGAGAATGTGTGTGTCACGGAAGGACAAGGCAACGGATACACAAAACGAATGCAAGGCAAGGCGGAAGGTGGTGATAACCCAAGAGGTCTCGGGAAGCTATGGACGCAAGAGCAATTCACTGAAGCCGCCTCAGTCCAGAGACTCGAGAGAGGATGCGTATTCCATGGGCCTGGGAATGGGGTCGTATTTCATTTATATTGATGCTGCATGTAACCCGTCTTGATATCAGAGTTGCAGCAATTCGAGCCCCACGGCTGCCAGACAACAGACATTCGGCGCGATGCAGCATCCCGCTAGAAGGTTATTTTGGTCGTCCGCAGGAGGATGCACCCTGGAGAAGCTGCCACCTGCCAAGCATGGCTACGGAAGATGGCACCGGGGCAAGGGGAAAGACCGCCTCGCCGACCGCACAATTGGCCTATCACATGCGTCTGGCGATCAACGAGTCAACCCGCCTCAAAAGTTCTCTGGGCGTCGGTGACGAAATGGTCCTCAGGAAGTAGCGATGGGATGGAAAAAATGTAGGGCAATCGGGAAGGTGCCTTGCAATTTGCAACCTTGGTGCACGTGCGCCTGTGATTGGTTGCATCGAAGCTGGTGATAGCTTCAACTTGGCTTGGCATACATCGGCGATGCTTTTCTTCTGGAAAGTGGAAGAAGGCGGGAAAATATCCGCTGCGACCCTCAAATGCCTGTCTCTAAGCTGGCCATACATAATACGGCAGATTACTTTGTAAAAGCAAGCGAGGATGCACTGTATCGCAAATTGGACGTCGGAAGCTATCCGACACTGGCGAAAACGGACGAAGTCTCTCTATCTCCAGACCGAAGCTGAGAAAGAGCCCACTTTGCTGCATTAAGTTGAAGTGTTCTATTTATGTACAGTACACATAACTTCGTCCATGCACCTTGATGTCTCCGGGTTCAAGCACCGCCTCTTGGATGCAGCCTCGCAGTCAAAATGGAGACAGTTGAGGGCCTCGAGTCAGTTCCACCGAAACTAGAAACTAGCTCTGGGTCGGCGTAATATTTGTCCTCACTTATGTTTCCTCTCTCCTCCCCTTGCTAGTTGTGGGTGCGACGCCGCTTCCTTTCTTACTTCTCACTTCGTACGAAGTACTTCGTAGAGTGCACCTTCCCAAGAGTTGCTGGTTCTTGGCTCCTTGTCATGTGTTATATATGAAAAATCTGGCCCTGGATCCCCAACGTCTGGTCGAGCCGTGCCGCACTGCTTACAAACCACTTCCGCAAGGCGCCGGCGTGGAACCCGGTCTGGTCAAACCATGAGGCGTGGAGCAAATTGGGAAATGGGAGTTGGGAAAGGGAATTTGAGAATTGGGGAGGGAAATGTGGGAATTATTTTTTTCGTTGTTAGATTACCTATTATTTTACTGGATGATTTCCCTTCGTTGCGGTGGGGCAATTGCTTGCTCGGACGCTCTTGAGGTTGTGATATTTACAGGCTGGAGATGTTTGGATTGGGGATGGGGTTGAAGGCTAGGAGAGGACACTTGGAGAGGTCATCGGTTCGAAACTCGGACGGGCTTTCGTACCTAGATTTTTTTTAATGCCCTTCTGGCTGGCTTCACTGCGCGGTCGTTGAAGACTTGGTCGAGGGTTGATAATCTAGCGGTGGATGGAAAACGAGACCGATTGGCCATGCACTCGTCATATAATGTGGAATCCCGAAACAAAGGTGCCGGCGGAGGGGGGCGAAAGTTGGAAGAACACTCTAATCGGCGAGAGGAAGTATCACAGCCGCTTCCTGCTGATACGAATTCGATAACCTCGACTGGACATCGCAATAATCCAGATTCCGCAGAGTTATATTTGCCGGCTCCGTCTTACGAATGGGAGGTGGGCTTGAGATGGGATCGACAAGATCTAACACCTTAAATCTCCTCCCGCTGTCGAGTCGACGATGTCTCGGTCTCGGGCTCTACGCAGCAAGCTACGCGCAATACTGATGGAATGGAGTTGTACAACCCGTCCTATGTTCATGGCGCGGGAAATTCCCTTTCCGGCAACCATGATCCTCGATGGCGAATTCCATTATCCAGCCGAATAAACTTGGGTCCTTCAGCTCCTGCGCTCCGGACATATTTGCGGGTATCTCCCGAATCCTTCGGGGGTTTTACCAGTTGAGGGCAAAGATAAGGGTTGCCTCGCTTCGCCGCAGAAGAGTCGCACTGGAACCCGAGGAGACAAAGTGTGGCGTATCACTCACTGTTATCACTCGCTGGTATGACGTACGAAATCGCAGCTGTTGTTTCCGTCGTCCAAGAGAGGAGAGAGGTCGGAGAGGCTTTCGCTATGGCGATAGCCCGCCATCCTCAAGAGTGATGGGTAGATTGAATTCCATCATCAGGCACGATACCTGTATTCTGACCTGGATTGGGTTCTCGCGAGCTTCGGAAGAAAACTGGTCTTGCTCTGCACTCTCCCACGAGAGACGTTTGACATCAGACTTCACCGGGCTTCATCCCCATCACAACGAGTACTGGGAAAGAAAAAGCCAAGCTTTCCAGGATTTTACCGTCACGACAGATGATACAACAAAACATTGGGAGCATTGACTCAAATGTATTAGCCTGTTCGAGTTGGTCCTTTTTCTTCGTGGTCTTCTCTCCTGGTCTAATCCAGAACCAGAACCAGATGTGTGGAAACTCTCGAGGATCAGCGCCGTCCAAATCGTCCAATTTTCCGATAGGCTCATCCAGAAAACAGGTGCCCCGGAACCATTCCCTATGATCTCCCCGAGGCAGAGTGAACAGCGGATAATTTCCTACCACTTACCAATTCTGTGCGCCATCCTCTTTTTTACCCCGCCAGCTGTTTCAGGATGTACCTCCGTCTGGCCTTGCTTAGGTTCCCGCCGCCACCGCATCGGTTGAGAAAAGGAAAGGTTCGCTTCCTCTCCCGCTTCGAGACTTGGAATGAGGTGATCTCCGACACGCGACATCGTTCGAGCCAATGAACCGACCCCATATCTGGGGATATTCGCACCTGTAACAAAAGCGTCATTGGTAAAATGCCCCTCACATTGCGGCCTGCCTTCTATTGTCTCTCTCTGAGCGCCTCATTTCTGGTTCGGGGCTTGCTGTAGGCTGTACTTCAACCTCAGGCTATTTTCAAGTCGTAACGAGGGCGGAACAAGTCGTCCCATTCTGTGCATTCTGTTCAGGTCGCAATCACCATGTAAGAGGTGATGCTTTTCTGGTACCGTTCAGGTTACTTCCCGCCTACCACCTTCCTAGCCCACGTTCGCTCAGACTTGATCAAAGGCAACACAGTAGTTGCCTTGCGCATCTAACCTGACAAGTGATCGACGGAGAGGTGTGGTGTACGGGTTTTACCTTGGAAGTGGTGTTTTCTCTCTTCTTGTCTTTCCGAGAGAACGACGAATGGAGCATCCTATAACGAAACAAATATTACACCGGGGTGTCAAGAGGAAGAAAGAAAACCTCCGTAAACCCTTGCAGCCCAGATCCCAGTCCTCTCCTCATGGCCGAGATATTAAGGGCGATCTCGCACATCCCGTTGTCTCCACTCATCCCTTTTTCGTCCATCTCCCTTCATCATTCTCTCTCTCTCTCCCTTTTACTTACCAGCCAAAAACACCTTAATCGAGTCTTTCCGGGGTTTTCTCTCGGAGACATAATGGTGTAGTTTGCTGTTGGAAAGAGTCTGAGTTGTCTGGGAGTAGTGGCATCTTGTGTTGTTCATATGCACACACACTCGCGCTGAGCGCGCATACATACATATTCACTCACATTTTCTTCCTTCACTTCTCTGTTGGATATTCTCCTGGTATCTGTGATACCTTCTTTATTTCATTCTTTTCTGCCCTCTAAAGATCAAGGACGGAGCAGCAGCGCCTGCGCCGAATTCACCACAAACACTCGTTACTATCTTACGGAATCGCGGACGGGACAGTCTACGAGAATCAAAAAATGGAGTTTGTAAATGAATACGATACGAATCACTCTCCCGGGGATCTCGAGCCTCTACCTGCATATCTTCGACATGGCCTCGCGGCGATGGGGACGTTCGGCGTCCTGTCTTTCATAACGAGCACCACTCTAGCAATCATCGTCGCCTACAAGATAATAATATGGCAGATGCCAAGCAAGGACTCGAAGAAAGACACCAACGAACGACCCGAGTCCCCGGAGGTCTTCGACCACAACGGCTTCCTAGTACCGACGCGTCCTTTGAGTCCTCTAAAGGAGGAGGATGTACCACCGGAGAAGGAGACTTTCTGGACTAAACTCAAGAATGACCCGCCGAACCAGTTTCTAATTCTCATCCTGAATCTCTTCCTCGCTGATGCTCAACAATCCGTGGCCTTCCTCATCAGTTTCGATTGGCTTGCGAAGGACGCCATTCATGTTGGGACGTCGGCTTGTTGGGCGCAGGGCTGGTTCATCTCGAATGGCGACCTCGCTTCGTCCGTCTTTATCACTGGTATCGCCATCCACACGTATCTCGGTGTGGTCAAGGGCTATCGGCTTCCATCTTGGGTATTCTATTCATCTATTGCTGCGATGTGGACTTTTGTTTACCTTCTCAATTTCTTGGCTATTGTCATCACCAAGGATGGAGAGGGAGTTGGGGGACTCTTTGTCCGAGCAGGCGCATGGGTAAGCCGATACCTGCAAAATGCCTCACGCGCATGGTAAAGGAATCTAACGCATATTTTTTTTTCTCTCTCTAGTGCTGGTGGAACCCAGCTTTCCAAGACATGCGGCTTTACTTCCACTATCTATGGATCTTCACTTCACTAACCGTCACTGCGGTCGTCTACACCATCATCTTCTTCCATCTACGAGGACTGAAGAAGACCGGAGGCAGACCCAAGGTGAGGACTTCGACCCTCGGCCGCAGCAACTCGCGGGCAAAGCACTACCCGAACCCCGACCCCAACTGGCAGGCAAGACCCCCGGGCAGCCCCACGTCTCTTGCGACCTCTTTCGCGTCTTCCCTTTACAAAGAGTTGCCACCGATCCCGGACTCAGCCCGCCAGCAGACTTTCCTGCTCTACCCTCTCATCTACATCGTGTGCACTCTTCCGCTAGCTGCGGGACGTCTCGCATCCATGACCGGCAACGAGGTATCCCTCGCCTACTTCTGCTTTGCCGGGAGCGCTATTGCTTGCAATGGCTGGCTCGATGTCGCGCTGTACACCTACACTCGGCGAGCGATTCTCTTTGCCGATGGTCCGCCTACCCAAGACACTGGCATTGACACCTTTGCCTTTATGCGCACTCCTCCTACGCGCAAGTTTGGTAACGTCGTCATCGTGTCCGGTGGCCAGGTGAATCAAAAGGATAAGCGGCGATTCAAGGCGCAGGAGAAGTGGAATGAGAAGGTCGCCAACGGTGGGATGTTGGGCAAGTTAATGGGCGGGAAGAACCAGAGCCAGGACTCGCTTAAGGGGTTCGGTATGGGCAAGGGGGCGGTGATGGGTATGGCGATCCAGTGCGAGACGACGACGACTGTTAGCATCGAGTATGACACCAGCGAGGACAAGTTTGGCGCTGGCTCGGACGCGAGAACCCGCAAACTGGCCTAAGCTTTTCCCCTCACGTCTGGATGTTGCCAAATGCCAATTGCCTTCAGAGGGATTACACACTTCACTTCTTAATGTATTAATATCGGAATGATGGAATGAGTTTTACGGGATTTGGGAGGGTTCGGAAGGAAATGGATTTTGGGAACTGGATAGAAGAGCGGAATGTTCTCTTATCTGATGGCGCATGGTATCTTTCTTTTTCTTGGGAACTTGGAATACGAGCGAGGACTCGGATTTTGCAAGAAAGAAAAAAGCACAAAATGGCGGGTCATGATGTTGTCGTCTTGTTTTTCACAGAATACAGGTGGTTTACGGCTGGCGTGTGTGTATGATATACCCATTTCCGTTTCTTTTTCTACGTTATTTCGTTTTGAGCTCTTGACGAACAATATCAGAGCGTTGTGTGCAGTGTTCTTCGTTCTTGATCTTGATGATGATGCGAACTTGTCCTTTCACAACTTTCACTCTCAACCTCGGTCCAACGAGATAGAAGAACCTTGTTTCCCTTCACCCGCTTTGCTTTCTTCGAAAACCCCCTTGTCCTCTGCATCTTAAAAGTCACTCTACAAAGTACGAAACATCAAGTGGTTCTCGGGGCTGGCCAAAAGAGGAAGATTACGCGGGTCCAAGTGTCTGGCATGGCCGATCAACTTATGCGCTGCTCAATCGCGAGGTTCTTACTCGCCACGACGAATCTACAAACGAAATACGGAGAAATTTGTTAATCTCGCGAGAGAGAGGAAGGATTTTGATTGAAGATCTTCTGCTGCCCTCTTGCGTCGTCATGGAGAACTTAGCGAACTCAGGTGTCGGTCATCATTTGGCGCAACCTTTGAGCCTGATGTCCCTCTCGCGGATCAAAAGGTTTAAAATTACTTCGCTTCAGGGAGTTTTCAGTGGCTCAAGTTGTCAGAAATTCCGTGAATGATTTATTTCCATTCTTGCGTGGTGTGACGCCGGTGTTTCTGGAGAGTGAAGGACTCTCTGCAGGGGCGTTATCTGGCCACTTCTAGTCTTCGCTGTTTCAATGCTGGGCGAGTGTGAATTGCGGGGAGAGATAGGGGACCAGTCGGTTGGACGGATTTCTGGTAACAAGAGTTCGGTGGGATTGAAGCGTTTCAGATGGTTTGGTGACGAACGAGGGTCCGTGAGGCTGGTTCTAGAAGGACTGTCGAAGGTGTTTCAGGACGCTGGACTTTTGAGGGATGCGAGTGTTCTTGGTTCCGGCCGCTTGGTATGACGCTGAACCCAGTTGTTTCTTAAAACACTGGATAAACAAGGTGGCAATGGTTTCGCTGGCCTGAGGGGAGTATTGGACGATGTGGCTGGACTTTTGCGAGCCTGGTGGTCTGAGTATATCCTGGATAATGAGCTGGATAGGAGGATAGGACCTGAGACTCCAACATCCGTTTCGATACTTGAGCTGAGGAGTGAATAAGGCCATGAGTTCGGTGTGGCTTGAGAATGGCATCACTTGGGGCCGCCAACGGTTATGATTGTTCTGTCTTTATTTTATATCTGGTCGAGGAGGATGGACGAACGGCGGGAGGCTCGGTTGCTATTCCATCCCTCGAGCAGTCTTCAGGTACGTTCAATACTAGACATTGATTCTTTCCAACTCTTACGGCCCGATACAGCTCGGGGGTCAACACGAGGCCGGGTACCTATCGTATGGTTACGCTGCGCTGTCCCTTCTTGGTTGGGATTTCTTCATCGATGCAAACCCCCACGATCTTGTACTGAGCTATGGGATGGTTTCTGCGCACCAGCAAGTTCCCAGAACCTCCGGTTTCCACATAACCGTAGCTTTTCATGAAGTCCATAATGCCATGGGTGAATTCCTCTCTCACCAAGGCTCTACCCCAGGGCCACACTTGAGTAGACAACACGGGCTTCTCAGCCTTCGTCCTCCGGCAGCTAGTCGCATAGATCCGGTAGGACTCGACGTCACCCCCGAAAGCCACAAGGTTAAAGGCCTTCCCGACGTCTCCGACCTGCACCAACCCCAGTCCATCCCTTAGGACTATCCTATTATCTTTATCCAGGGCCGCGGAGGCATCGCCGAGGAAACTCTCCTCCACAGCGGTAATGGCCTCGAATATCAACGAAAACGGAGCGACGATCTTGCACCCGCAATTCACGGAAACTTCGCACAGGATGCCCGCCGTGCTATCGTTTTCAAGGCGGGAGTCGCAGCCGATTATGTCTACGAGCCTGTAGTTCATCGACAGGTTATGCGTCCTGAGGTACCGCAGGTCCGGGTTTTCCCAATAAGTGCCGCTCACGCATCGGTCCATCCACCCGGAGGGCTTCGCACTCGGGTCTGTCATCCTCCAGTGCGGCTGGAGCTTCTCGAGCAGTCTTTTCCTGTACTGAATGGTGTCGCTCCGGGGATCGAGAATGCATCCCAAGATGGTCGCGCATTGAACCAGGATCCTGCCGGTTTCGTCTTTGACAACGTTTGTGGGCTGGTCGTACGTGGGTATTTCTTCCCTGCTGAATAGGCCGGTGTTTACTTTCTTCCCGCAGTTGCAGCCCTTGAAGATGAACTGGAAGTCTTTGTCCTGCTCTTGCCTCTGCGTGAGTTGGATTCTCATGTACTTCCGCGGAGTACCTATGATGCCCGCCCTCGCTTTAGACTTGGCCCGTCCGTTTTTCTTCAGACGTCCGAGGTTAACCACGCCGGCGAAGCAGTCCGTAGTCATGGCCGTGTTGCTGAGGTTCTCTACCACAGGGATCCAATCCCATTGTCCCCTTTCCCCGCTGCTTATAGCTAGCTTGGTCCACGCATGGTCCGTCTTAATCGACAGCTGCTTAAAGAAGTTGAACGATATCCTATCCATGTCGCTCCCAGACAGGTCCCTCTCAATCTCTTCGGCCGTAAACAGTCCGCTAAAAATGCCCAGGAGACCCCTGAAAATGTCCACCGTCTTTCTGCTCTTCCGCGGCGTTATGGACACGGCCGAGAATATGTTGCTTATGCCCTTGTAGTTCTCGCGCCACCACCACGGGCCTCCATTGATAATGTCCGTCCTCGCCGAGCTGATGCCCTTGACCTGCGTCTGCAGCGCGTTGAGAACTAGGTTATCCTCCTCTATTACTCTCAGGATGGCGTTGACTGACCCAGTCTTTAAGTACCTGCACTTCAATATCCACTCCTGGAGCTTATACGCCTTGTCCTTGGCGTCCGTGGCAAGATCCATCCACACGGGGAACTCCCCGATGCAAGATATGTCTTGCGGATTTATTCCCCACATGGTGATGTTCTTCCCCAGAATCATTTCCTGGAACGTCCACATCCTCGAAAAGTACAAGTTGTCGAACAATGTCCTGACGCGGTTGATGCACGTCGAGTAGCAGTTCAACACGCCCATATCCACGGCGGCAGACCTCACCGTTGCTTGGTCCACCTCAAAGGCCCAATCCTCCTTCGCCCAATCCTCCAGCCGCCTGACCAAGTTATCCGAGAGGCTCAAGGCTTCAGAGGCCAGCGCCGCGCCGCCGATGTGGGAGAGCACGTGGTCGAGGAACTTTAGGCTGTCGACAATGTCCTGCGGGTCCCACACCTCCGACATGTCGACGAGGATGTGGCATCGGCGCGCGTTCTTGTAGTACTCGTACATTTTGGCTATCTCGATCGATTTTTCTTTGTCGTCACCCTGGTTGATGCATACGCAGTCAACCCAGAGATGTTCGGTGCTGGAACTCTCCATTAGGCGTTTGATGTCTTTGAGCTTGTCGGGCGATATCTTCACGGGCCAGTCTACGCCGGGGATGTTGCAGTCGTACGAGTCGACCTCTTTGCCCCAGGTGTAGGAGATTATGTCGAATGTTTGTATATTGTACGGGCGGGGGTCGAAGACGAACAAGTTTCCGTCTTTCAGGCCGAGGAGCCTCAAGGGGAGGTCGGTCGATGACATGGCGGCAGCGCGTAAGATTCTAGAATGGGATATGGCCCGGGAGTTTGGAAAGGTTTAGAAAGAGGATATTCACAGGCCTCGATTAAGAAGCATTGCGTGTCACCAAAGAAAAGCAGGGACACTATCATCTTATGTTTACGTTGCCGGAAGGGGTTTTTACCAGCCAGCCTGCTCGCCCTGCGTGAAGCAAAAGCAATTTTATTCTGCCTGGATGATAGGTTGGAGGCGACGACTAGACGACGCCACAGCTGAGATTGATGCATGGGTGTGAATTGGGGTTGAAGGCGCGTACGAAGAGATGCAGACCGATGCACTTCGCCACTAAAATGTGCAGGGTTCGCCGTCGCGATCGAGCTTCAGGATTGGACAGGACAGGGAAGGGGGCGGCATATTGGAGATTTTAGACTTCGCAGTTCTCCAATGCGACCCCGGATGTGAGTGAATTTTGATAGAATTTGCTTCGCTTTGTTTGAAATGTATTCTGAATTCAGTGTTGAACGTTTGTCGCCGCTTGCTCACTCGCATCTACGACGGATCTCTTGGCCTCGGCCTCCTGTTTATAGATCGAGTGTGCTTGAGGCCAACAATAATACATATCAGAACTCCTGCAACCGCCGGTATACTATTATTATTTGGATGTTCTTGCAACACATCGATGCGCGGAACAGACTGGATTAAGAATGCCGTAAGACTTGTTTGCCCACCAGGCTGGAGGCCGCCCAGCCTGGTCATGGACTTCATCGCTGTCGGAAGCAAACCGGGGTGCGACTTGCGAGTTTTCCCGAGACAGACACTTCAAGACTTCATCACTTCAATCGGGTTCGCCTTTAATATGCTTACAGAATACCAATACATGCTCTGTACGCTAAAATACGCATCCTATCTTCTCCTAAATTCATCCACCCCCCTCTCCCCCAAGAACAACGCATCCTACGTCAAAGCCAACAAGAGCACCAACACCATCAACGGCGGAACACCCTTTGAACTTTCCACATACACCAACTATTTCCATGGTTCTGCACCCGTCAAGTCCTCATAAAGCCACTGCCTTCCTTGCCCAGATCTATCATGGTACATGGCGGCGGGAGCAGCGGCCTTGTATGCGTCTTCGACTTCGCGTTGAAGGTTGGGGAGTGCCACTGGACGCATGTAGGGCGAGACGGATCCCCAAGTTCTGTCGATACGTAAGGCTGCGGCTTCTATGAGAGCGGCCCGCCGGGTCAGCAGTGGGTGGTTTTGTTGGTCGTCTTGCGGGGCCATCACCGATGTAGGAAGAGTCGATATTAACGGGAAGAAAGTCACGAAACGTACCTCCGAAGCGGTTGATAGTTTGCTATTCCAATGGCCGAAGAATACTTACACTTCAAGGCAATAGCAAATACAGATTACCCCTGGTTCTGCATTGAGGGTGAAGGGCTTGGCGCAGCGAGTCGGAGCTAAGAGACTGAAGCTGAAACGCAAGCCTGGGGAATCTACAGACGAGGCTAATAGACGGAATGCATATCGTCTATAAGGAGTGAACAAGTGAAAGGTATGGTATCAAGATAAAGTTGACTCGCTGGAGGAAAAGTAACGAGTCTAATCAATACTCCAAGCCCGCCTCAGCGCAATCCGTGTCGTATATCAATGCGATGCTATACTCTCGCGATACACTGAAACCAAGCCTCCACAAGAATGTTGCTTCGTATCCTAGTCGTAAGTGCGTAAGTATGCTACGCCGGTGAGGCCGCTCCTTATCCCTCCTGCTCCTCGGGTTTCTGCCCAAAACAGACATAACTACACAAGAAGTTAGCTTCCAGCCCAGTACCATCTCAATGCATTCACGAGGGGACGCCAACGTACAAATCCATAATGGCATGCACAGTATTACTCTGCAACTCCTGCCTCACCTTCGCCAACAACACCAAAACTTGTTCCTCCGACCATCCAAGCACATCGCAAAACAACCTTAGTGAGAACGCCTCCAGCCCATTCAAGACCTGCGCGATGTTCAGCCGGCCCACCTCCTTGAGCACGGGGTCCTTGGGCCAGGTGCCGATGGGGAGCTTGAACCTCCTGCTCTGCACGTGCTGGAATCCGGCGTCCTTGACCCAGCCCTCGAGTTTGGGGCCCGGATTCGGCTCGCGGCCGATAGCTCTGGCTGCGTCGAGGAGGGTGGTGATCCATTTGTGTGTGGAGTGGGCTTCGGTGAGGGATCCGTCCTCTGCGTAGTAGGTGAGATCGAAGTCTTGGAACTCGGCCCAACCTCCGGAAGCAAGATTGCTAGTGTTGCGTGGTCAGAAGAAAGAAAAAAAAAAAAAAAGAGAAGGGGGGATGTCGTCATTTTTATAATTTCTGAGCCAGCTGTGAATAAAATGTCGTGTAACACTTACCTATATACTGTCTTGGCGAATTTAGGCCAGTCAAGGATGCAACATGTCATGTAGCGACTGAAGATGTAGGTGAAGGGGCTGCTGTGAACCCATTCGCTCTCTACGTCGTCGACTTCGAACTTTAGGTTTGGTGGAACCCTAAGCAGCATCCGGGTCAGTCACTTGGACATCCATGGCGCCTCAAAAATGGGTCAAGGCTCTTCTGAGGCTGAGGCGGGAGAGAGGAGACTATGGTGGGATGAATCCATACCACGAGGGCTGAATGGCACTGAGGTCATTTCCGAGGACCTAATCGACCATCAGTATCTATCAGTCAGGGAGGTCAAACTTGTTTCATAGAATACGCACCTCAGCATTCGGATACGTATCGGCGATTTCGAAGGCCCCTTAGGATTTGTCGTCCAGTTAGTGAGCGAGTCGCTCACAATACACATACCATATTCGAATAATATAGTGGGTGAGGCTAGACAAGGGGAAACACAACGTACAGATGCCGGTGCCTGTACCAATATCCAGAACCCGCTGGGACTTTTCCCAATCAATAGGAGCGAGGAAAAGCTTGTCCCCAATACCCTTGACCATGACGAAGTGAGAGAGATCGAGCCGGTCAATCTCTTGCTGGGGTGGCGCCGGTTTGTTAGCGTTCAACGGGGGAGCGACATACGGGCACCCTCCGAATCCCGGCCACAAAATCGATGGGAGTTGACTTCAATGACACGCACTCACCTGGTCATTAGGGAGAACGTATGCTTGAAGCTGTCAGCAACAAATCGGTGCGGCAATGTATGATGAGTTACGATTACGCACATCCCGACTTCAGCTTGTGGTAGCGGCGGCCATGTTCGATTGGGTAGTTTAGAACGCTCGAATTCAATGAACTTGTTGAGAGAGCACTAGCGGATGTCGTGCGTTAGAGGGAATTGTGTGGTAGCGTCGTAATATAAAACATACATCTCGTCGATGACAGAATCGCCGTCAAGGACCTATCGATTGGAGCTGTCAACGCCGGGTCTGACAAACGCGGAACGGGTATGTCTTGGGATGGCACAAAGGCATGCTTACTGCTTCGTCAACCTCTACAGAATGGCCCGTCATTGCGACTTTTTAGATGGTTAGGGGCGAGCGGAAAGGAGGAGATCGAGAGGGTAACACGGTTGCAAGAGCTAATAGTTGACGGTTGGTATAGTTGGGAGGGTGAGGAATGGCTAGTAGTGGAACAGACAGCTCGCAAGTATTCAGGGCCGAAGGTCATTATGAGCGCGACATACTGCGGGGGAATTTGGAGCGCAGGATCTTGAGAGAACGATTCCTCCATACTCTCAGACCACAAGTGACAGAGCTAAAACAGGATGAACGGGCCAACCCGTGGGTTATTGCGAACCTTTCAACCTCGAAAGCATGTCTGTGGGCAGCCCAACAATGCAATCTTAGTGGGGTGTGGCGTCGAGGAAGTTAAAGTAGGGAAGTAGTGATCCTGACGCGGGTTGCAATTGGCCGAGGCTCCTTTTGCATGTATTCGCATGCAGTGTGCACCGGAGTCCCTTCCCCGAATGTAATGAGAACTGGGCTAAGGCAAGGTCTGCAAACAATCAGTGACTATGCCGCTCGACTTGGCTAGGGCTTGAAATCCTTCGAAGAGGCATGCCGCGCGGGATGAGTTTGGTATGAGGCAAGGTATAGATAGGTGTTGATGGAGCGAAATCGAAGAGGATGAGATGTTGAGTAGAAATGACGGGTCGTTACAAAGTGATCAGGGCGAAACCCAAGTAAAACCAGCGCCAACGAGATATTAACACACTTTGTAGGCTCAGAAGCTGGGATTCTGGCTTTGGACAGAGAATTCGCAGCAGTGTTCCGAACAGCCTTTGAGCAATATACTTTTCTTCCTCTCTTTCCCCTTCCTCGGGCTTCCCGTTTGGGACAGCCTATCGAAAGGACACAACGGTATCCTGTGTTCCCGTTCCCTTGACCAGTTCCCACCTTGTGCTGGCCAACCTGCGTCGTCCACTTCATAACTGCGAGATGGGAGGTGCAGACTTGAGTTGCCGCATTCGACTAGACTGGAGCTAAAAGCGGCAAACTACTGTAAGGCATGCTGCCTCGAGATCAGCGGGCAGGGGTGCTGCGGGTCGATCGTATTCGTCGATAAGCTAGCGTACATCAATGCCTTCATCCCAAGATCCTTACGAAGTATGGATGGATAAACAGTTTGTTTCTGACAACCCCGAGACGAGGCATTAAGCCTCATTCCCCGGCGCCGCTAGGGACAGCCGAGAAAGACGATGACTTTTTTTTTGCCCATCTCGTTCTTGACGCAATCCAGTGCGGCAGAATAAACCGCGTTGCGATATTCCACATCCCCCAAACGAGGGGCACATGACTTTCCCCCTCTGCATACCTTGCGCGGCGTCCGATTCTGAAGAATATAAAATCAGCCATCACCCTAAAAACGCCAAAATAATTGATCGCCCTTAGCCAGATCGAGTCACCAGGGAAATCCCGGAGGGAATGCTTGAAAAGAGAGCGAAAAGAGGCGTGGATGTGGGGCAGCAGCGGCAACCATACATTTGCTTATTCCGCTGATTGACACTTTCTGGAAGAGCCGCCAAGGGGACCGAACGAAGCCAATACAGGCCGATCCGCCCTCGTTGGTCCTTAACCAAATCAGAACAGGTTCCAGGATGAGTGGATACCTAGGTGTAGATTTCGACGAGAAACCGTCCTAAATCCGGGTTGAACTCGCCCTAATTGGAGTGTGGACATGCATTAAATCAATTGCTGTCTTCTAGCCCAGTCGTGGAAACATTCCGGAGGCAGCCATTGAGATGAAACAATTGAACAGGCGGTCGCTGAGGGAGGCACAGGGAGCACAGAGTCCGTTGTTCAGTTATGCGCTCTCAACGAGGAGACCGGCCCATAACGTTCCTGAGGACCCCCCTTCATTTTCCCCCTCTTGTCATGAACGGCGGCTGACTGAATCTTGGAACGGCTCCTCCCTTCTTGACGAGAATTGAACGAGATGAACTAGAAGTCGAGTCTGATCCAATGCAAGTAATGCTGCCCTGTTTGAGGCAACTGGAAGGTCCAGCCGAATGAGCTATCAATTCAAGGCTGGTACAAGTCAGGTACAGAGTAAACTTCGAAGTTTGACATCAAACTAGTGCTCCACCATTGACTTAGTACAATTCGACTCCAACCACTCGGCGACGAGAACCGAGGGGAAACCCTTCCAGATTCGGCGTAGAAGGCCCGTAGACTTCGGTCGTACTCCGGGCGCTCCTTCCGTTGTCCAATCCAAAGGAACGTGGCACTCGGTCTTTTCGGGGGAAGGAAAGGGAAGTCAATTAAGTCCCGGGCTCTCTCGCTCTTGCTTGGAGATTTGGAGCGGGGGCGGGGTAGAATTCGATGAGGTCATCACGGCAGCTACAAAATGCACCTTCAGCCCAGGATGAGGGGGAATTGGGTGTTCCAACTTTTATCGTGTCTATTTCATCGTGAGATTTAATCGGATTCATTTATTCTTCCCCTCTCCTATCTCTCGCGATTGCTGTTCACTTCAGACATCTGCATCTTCTCGGGCCCCAACTACGATCAATAACACAATGGCACCCCTCAACGTTGGCATCATTGGCTACGGGTTCGTCCACCTCTCTCATCTCTCTGACATCTCATCCCCTTGAACAAAACTAACTTGCAAACAATCTCCAGCCTCTCCGCCAAAGTCTTCCACATTCCCTTCATTGAAGCCTCCCCCCTGCTGACCCTCCACACCATCGTCCAACGCAACCCCCCAGCCAACCCCGAGGCGACCGGCCTCTCCGCCCCCGCCGACCACCCTTCTATCACCCACCACCGCACCATCCCCCCTCTCCTTTCCGACCCCTCAATCGACCTCATCATCATCACCACCCCACCAGACACCCACTTCGCCCTAACGACCGAAGCCCTGCGCGCCGGCAAACACGTCCTGGTCGAAAAGCCCTTCGTCCCCACCTCCGCAGAAGCTCGCACCCTCGCCCAAACCGCCCGCGACTCGGGCAAGTTCCTCTGCGTGTTCCAGAACCGTCGCTGGGATGTAGATTTCCTCACCGTGCGGGACCTCGTGGAGAAGAAGACGCTGGGGGACCGGATTGTTGAGTTCGAGACGCACTTTGATCGGTATCGGCCCGTGGCGCCCGCAAAGGGGTCGAGCTGGAAGGCGGGGCTGGGTGCTGAGCAGGGCGGTGGGCCGTTGTATGATCTGGGAACGCATCTGATTGATCAGGTGTATTTCTTGTTTGGGTTGCCTGAGAGGGTCTTTGGCAAGTTGACGACGCAGAGGGAGGGCGGAGATGATGAGCCGGATACCGTCACGGCTATTTTGACGTACCCCCGAGGGGGACCCAGCGTGCATGTTAGGATTTCTGTCATGTCGGCCCAGACCCCCCAGCCTAGGTTTAGGATCAGGGGTAGTAAGGGCACGTTCGTCAAGTCTGGGCTCGATCCCCAGGAGCCGCATTTGAGGAGCGGCGGGTCCGTCACCGACGAGGGCTTCGGCAAGGATTTGTATCCTGGGACGATATATCTTGCGAATGAGGACGGGAGCCTTGAGCCTGGGAGGACGTGGGCGGGCGTCGAGCCTACGGGGTATGGGGCGCTGTTGGAGGGGTTTGCGGAGGCTATTACGAGTGGGGATGCGTCTAAGGTACCTGTTAAGGCGGACGAGGCGGCGGATGTGTTGAGGATCGTCGAGGCAATCCAGGAGAGCTCGAGGACTGGGGCCGAAGTGAAGTTGTAGTCAGACTCTCTCAACCTGTAATTTTATTCACAAAAGGTTGTCTCTCATAAGAATCAAAAAAGGATGCAATTCTTCAAATTTTGAGATTTAGTAAAACAAGAAACGCTCTACTAAGTATATAAACGCCAACCCATGCTGAGAAACTTGGAGGGTATCTTCTTCCACAAGCCGTTCTCACCACCGAAAACTCTTACACGCTGTTTTACCTCTTACCCCTCCAGAAACTCGCACACGCAGGTATGCCTCTCTTCCTGCTCCAAAAACTCATACACGCTGTTGCTTGATCTCTTCCTCCCCAACACACCAACTCCCCTCTCAAGCCCCCGTCGGCGTCTCCCCAAACGGATAATTAAACTTCAACAGCCCATTCAAACCCCCAACCCACCCATCATCATCGTCCCCCGCCCTCTCCGAATCGCCCAACGACGGAACCCTTATAACGCAGGGTACGCCGCCCCTCCAACCTCCGTCGGCCTCGGCGATGGTCTCCTCGCCTTCGACGCGAATCTCCCTACCGATGCTGACGTTGGCGCGTCTCTTACCATCAACGCTGACCTCGAGGGCTCGTCCGCGATTCTTCTTACTAAGCTTCAGGACGACTTTGGTGTTGGAAGGGATGATGAGGGGTCGGAAGCTGAGGCTTCGGGGGCAGATCGGGGTGATGAGCATGGATTTCACGAGGGGGTGGACGATGCAGCCGCCGGCGCTGAGACTATAAGCGGTGGAGCCTGTGGGCGAGGAGACGATGATGCCGTCGGCTACGAGTTCGGTTAGGAAGTGGTTGTTGAGGTAGATGTCCATGATGACGAGGTGGGGTTCTGGGCCGCGGTGGATCAGGAGTTCGTTGATAGCGTGGATCGATTCGGGCGTCTGCGGGGTTTGGTGTACGGGGTCCGCGCGGACGTCGTTAATGTCTGGTAGGAGATCTTGGTCCGGGTCGGAGAGGCTCGTGGGCATGAGCTCATGGTTGAGGTTCGCTCCGGAGGAATCGTAGAGGCCGACCTTGAGCCGGTGGCGCAGGAGCATCTTGGATCCGCGCTGCATGCCGAGACTCTGGCCTCGTGCTAGGTCCCAGCCCGAGGGCTGATCGTCAACGCTCCTCGTAATGCGTGGCTTCTCTTCACCCGCTGGAGTCTTTCCGGCCGCGGCAATTCTCGTGTGAGGGCCCTGGAGATCCTCTACGGGGACGCCGCTGCCGCTCATGTATACCTCCCTCCACGCGCGTTTGTACTCTTCAAACTTCCACTCGCCCAGGAAGCCGAGGGTTCCCATGCTAAAGGATAGAATTGGGGGCACTGACTCCTCGAGGCTGAAAAGGCTCGCGGCACGTAGTATCGTACCGTCGCCTCCCAGCGTCGTGACGATGTCTACTTTGGACGGCAAAACGGTAGTTGTGCCGTAGGCCGTGTAAATCGGAAAGGGGAGGGATTCGTGGATTTCTTGTGCGATTTGCGGCTCGAATACTAGGTTGAGTCCGGGGTAGCTGTTGTAAAGGTACTTTGCGAAAGCTATGGCCGAGAGTATGACCTGCGGTGCTCTCTGCTTGGGGATGAGGAGGACGTTTCGGGGAGGCTGAGGCCATTGGAGGGTGAGGAGATGGGTGTTGGGCTTTTCTTCGTACTTGGGGACTATTCGGTTGGGTAGGGAGGAGAGGTCAAGAATTTCTCGTCGGGGTGGTGTTGATGAGAAGTTCCGGCGATTGCGCGGGCGTATCGATAGAAGGCATGGGAGGCGGGGCGTCCTGCTCCGGACAGGGATAGAGAGCCAGGACGGCGGGACCTGAGAGGGTGGTCGGAAAGTACGGAGGGGTATTCGACGCATAGTTTCTTCTGGAATCAAAGGACTTTTCTGATATAAAGGGCTAATGAGATCTCGCTACGGCAGAAAAGCGGTGGGGGGAAACAAAGCAAATGGCTGCTGTCAGGCGAGGTCGATAACGAGAGGATGACGCTGTTGCCAAGCATTGGGGACTCGACTCTTAGGAGGGAAACACGTCGAGATGTTGGAGAATCGGAATCTGGGAGATTAAATAGGTGTCTCCTAACTAAGCTGATACTGAGAAGAGGCGGATCTAGCTGCTGAGGCCTTCGTTTGAGGCCGCTTGTAAGCTAAGTGAATGTTGAGCTGTCGTGGAGAAAAAAGAGTCAGCGCAAGCAGAGAGGCGAGCTACTTCGTCTTGGGGAGATTTTTGATAAGCGATAAGCGGACAATGTGGAGGAAGGAGTGCTCAATGCTCAGGCCAATAAGGCGGGAGGTAATTGTCGAGCTTGGTTTCTAAACCCCGCATTCATTGGTCGCTGAACACGGCTCGGTCCACTGTTGGATTGGGGAAAGAGTGGGTGGACACTGGACAGGCAGGTCAGTGCACATGTTGCACTGGACAGTGACTCGTTCCTGATGGAGAAATGGAGAAATCGAAATCACATGCTCACCCATCCAACTGGGCGCAGCTGCAAGTCCAGGTCGTCCTGCCGGCATCGGTGCCTCGCCCGAGCCTCGAGTGATTCAAAGGTACCTGTGTATCTGTGTATACACAGGTACATGAAGTCAAACGTGAAGAAGTACTTCGTAGCTTCTCGGAATTACGTCACAAGCAGTGCACGAAGAAAGTTCCTCCCGACTCCTCTTTCAAGCCAAGGCCAAAATTCCACGGGCCATCTGAAAGAACAAGCAAGTATCCGGTCGGCGAATTTTAACCTTCAAAGGGAGGGTAGGATTGGATTCCTGGCATCACACAAGTAGCGTTTAAGCATTTCGGCACAGACCCAGACAACCATCTCGCAGGAAAATCAAGCGGTCAGCTGCAGGCATCAATTGACCAGCCCCGCGCCCGAGCTCAGTTGACGCCAACAACTCCGGCCCTCCGAGTTGGCCTCACCTTTCTCCAGTTTAAGCTGCATTGGCATTCCCTCTTTTAAGCTCATCCTCTTCACACCCCTGTCCCCGTGTTCCTGGGGAGGTCCAAGGACCAAGGTCACCCACCTGAGCCCACCCTGAAAAAGTGGTCTTAAGTCCGTCCTTCTCACGAGGCCGAAGCTTCCGCGTCCACGATCCATTTTCCCTCGACCCCGCGGATGCCTGGTGCTATCGTTGCACCACTGGCACGTGTCAATCTGGATCTGGACAAACTCACTTCAGTGCGCTACACACTAGCACTAGACAGCTAAACGTCACCTATAAGTAGCTCGGGACCCGACTGGGTGGGGAGCATTGTCAGTACCATCGTTTTCGCACACCTCGCATGAGAGACAGTATATGAAGAGGGTATTCCCTCCCTTCCCCCTCTCTTCCCATCTCGAGTCGGTCCCTGGCCGCAAGTTCCCCTTATCAAGCTTGACCTGCCTCTCCCGTTCTTCGACCGACTCGCCGAAACTGGGTCGTAGAAAGTTATCACTCTCATCATACGGGACATCGTGATATCGTGAGGCGCGATGGAGACGGAGCTTAAGCACCGAAACGTCACGAAAACTAATGGGTCAGCCGTTCCCGCCACTCCGGCACCGGCGCCGGAAAAAGAAGCTGTCGCGTACCAGCCAAAGCCCGAACCCGAGGCGCACCCCGCCGGCGAGATCAAACATGGCCGCTCCGTACAAATATTCCGCGGTGTTACGCTGGGGATCTACTTTGGTCTATCGTGCCTTGCGTGAGGAATATTGCTTCTCCCGAGCCCTCCCAGTATCAACTGACCTTTTTTTCTAGCGTCGTATTGACCCAGCTCATTGGCGCACCGCTCTACTTTTTTGATCGCAATCTGTTCTATTCGTACATGGCTGTCACGAAGCAGTCCTTTGCACTGCTATCCATGTCTGTTACTCAGTGGTGGGGACCTACAGTCATGCGTATTAGCGGAGATGCGTCCGTAGCCGGCCAGATTCATCAGACCGAAGATGGTAGGGTCGAGTTTAGCTTCCCCGAGAGAATAGTTTTGATCGCCAACCACCAGGTACGAACCTCGCGCTGCTTAAGAGTGCCCACTGGAGCTCCTAGTTTCAGCCGTCGTGAACTGACATGTTGGTTTAGATCTACACGGACTGGCTCTACCTCTGGTGGGCCGGATACGCGAATAACCCGCAGATGCATGGCTACATCTACATCATTCTAAAGGAATCCCTCAAATATATCCCTGTCCTTGGCCAGGGAATGCTGTTCTACGGATTCATCTTCATGTCGCGCAAGATGGCTGTCGACCAGCCTCGTCTCGCCTATCGTCTTCAGAGGCTCAAGGAAGAACATATTGCGCCCGACGGTAGCAAATACTTGAATCCCATGTGGCTTCTTCTGTTCCCCGAGGGAACTACTGTCACGAAGAATGGACGAGCCAAGTCGGTCAAGTGGTCCCAGAAGATGGGCTACAGGGATCCCGAGCACGTACTGCTACCCCGTAGCACGGGCACGTTGTTCTGCTTGAGGGAGTTGAAGGGGACGGTTGAATACGTTTACGACTGCACCGTCGCCTACGAGGGCATTCCGTAAGTTCTTCTTCATCATTCTTTTTTTTTTTTTTTGCCTTTCTTTTCTTTTCGTTTTTTTTTCCCTCTTTTTCCTGCTTCCTGTTGCGAAGTAGCTTGAGCTAACGACACCTCGGCGCAGTCGAGGACATTACGGCGAGGACTTCTTTGGCCTCTCAAGCACCTACCTCCAAGGCCGTCCACCCAAGTCGGTCAACTTTTACTGGCGCCGATTCCGCGTCGATGACATCCCCCTCGAAGACGACTCCGAGTTCGACGCCTGGCTCCGTGAACGGTGGTACGAGAAAGACGCCCTCATAGAGGATTACCTCAACACTGGACGCTTCCCGCGCGCTACCGACGACATCGGCACCAACGGATACGTCGAGACCGAGGTTAGGACCAAGTATGCTGGCGAATTTACGAGGATCTACGTCGTTTTGGGCGCTGTCTATTTGATTTGGAGGATTTTGATGAGGATCTGGGCGAGATTTGCGGGCTGATGAAATATGGTTGAGGCGTCTTGGATAACATTTATGGGTGATAGATGGATTTCCTAGGTTGAGGGGGGTTAACGATTTTGGAAGAGTTATGTGGTTGGCACTGGCGTTTTTCGTTTATTTTCACTCATCTCTGATTTTGGGCATCTTGCAAATTGGCTTGAGTATTTGAGCATCTAGCACATTTTTTTTTCGTTCTGGTTTTCTGGCAACTAGACTTTGAATACCCTTTTCTTTGCTTTTCTTTTCCTTTTCCTCCCAGAGGCTCTCGTAGCTCAGATGATATGAAACTCGAATGAACGGAACAGAATATGTACTTACAATCATGTCTATCCCTCCTCCTCCTATCTACAAAATCGTGAACTCTTCTCCGTATACTTCGTACACGGGTATACAGAAAACATTTGACTTGGCATTCATATTCACTCATTCCAAATCACAGCACTCAACCCATCCTCATTCATCTCGGCCCCCGGCCGGCCAACAGCCACATTCGCCAACCTCCCGCCTAACCTCCCCGTAGTGACATTCCTCTCAATAATAGCCACATTAGACGACGTCTGCCCTCCCACGGCAACCAGCGTCCCATCACCGTTAATCTCAAACGTCCTGGGAAACGACGCAAACGCGCTCGTAATCTCGACAAATTCGAAATCGCCCGTGGCGGGATCAATCTCGTACAAGGCGATGGAGTCCTCATTTTGCCCAAACGACTTATCGAAGCGATTCGTCGCGTAGACAAAGTTGTCTCTCACCCTCACTTCGGCAGCCTTGGAGCCAGAGGGGGGGGTCTTTCCGGAGGGCAACGTCCCGATGGTTTTCTTCTTCGCGAGGGTGAGACACCCCCCGTCCGCGGGATACTTTACATCCCACGCCGTAACCGAGTTCCCCAGCTCATTAACGGTAAACAAAACCGTAACATCCGAATCTGCGCTATCCGCAGGGCCCCAAAAAGCGCCGTGGCGCGGTCCATCCCCGCGCGCCGTGGCCGCCGCGGGACATTCGGTGAGTTTTCCCGAGGCCGGATCGATGGAGAAGATGCGGATGACGTCGGCACCGAGGTCGCCGCTTAGCAGGAAGCGGGAAGTTGGGTCCGTGAAGGTCGAGTGGATGTGGGGTGCGTCCTGGCGGTCGGGGCGGGGGCCTGGGGAGGACATTGTGAATTTGAGGTGTTGGATCGGCGTAGAGGCTGCCGGGGAGAGGGGGAGTTTGTAGTTTATGACGGCGCCGCCGTTGCTTTGTTTGTTTGTTAGTTGTTTGCGTACTTTCGGTGGGACAAACACAGGGAAACTAAAGCGTACTATTGTGCGGCGGCAATGAATCCCTTCCCATCATCCCCCCCATATAAACAACTATGCAGCTCCCCACCAGGCGTCGGCGTCTCAGCCTCCTTAGTCAACGACCCGTCGGCGGCGACGGCATAGGTCGAGAGCTTGGTGGTGCCGAACCACGCCTCGTCGGTGACGTAGAGTTTTTTGGCTTCGGAGTCGAGGGTGAGCCACGAGGGCATGCCGCCACCCGTGGAGACTTGGCCGGTGACGGAGAGGGAGGAGGTGTCGGAGAGGGTGAGGGTGTAGAGGGTTCCTTCGAAGTGGGAGACGAGGAGGGTGGAGGCTACGGCGGAGGTGGGGAGGAGGAGGAGGGAGAGGAGGGAAGGCATCGTGGCGTGGCGGTTTGGCGAATGGCTGCGATGAATTTGGGACTTAATGGGCGCCGAGGAGAAGAAAGAATCGTGGGATGCGAAAAGGAGAGGAATTATGGAGATGTCGACGATTCGTTGACTATGCTGAATTCAATTGATTCCTACTCTATTAGGTTCTCATTCGCGCACATCCAAGAATCTCCGCTTCGTCCATCCTCTTTCTCTTGCTCCCTTCCCTATTATTTGAGTGCCGATTTGCCAACCCTATACCTCATACAGGCAGCTATACAATATTGGAAAATGAATCAAGCGTCGAGGGAGGTTAGCCATGGTCTTGTATATGAAGCAAGTCATTCATTCTGTGTGAGTTCCCCAAGCTTCTCCATCAGTTATAGCTCCCTCCTATAAACTATAATGTAGAAGGACTATAAAAGCCGTCCAAGCAGGAATATGTACAGTAGCTCCATGGATTTACCCCAATGGAAGGTTTAATCCGAGTAGCATGCATCTTCTTTTTCTTTCTTTTTTTCCTTCCATACAAGACGAAAAGAACATTCACCCCCCATGTTAAGTTTTGCTGGCCCACGTAAATGCGCAAGCTTCCATGCGGTGATATCAATAGTTCGAGTAGAGGCTAAATGCGTTGGGCTGGGGTTGAAGATTAAAGGCCCATTATTCCGAGAATTAACGGCATTTGGATGCCGTGGTGCGGGAACCAATGATGTGGCAGGAGCTTGTTCACTCTCTTCGTGTAGGGAGATGTTTCGCTCTCTTCTTCTTCTCCTTGTTCTGGCATTTGCCTTTTCGGGTATTGAGTGAGAGTGATGTAGTGAAGTCAGTCGGATGGTTGGGAAAGCGTCGCATGGCGAAGGTCGCGCTTATTTGGCGCTGGGACTCCCAGGTCCCTATTGCTCTTTCTTCTTCTTCTGGACTCGAGTTCTAATTTAGCACTGTTTTATGTTTTCGGGTGTGTAAATTTTGCATTTTAACTAACGAAAGAAATGGTATCGGGGGAGGGAGATGAATAAATAAATTGCCATCATGGACTTACACGCGAGGGTCGCTCGCATCGTTAGAACACGCAGATCCCATAACGAAGGAAAGCTGGTCACGGTCACACTCTACACTTGAAGAAATAAAAGAAGGGGAAAAGGTTGCAGCAATGCTGGCTTGAGATCAAGATGGGAGTGTCCAAGATGCTCGTAACAGTCCACAAGAAAATCGAATGCTGGCTCTCTATTCTCCCCCAATGTGGCTGAGACCAGGCAATTTTGATCAAAGTAGCCAAGTTGGCAGCTATTCCCTTAGTAAATTCGTCCCCACGAAGGGCTAGATGGAACTCTCTCTTCTGTTCATCTGATGGGTGGAACAATAGTGTTTCCGCCTTCTCTTGCTGCGGCAGTTTGCGTCTGGGCTGAAAGTCGTGCTTGGTCGAAGCTCACTTTCTCAGAGCATCTGCGAGAGACAGCCTTGAGTCCCTCTTTCGGATGTCTGCTTGCCGGTATTGCTCGGGCCCATCGCAGAAGCTAAGAAGCCATGGTTGTGTCTGAAGCCAGACAACAGATACGACCTCCGCCCTTGTCGCGCTGCCGCATGGTTTTGTTAACGATGAAACTGCCCAGATTTTCAACGACTCGTGGGGGTAGTCGACACCGGTACCGACCTGGCTGCTCTGGCCAAGCTGAGCCAAGCCAACGCTTTCCGTGAGTGCTATATCGTTGTTGACAGCCTTGGGGAGACGCGAAGCTCGGAGGTCTCTCGGAGATGGAAGCCTTATTCTGTTGGCTCTCGCAAGAGAGCTAGGCCGGCCCCAGGTACGGTGCAATTGCGAGCTCTCAATCTCCCGGTTATGTTAGCTTAGCTTTCTAGTTCGCTGGATATAGATGATTCTTAGGTAGTGACTCGAGGCAAACCACGGAGTGGAAGTGAATCTCAAGAATTTGGATGAAAGCAGCATTCATACTCGGATCTCCGAATACAACAAGGCTTACATCGAGGGCAAATTCGAAGAAACTAGACTCTTGCTTTATTCTCCCAATGCCCTTGGTCCCCGCCCCGATCCCGCTAACTCAGGAAAATAAAATTCGAAGCACAACCTCATTCCTCTCCAGACTGTTGACACTATTGCCGCGATTCGCAGGATCTAGATCCGGTTCGCCATCTTCCGTGTCACCACCACGAGACCCAAGAATCAGCCCACTCCATCTCCGCACCCCAGATTTTCCCCCCAACCTCCGTGTGCCTCCGTACGACAGATCCCCCATGGGGAAGTGAATAAACTGAAACAAAATCGCGTCACCCATTCCCATTACAGGCGGGGGAAATCCCATGTGAGGCGGGGAAATCAAGGAAACGAAACTAGAGGTGGCGTTAAGGGGAATGAAGTTTAAATGAACATCTCGCGAGATGGGGAGAATCTAGCACTTTCCCGCTCCTATGCCCGGCTACATTATGACGTAAAACAAGGAGATACACACATGAAAGTCCAAGAGCGAGGAATGAAGGAAGATGTCCTCTTTACAACTGAATTCCCACGGGGTTAGAAAACCATATTTCAGACAGGGTCCTCTCCGCTCCATGCCTTCGGGACATCGCCGGCGAAGACGGCCCTCGCTCGGAGATATTCAGAGTGAACGAGGATAATCGTCTTGGTCTTGCATTGCCTCTCTAATGTAGGGCTTCGCTATTCGGGGCGACTTCGCGACAAACATGGGCAGACCGGACCGGGAAAGACAGAAGATGAAAACGAGGGTAGAATAGGTGAGAAAGATGCTTTAATTGGGGCTAAACTCTGTTTATTTTATCCACGACATACTCTATTTCCGCTTTATTCGAATCTTTCCATACGAAACGAGGCTTTTTCTTCTTCTGGCATCGGGTCGGCAGGGTTCCTAAACTAGAGCTCTGACACTCGCTCCTCCGTCAATCTCTACGTCAATCTCCCGCTCTCACAACCATTGTCCACCTCGAGTGTAGTATGTAGGAGTAATGCATATCTAACCATACTTAAAAACCCAAAGATAGACATTACCCATTCGATATTGTCCCATGTGCCATCATCGTCGATCCTCGGACCACAAACCTGGATGTGACCTCATCGTCCATCTCGCCTACTTATCACTTGCTTTCCTTTCCTCTGCTGGGCCCGTCGCCAAGACCGCCGAAGGGGTCCGATGCGAGGCGGGACGAGATTTCCTCTCTCCGGCCGAGCCTTACATCTCGCTCCTACCAAGCCCCAGTAAAGTATCTCAAAGTAACTCAGCAAACAAGCATGCCTTGGGAATTTCGGAGTCTCACTTATCTCCAATTCTGTTTAGCTCGCCCGCTGTGTCGTATTCGATATTGTGCAGATTGCATTCTCTCTGTCGTTTTCCGTGGGGTCGCGACCATCCGGACTTACATGCTGACCTACGTGACGGGATGGAAATAGCCGATAGGCCTATACGGCAAGCTGTAGAAAATGTCTCATCTCGTGGCTTTACAGAGGAGAAGCAGTAGTTTCCGAAAAGAAAAAGTCTGTTCCGTGTCTTTGCAGCCAGTCTGCTGCCAGTGAACATCCCATTTCGCAGGAATTCTGTTGCCCTCTGTTGGGGGACATGTAAGTTAGTAGATGATGGAGAGTTAAGAGATAAAAGATTAGAATCCCCAGTTTGGCCCTTTTTGGGCCGAACAATCCCTCGATCTCTAATCAAGCCATTTTCATCGCCTGCGGCGACCTCCGCCGCCTCCGCGGTCCAAAACCTCCAAGAGGAGAAAACACGGGTTATAAGACGCCCCTGATCCCCATAGTCGCGCCAGACGGAATCCGGCTGAAAGTTCATCCAAATAGGGTCCAATATGCATCAAATGTCAGCACAGGGGATCGACACCATAGAGATTTCCACCTTGCTAACCAGTTCGGTTCCCGTGCCTGGCATATTCTTCAAACCAGGACACGGGAAGGAGAAGCGACAAAACGAAAAAGGACGGAAACGGGGAGGAAACAAATTGAGCCTCAGTTGATCGGCACCATCCTGCCGCTACTTTTATATTTCATGTGGCTCCATGGACAACAAGCAAAAGAGTCCGATATTGACCTTGGCCCATCTCTTCCTTTTCGTCATCGGCCGAGCAAACTTCTTCGTTTCCTTCCTCTCCAAATTTCCGAAGCAACCCCGCACCCAGAGTGTCAGCCCGTTCATGGGAGAGCTGCGAGAGCGGGAGAGGGAAAATGGGGGCAAAGAGGAGAAGGAGCTTCTTGTGTGATGAAGAGACGCGGGTTGGAGAACTCACGAAAAGGCACAGGGAGAATCGGGCAATTCGGACCTGTGGAGAGGGAGAGGGAGGGGGAAATAAACTGCTATATAGCCACGGCAATAAGTATCGCCAGACTTCCCGTACGATGGTTTTAACATCGTGGAACGATATTGATCACGCTGAAGGCTTTTCCTTTCTATTTTCTCTTTCTCCTACCAAGTCTCTAGTCCCCGCGGCTGAGTTCCTGACCACCCGGTAACCTGGTAAGAAAGATACGAGACTCATGAGGCCGCGGGTATAAACGCTCTTTCTTCCCCTTTGCTTCCTTGTTGAGTGTTTTCATCTCGCCCACAGCTAGCTTAGCTCTCTGAAGACCATAGCGGACTAGGCAAACTTACAGAGAGACACCAAGTCCTAATTACCGTCCCCGTTTCCCCCTTTCCCCTCAAAATGTTCCGGCTCGCAATAGCAAGCCTCGCCATCAGCGCAACGGCGGCGCTAGCCCTCGACAAGCGCGCCGCCGTCTCAGACTGCCTTGCCGAGAAGGAAGTCCCCGTAAGCGAGGTCGGCACCGAGGACTGGGACTGGGACGCAGCGCCCTTCAACGTCCGCACCCCATTTACCCCCGTGGCCATTGCTGTCCCCAGCACGGAGAAACATATCCAAGATGCCATTCAGTGCGGTGTTGAGAACGGAGTCAAGGTGACGCCCAAGTGTGGCGGTCACAGCTACGCGAATTATGGGTTTGGCGGTGAGGATGGCCATTTAATGCTTGAATTGGATAGGATGAATAAGGTTGAGTTGGATGAGGAGACTGGGATTGCTACTGTCGAGGGTGGTAGTAGACTTGGACATGTTGCGTCCGTGTTGTACGAGCTTGGGAAGAGAGATTTTAGCCACGGCACCTGCCCGGGGTGAGTGTCTACTATACGAGCTTTCACCCCCGGTTCTTCTCATGGAAGGCCACAGCTAACTCCGCCATTCCCATCTAGTGTCGGTTCCGGTGGCCACGTCCTCCACGGCGGCTACGGTATAAGCTCCCACACCAAAGGCCTCGCCCTCGACTGGCTCCTCTCCGCCCGCGTCGTCCTCGCCAACTCCACCGTCTTAACGGCCTCCGTCGACGAAAACCCCGACCTCTTCTGGGCCATCCGCGGCGCGGGATCCTCTTTCGGCGTCGTCTCGCAGTTCAAGTTCAAGACCTTTGAGGTCCCCGAGACCGTGACGCGCTTCAACTCCATCCTGCGCTGGAACGCGAATAACTCGGTGGCCGGGCTCAAGGCCCTGCAGGAGTGGGCCGCCGAGGACATGCCGGCTGAGATGAACGCCAGAGTGTTTTTGACACCGCAGATTCCGAATTTGGAGGGGTTGTTTTATGGGACGAAGGAGGAGTTGACGGAGGTTTTGAGTCCAGTGTTGGAGAAGGTAAATGGGATGTTGCAGGATGCTACGGAGACGGATTGGCCTGGGCAGTTGAGCCATTTTGGAGGTGGTCTTGATCTTGACCAGACCCATCCCTACAACAAGGTAAGGGGCGCTCTTGGCTTTTCTTTCGTTTCTTGATCATCTTCAATGCTAACGAAACCTTCCCTCTACACAGCAAGACAACATCTACTCCACAAGCATCTACACCGACGCCCTCACCGACGAACAACTCGAATCCCTCGTTGACTACTGGTACACCAAAGCCAAGAAAGTCCGCCGCGGCTGGTACCACCACATCGACTTCCACGGCGGCAAGACCTCGGCCATCTCCGCCGTCTCCAACAAGGCCACGTCCTACGTCCACCGCGACAAGCTCCTCATGCACAACTTCTACGACCACGTCGACATTAAGGACACGTACCCCGAGGACGGCTTCGATCTCTTCAACGGCTTCATCGACGCCATCGTCGGCGACGGCGATAAGTTGGATTACGGCGCGTACTTTAACTATCCCGATCCGAACTTGGATCAGGATACGGCTCAGAAGAGGTACTGGGGCGAGGCGCTGCCGAAGTTGCAGGAGATTAAGGCTGCTGTTGATCCGGATGAGGTGTTTTATTTGCCGCAGTCTGTGAGGCCGGCGAAGAAGGCCGGTTCTGAGGAGGAGGCTCCCAAAGAAGAAGCTCCTGAGGAAGAAGCTCCTGAGGAACCACCAGTGGAGGAGGAGCCGGAAAAGAAGAAGAAGAAGAAGTGCTAGATCGGGCTGAAGCACAGAGCGGCTCGGATTTATGCCCACCCGCAACCCCATTTCTTTTCCTTTGTTTTTGAATCATTCATAGAGGTCACGGCCGTGTACATCACCCCGGGAACTTTTGCATTTTACACTTATCTGTGGTCGATTAAATTTTTAATACGTTCGATTTGAAAGCGATGGAACTCGGGCAATTATTCTGAGAGAGGAAACTTTCGAGTCGGGAGAAAGTGTACATAGGAGCACATATGCACCATGATATATTGAACTTGTCCCCTTGCCCCTCGATCCAGGCATACGCGGTGACCAACTCGCAGTAAGGCACGGTTTTGGTCTGGATTCAGCTTTCAGGGAGCACAGACCGTGGTCTCGCCTTGCCAGCCGGCGACTGAGGCCAGATCCTAGCCCTCGAATCTAGTTACTCTCACTGCAAGGCTGAGATGGGAGGCATTTCGCCCAGGGATCGCGCCGAGAGGAGGGCCAACAGACCTAGACCTCCGAGTCCGAGACCATGGGTTCCTACCCAGCACGAACAATCTCTGGCTAACTGATGGGAATTGCTCTTTCCTAGCGCCTTCCTTACAATTCAACCCTCCCCTCGCCCCTTCCTCAACCCACCTCCTCACCAAGCGAGCAACTCACTCCTTCCTCACCCAAATCCCCGAGAATTTCCCCATGATAGTAATATAATAAAGAATATGAGACCGATATGTCACCGGAGCAAGTTGACGTAGTCAGCGAGCTATAGCATTCCGTTGCCTCCCCCGGGAGGGCTTGGGTTCGAGTCCTACCGCGCCCAAGTTTTCGCGACAGCGGGGTGCTCGGTTCCAGGGGTCGACTGAAGAAATGTCCCGAGGAATGGAGACCCCCATCTGGCTGGCCAGCAGTGGTCCTGGGAGGCGCAACCCCCAAGGTAGGTGAGGGTAGGGCCCTGATGTGATTTCTTTTTTTTTTGGGGGGGGGGGTTTACTTTTCTGTTTTGTTTTATATCATTGATCTTTGGATTACTTGGTGATAGCTTTTGTATGCATCCTGGATAACTTTCTCGAGATTCTTGAGGACTGTTTCGTCTGTGGTGATAATGAGTAGACGTTCGATCTTCTTTCTAGGAACGAGTCTCCCTACTCTGCTTAACCGGCTCCTCATAGATCGGCGCATACAGATACGACAAATACGACAACGTCCGGAAGCCCCACAGATCCCGGTCCGGCCGGGAAGTCTCGCAGCCCGATGGGGCCGGTAGAGGTTTATCGCGGGGCCAAGGACGGCATCGCAACGGGTGTTGCCGGCGGGCTTCTCCTGCTTCCAGGAATCTCCCTCTCGCTTTGGCGTCGGCGCAGGACCGTTGGAAATCGGGGCCGCGACCGGACTGGTGTGGTTACAGAATTGGGGTTTTGGGATCAGGGTAGAACTGGAGGCTGGGACCCCTTGGGGCATCTGGCGCAAACAGGGTGAAATCGACGCCCATCACGGCTTGATACCATTGCGGAGATTGGCGACGGGACTCGCATGAGCGGTTCTCTCCTGTCGAACTGAGCGCGGAGAAGAGTACCTCGTTCGGAAGAGAGGGTGGTTCGTATTAATGTCTGACGTATATACGAGGAGTAGGCTAGGCCCACCTAAAATATAAGCTTTGGAAATACACTACGATAAAATCGTCCGTGGGATGCTTGTCAATGTCGCAGGTGGCAGGGATCATGACGAACGTGCATGGGATGAAATGTAACGGTTCTGTTGAAGGTAATATTTCCTCCAATTTCAATTTCTCTTCTCTTCCTGCGTCGACTTCGGTGTCCCGTCTGGAGTAAGCTTTGTTCTCAGCTGACCATGAATTATCGAATCGATAGGTCTAAATTGGTGCCCTGTCACACATTGTTCTCCCTATTAGGAATCTTTGGAAGGGTGAGGGTGACGGTTCGTCGGGGACAAGACTAACAGCAATGATGACACCCTTGCCAACGTTGGTCTGACTTGACCGACCGACCAGTGAGATGAACGAGAGTCCGTCAAGGGCTGGAATGAAGGAAATACATATTATCCCAGCAATGCAAATCCCAAGCGTCCTAAGTCTTACAACATGTTTGTATCCAACCAACAAGAAGGGGAGGCCAAGACCCCAATCTTGCATGGATTTCCAGGATCTCCCACACACAAAGTCTCAGGCAAGCGACGAAATGATTCAAACATGTCCAGAAATTCAGAACTAGCTCAGACCTTGTTAACTTGGCGACTCAACTTGATTGGCGGGCACTGCCACCAAGACCAGAACAAGTCAGTCAGGAACCTCAGGAACCTCAGGATCAGGGCTTTTGAGGTTGAGGTGGACAGCTGGAAAGAGGTGTTTTTGACCGTTCCCGAATGTGCCGGGGGCCGCGGCAACTGTCAAACCTAGAAAACTGGGGCATCCCCGGTGTCATGCATTTTCTTTTTTTCTTTTTCTTCTCGGTTACCACAAGGTATACTTCGTACAAGTACATTATAACGGGATCTCAGGTGTCCTCCACGTTGCGAAACTGTTGACGGTGGCATTGATCGCTGGCGAAAGTTTCAATTGTTACATTGAGGACCTGGAATGTAGTATTCAGTAATCGCCAGACACTGTGAATATTTGTATCAAGTGGTACTCCTCATCGCTTACGTGTAGTACAGGTACTCCTTACAGATGGTCTGGCTGTCGAGACAGTGTGGGAGATGGAGAACTTTGATGTACCACAGTATCAGTGAGAGAATTAGCGAACTAGGAAGCTGGACTCTGGAGTGAACTTTGAGAGGCAGGAGCAAATTGGATTTGATCTATAAACAAACTCCCCACATCATGACAATCAAGCGACGCCATTGCCCTCCGAGGAGTCGAGAACTCAAGCCTGGGAGACCTGGACCCAGGGCGACCAACGATAGCCACGCATCTGGTCCACATCGTAATGCGCCTCTGCGTCTCTTAAAAGCGTAACTTTCCCCCTTTCCGCGTCCACACCACTAGTCAGAACGAGGTTATTGTCGTGTAGTTTTCTTCTCTTTCACTTTCGTCTCTTCTTCTCCCTCTTTCTCCCCCTCTCCTCCTCGTCTCTTGCCATGACTTCGTGAGAAATATCACCGGTTTGGATTTCGTCTCTTCTGTACCGACATCACATCCCACCTCCGAACCATCCGAACACCGACCCCTCCAACCCTCACCCAACCACGGCTTCGATCCCGGCCCTGGGAAATAACGTCGGAGAGAATCCTCGCGACCTTGCAGGCTCTATCATTTCTTGGCAGACATTAGCTTGCTCTGCTCCCAAGTCGTCACCCACGGAATTCAGCTTACGCAACCCAGCACTAAGTCTTGGCTTTCGTCCCAAGAACCATTTCAAGCCCAGATCCCCCACGTTGCCGTTGGCGCCAGGCGTTTTCCACGCTTTGGAATTTTGAATTCCTCATTCCCCCCTTCCCGACACCTCCGAGAGAATTAAACAGCTTGAGCTGTGATTTTCCTGGGAGCCACGCCGGTGGGAATTGGACCCTCAACTTGAGGCGCCCAAAGATTGACTTGTTTCTTTTTTTATCTCTTCTTCTTTTTTTCTAAACTTGGCTTACCCTAATTCGAAAAACAACCCGGCGGAGCTTTCTTCGAATGATGTCTAATTCACGGCGCCCCTCGGGGGCTTTGGCGTTATGGATCGTCGGTTCCGCGCTCTACTCGACCGCCGCGGCGCATGGAAATCATGGAGGTGAAGCGATTGAGGAGGGACAGACTGTTTCCTCAGACCCTATTGTATGCGCCCAAGAAATCCCTTGATGTCTGCCATCTCACCCGTGTCGAGGAATCGGTAAGCTTACTCTAAGTAACAGGATACGATATTATGGATACACATCTTCCTACAAATGTTTGCTTGGGGGATCCTCTTCCCCATTGGAATGGTCTTCGGTGTAAGTGTTTTCCCCATCCTCCATCTTTACCATCGAGAAAAAAAAAAGCCTCACTTACACGGCCCCCTAAACAGCTATCCAAGAGCCGATGGCACGTCCCCACACAAGTCCTCGCAACCGCCCTCACAATTCTCGGCTACTTCCTCGGCCACATGCATCGCGGCCGCCAATTCAATGCCAGCAACGTCCACGCCATCTTCGCGACCCCTCTATTCTTCATCCTCGCCGCCCAGGTCACCATCGGCATCTACCTCAAGCTGCACCTTGAAAAGGGCATCAACGGCCGTATCCGCCGCCTCGTGCGACCCGCCCACAGCATTCTCGGGAAGGCTTTCCCCGTCATTTCGTGGGTGCAGATGATCTTCGGCGGCATCACGACACTGGGGTTCTGCCAGGGCGATCATCTGGGTCAGTGTGTTGCACACTTTATCATGGGCGGCGCATTCATCGCCTACGGTATCCTGTTGACCATCCTCCTTGTTGTGGGGCAGCTTTGGATTCGGCGCACTGGGAGGTCGCAGGAGTTTTATGATAGCAGCGTCATTGCTGCTTGGGGCTGCGTCAACACGTTCACAGAGCATAGATGGGGAACTGATTGGGTTAAGAACGACTGGCAGCATACCACTATGGGTGTCATTTGGTGGTGCGCCGGTCTTGCGGGCATCTGGCTTAGCCGCGATAGGGACGGCAACCCGAAGCGCAACTTTGTTCCTGGGTTTGTGCTCCTTATTACTGGCTGGGGTATGTCGGCGCATCCGCAGGAGCTGCACACAAGTGCCGCGGTGCACACGACGTTTGGATATACCTTGATGGCGGCGGGGTTGTCGAGGATTATCGAGATTGCCTTTGTGCTCAGGGATAAGATGAGTGTTGCGGAGGATGGAAGGCAGGCGAATAGCTTCCAGTACATTCCCGTTTTTGTAAGTCACAGCTTTCTTTTTTTTTTTCTGCCTTTGTCATTCGACTAACACAGCCATAGCTCCTTTACGCCTCCGGCTTCCTCTTCATGGGTGCCACCGAAGAACAAATGGCTCTCGTCGAAACCTCCAGCATGGACCACGTCTCCTACATTCTCATCCTTTACTCCCTTGCCTTCCTCGTCTTCCTCTTCGCCAACATCTGCATCTACATCTGGGACCGCATCACCTCGACCAACGCCCTCGCCAAACCGCTCTACACCAACGGCCACGCTGTCGGCGGCGAATCCCGCGTCAACGGCAGGACGCCTGAGGATCAGCGCATCCGCGACGCCGAGGAGTTTGAGCTTGATGGGCTCGTGAGTGATGAGGAGGATGATAGTGCGCAGCTTTTGAAGAGGGGGGAGACGAGAGAGAGGGCGAGCGGGGAGCCGGGTGTTTCGATCTGATGGGAGAGAATATCTAATGGGAGAGAGAGAGGAGAAAAGGGAGAGGTAGACTAATTGGTATATAAAGTTGGGAAGGATGGATATAACTGGTATTGGGATTATGAAAATTACGGCCTTGTATAGCCCGGTCGTGGTAGACTGGAGATTTCTTGTACGAGTGGGTGGCTGGAAGACTGGAGAGGAGGAAGCATTGCATTTTCCTGGTATATAAATGTGCGTTTAGGGAGTTGGTACAAAGGACTCTTTTTCTGTTCACTAGTCACTCGACGCCAACTATTTATCATTTCCGACATGAAATGAAAATATGAAAATCGAATCTTATTTTTGTCGTCTCGATCAACGTTCAAGGTTGTTGATAGCAGACTGAGAAGCACATGCTTCATCCATTGTACCTTTGTAGATCCATTCCAATTGTATCACTGCCAATGCGCGATGCGCCTGCCCCACCATCCACACCAATTCCTTATCTTATCGCGGCCCCTCGATTTTTTTTCCTTCCTTTTTTCGCCCACCGCCTTCCAACTTTCTTTCAACATCACCGAAACGTCCAAACCGCCCACAACCACCGGACCTCCCTCCCTCTCCGCTTCCCCCATAAACACAACATCACTCCAACCTCGAGCCCATCCACCAACACCCAAAATGGTCAACGTAGCCAACCCCAACATCAAATCCAAGCTCCGCCAAAGCAACCGCGCCGCCAAGCTCCGCAAAATCGCCCAGAAGCGCTCGGCGGCGGCCAAGCACGGCGCCGACAGGGTATCCAAGGCCGACACGAAGAGGGGCGCGCGACCGGGTTTACTCCCCACGAGCGGGCCGAGGGCGCCGATTAGCGCGAAGAAGAGGAGGAAGTTGGAGAGGAAGTTGGGGTATGCTGCGAAGAGGAGGATGGAGGCTGAGGGGGAGGTTGATATGAAGGGTGAGTATTTATGGGAGGGGGACTGAGTTGTTTTTTTGAGTTTGGGTATTTGAGGGTGGGAGTGCTGACTTTTTGTAGATGTTGAAGGTGAGGGGGAGAAGGAGGAGGAGATGGAAGTTGAGGGGCAGATTGAGTAGGGAGGGAGGATATGGAGGACGAACGGGAGGGTGCAGGGGTGGGCTGTTTGCGATACCCTGAGGGTGGATATGGAAGGCTCATTAACGTGGTATGTTGGTTGGGTTTATGTGGTTGGATCTGATATAATGATTTAACAATTCGTTCTAGCGCTATTCGCTCTAAGCTCCTGATGGAAGTTAGGGGTTGTTCTCGCACAAAAGCAACGACTAATGAAACCAATTTCAACGCATCTCCATTCCAATTTCCATTCAACTCTCTCGCAGCAGAACCGACCCTCAACCCAGCGCACACCCTACTTCCTCTCCTTTGATAAGTCCTTGATTATGTCCAACAACTTATCGACCTGTTCCTCGGCCCTCCTCCGCCCCGCCCTCTCCTCATCCAGCATCTTCCTCAGCTTTTTCAATTCCTTATCCACCGATCCCCCCTCTTCTTCGACAGGAGTTCCCTCCCGCGCTCTCTTAACACCTCTACTATTCCCCCGACTTTCGGAGAAAGGTGGAGTGCCCGGTTCGGTTGCCGGGCTTTGAGCGACGACTTGCGATTCGGCTCGGGGCCGGCATGTCTTTTTGTTAACGTGTCGATCAAGGTTATCTTTGCGGGTGAAGGAGGTTTTGCAGCTGGCACAGGTGAATGCTCCGGCGCCTTTGGGACTGTTTCTTTGGGGCGTTGGCGTATGCTCGGTATTGGTTCTTCTCGGTCTTCGATCTTTCAGTTAGTGGGGTTTCTGTTAGTAAAGGGGTGGGGGAGCTACCTACATATATTGGCTGGGAGGGTTATCCGGAGACCTTTGACCGTTCCCATAGGTCTCTATCAGTGGGACGATGTTATTTTGTACCGCTACTAGTTGAGGTAGAGGATCCTGCGTCATATGGTGAACATCGGGAGCCGCTAGGAAGGCTACAGGCGATGTAGCAGGAGCCAATATTGTTTCCGGCAAAGAGAGACTGGCGTCGTCGAAGTTCACTCCAGGAAGATCGTCATAGTAGCTGCCATGGAAAAAATCGAAATCGTCCAACTGAAAGTCCTCGGTGGGAGGGCGGTCGTAGAACATCCATACCACGCTCCAGAGCACCAACAGTGCGGGAGGGATGCTCCACGGCATTGAGACGGATACGCTTTTGAAGCGTTTCTTGAACCATGCTTGGAAGATGTCTGGTAGGACGTAGAGAACGAGAAGGCTGAAGGTAGTGAGGAGACGAACAATTAGCCATATCTGATGGTCTTGGTTCTTTTTCCCTAGCCCTAGCCACCCCCTCGTCAGAGCTCGAGACACCCGTGGAATAGTAAGTGCCATTTCCAAAATCGGATCCACCCTCTCCAGCAAACCCTTCATCAGCCGAGAGAGCGTATCTCGAATGACATTTGCCACTCCTACGTAGTAGTGTAGAAGAAGGGAGACGGTCATGTCACGGCTCGGCCTTGTTCCGAGGAGCTTAACAATGCTGCAAGAAAAGCTAGATAATAGTTTAGAACCGCCTATTATTTTGTGCGTGCACAAGTCGCGGACCCGAGGGAGCGTAGCAACCCCGAGAATTCTCAATGACTTCCTGATTTCATCGATTACCGCGGTGAAGAAAGTTAAAGGTGTGCTTCGGAGTAGGAACATGTCGTCGTCGGTAAGTGACCAAGGGAGTTTTCTTGTTGGAGCCGGATCGCTTTGACCAGGCTGCAGCCCGGTGGGGGTGACCAGCATCGCGTCGGTTGAGGAGACCAAGAGACTGGATAGAAATGCCTCAACATCAAAAGGATGTGGTAGAGGCAAGAGGACCTGGAGATATTTATAAATTGAAAGACTGTGTAATTAATACATGATGGGTTCTCCCCTGCTGGAGGAGGAGGAGGAGGGAGGAGGAGGAGGCATTTGCATGATGCATAGCCAGTCTCACCAACCAGAGGACGAAGAAGCCTAGTTGGTTGTCGGTGGTGGCGTCCATTCAGAGAAAACATCTTCATGGATCGGTGCCCATTTTGTTGCCAAGCCTGGTCGAGTTGTTTCATGGACTCTCCTCCTCCCTCTCCTCTCCCTCCTCATCCTCCCTTAGCCAGCATGCATGAGGCGCACGAAGGTGCGATTAAGCTCAAGATGCGGCCGCGTGAGCGGTTCTGGAAACAGTCCATTTGTGCAGAGAACAGAAAGAGGGAAAAGTTAGATTAATAAACTGAATTTCGCATCGCTCAGGCTTCCAGTGATTTCTCTCGCCAAACTGTATGACGAGTGTCGATGTATGTTGTGCTTTCTCTGTACCCCATCGGAGAGCAACGTCTGCTAGAAATGCGAACTGTCAGCGTGGAGGCCATCGACAATGGGACAAGTCTGCTGTTTTGACCTTTACTAACTTCTTCTTAGATCGATTTCCATCTCCCAGTCAGTTAAACAAACCATTCACTCATGAGCAGCAACGTGACGTCTCCTCGAGGCGACTTTTCTCGCGTAACCAACCCCCTTTACCCCAGCACCGCCGTAATTCCTGAAAAGAGCATGCTCGTCCCTTTCGCCATGGTGACAATATATCCGCTAGTTCTGGTGGCTCTCGCGTGCCCCATCTTGGGAGAGCTAGATTCAAGCCATGAAAATCGTGTCGATATGTTCGGCGGTGGGCATACCACTCCATAGCCGCTTCTTTCGGATTGCGCTAGGGTTTCTGCCCACTTTCTATCCCAGCAGGATGATGGCAGAGATCCAGCCACCACTCCTCTCAAGATAGGTGAAGCATCGCCACTCGCTTCTCGAGATATGTCTGTCCGCGAAACCTTTGAACTGTAAGATAATGAAGTTTTCTAAATACCGACTGGAAAAGGTCGCCGTTGCGTAGCAAGATCAATCCAGTGGTCTGTAACAAGGACATCGGCTCCCCGGATAGTTTTCAGTTCCTGCACAAGACAAAGCAACATCTAGGCAAGTTGGATTCCAACACTACTGACAGAGAATCCAAGATTAATCGTTGCAGGAACAAATAGCACATTGTCTTTTTTATTCCCTCAAATACCAGAGGCATTTACAGGTTCCGAGATGAACTCCAAAAGATCTAGCGTCGAAGGGAAACCGAATTGCAATGAAAGATGAAAGGGAAAAAAATTGGGGAGAAAAAAAAAAAAAAAAGTGAGTGGTTCTAGTCCGCTACGCGTTTCGAACCCAGCGGTACTATATTTTGGAGATCCCAAGAGTTCAAGCATTCATTGATGAGTGACCCTCAAGATCCCACGGGTTCCCTGCTGTTGAAAATTCGAACCCAAATTTTGGTATTTAAGACTTATTCCAGGCTCCAAGATTGAGGGGAGGATGAGAAGGCGCGATGCACCGGCCAAGCACCTTCCTTCCTCCTTCCTCTTTCCTCGATCCTTCCCCGATTCTCCAACTCCAGAGAGGGTAATTCGTATAATTCTTTCTGATATGAAAATAGAGGGGCGTGATGACGGGGTATTTCTCATTGCCCTGTTCATTGTAGCCGTCTAGGAGACTCCACGATGCTTGACGGGGAACGAGGCCGAATCCACCAAGCCCCGGAGGCGAAGACCCAGTTCTCACTCGCATCAACCAAAGACGAGCCTATGCCGAAGTTCCCCCCCCCAAAGTCCCCCAATGTCGCCGGACGGACCTTCGTCAAGGCGGCTGCGAAGTAAACCGCACGAAATCTCAGCGTCGGTCTGAAAAATCTAGCGTGGATACGGGAGGGTGCCTTCTTCAAGTTCGTGTTATCGTGACGAAGTGACCACGATCGATCGATGCGGGATACTTTCCCCTTTGGACTTGTCGCGGCCAAGGTGGACGAGAGGCGGCCCTCTTGAGGGAATGGACCAAGGGTGTGTGGTCTTGCCGGGTCTGTTTCCTCCATCCGCCACCCATTCGATCTCACATGTCTTGTTTGTTGCCTACTCTCTTCTTGCATTTGTTCACGAACCCCGCTAATGAACCATGTCAACCAACACCCCAGGACGGGGTGGCTCCGGGGTGGCTCCCTCATGTGAGGGAGAGGAAAACTGCCTTCGATGAGCTCATTAGTCATTTGCCGTTTCAATGTAACAAAACTAGAAGTGTAAGAAGGTTAGATGGAGAGAAATCCAGGGGATGGAGAGAAATCTAGGGGACGATGGTGTTTCACAAGCGGCTATTCTTTTCCTCTCCTCGAAAGACCGCCTCGAAGAAACCACGAAGCAGTTGAAAGGATCTGAAGCAGAGTGGCGGGTGAAATCGTGGAGTTACGACGAGATGCCCCATTACAGCCGGTGTTGGTGATACTCTTCAAGAAGATACTGAACTATCCACTCTCAAGTCACACACTGGACGGACATGGATTCTTAGTGGATCTCCACCTTCACCCGCAATGCATCAAATGACCATCACACCAACGACAGAAACAGAAACCCCAGCATCAAAACCCTCTCCAACCACTCCCTCGCTATTACCAACATGAGTATCCATCTCATTTCCTTGGCTCTTTTTTTAGTGCTGGTCGCCGGCTTGGTGTGTATGGAGGTCGTGCGTTTGCGGAGGAGCAGGGGAGACAATGATGCCACTAACACCGGAAATAACGAAGCTTAGTTAGTGTGTGGGGACGGGCGGTAATGAACAGGAGTGGACCTCAGTACTTGTGGAGTGGAAGCTACGGAACTATCGTCAACATTGATCTTCTTGATCAAACGAAGTAGGTCGTCCGTAATTACTTGTGGAACGAAGTAGGACTGAGCACGAGGCATAGTGTACACTACACTGGGGTTGGTGGAGAAAGTTGTCATTGGAGAATTCATATCTCTCTATGAAGTATTTGAGTAGGAGTAGGACCGTCATCCGTTATGGTTGGGCATAAATCTTGTACAATTATGGCGATGGAATTCAGAACACTCACGTTGGAGCTCTCATATGGATCCCTTGTTCTTCTCCAATCTTCCCATTTCTCCTTCCTCATTGACCACCCAGTGTAAAATCACCACACCATCGGTAACGTTCAATCCCTGTTCTCCGAAGCAAAGGCCAGAGCCAATGGGACATGGCCTGATTACTATTCGGCCAACGGTCCAGATAGGTCAACGAGTCTGCACTTCCCAGGTGATGGTTCATATCGAAGCGTCTTGCGACCACGCCAGATTTCTCCATCTGCTTCGTATTAACGATTCCTGCGTAGAGGAGCGTCACCTACAAGCGCACTATTTCCTGCGGCAGCCGAACTCGGGTTATATTGGCGTAGGTGGATGATCTTGGGAATCTCCTTCTCCACATTGTGAGCAGATCTGCTGAGGCCAAGAAGAGAAATTGATCTTTGGAACCACCCATGTTTCGTCGATCCCCTGTCCCCATAATGCTCAAACCGGGCAAGGGTCCGCAGAAAGTAAAAAAAAGCCAAGGTCGGGTGGCGTGCGGGGAGTGGCGCAAATTGCCAGGCTTAGAGATTCCACTGGGTGTCTTCTCAAATGGACCACACACACCCTTTGCCAATCTCCAGTCTGTACCTTTTCAAAGATCTTTTGTATTAGTGAGCCCGTACCAAGTACTTGTTCGTATACTTCGTATTGATCCCTGCTGGTTTCCCGGTTTCTGAGACCAAGTGACGCCGAGTCCTGTTCACTAAACCCCTTGCGGAACCTGGTGGTCGGGATTGTCCGTCCACAGAACTCTCACGCGACTTACACCGTTCCCTGAGTCCGAGTTCCCCAGATTCCTTGCATCGAGGACACATCAACACAACGGGGCAATATCACAGTGATTTCAAGAAAATTAAGAAAAAAGATTTTTGAGGAATATCAGATTAGCATTAACCCACGAAGCGCGAAGATCAAGATTCCAATCTGCTCCACGTAAACACCAATAGAACAAATTCCTCCCAATCCCGCGCAATCCGTGAACATCAACGCATCATCCGAATAAACCATTAGTAGAGAGAAACCCCGGATATCAAAAAGTAAATTTCCAATTAAACCGGTCAATAATACCCAAAGATCCTACAACCCACTTTTTCCCTCCCCCTTCAATCCCAAAGAAAGAGCCTCCATAAGTTCCACAAGCATCGGGTCGAAACTTCAAATTTAGAGGGCGAAAGCGAAGAGGCCGAGGACGAGAGCCGCGACGGGAGCGATGGAGCCGGCGCCGGCGGTGGGGAAGGAGGACTGGGGAGGGTTCTCGCCAGTGGGCTTGGGCTTGTCGGTGGAGGTGCCGTTGCCGGTGGCGGAGGGCTCGGCGGAGGCGGTGCCGGAAGCGGTGGGCTCAGGCTCCTCTGGGGCCTTGGAGGACTCAGTGGGCTGCTCAGGAGCCTTGGAGGACTCGGTGGGCTCGGGGGTGTTGGAGGTGGGGGCGGGCTCGTCAGTCTTGGGGGGGTTCTTGAGGGCCTCCTCGCAGATACCCTGGACCTCAGTGATGACGGCGACTGGAGAACGTCCCGTTAGTATATATGTTATATAGGATCAAGAGCAAATATAGAAGAGAGTCAACATACGGGCACCGGCGGCACCACCGCAGGCCTCAATCACGCAGTTGGTGGCGGCGCCCTGGATCTTGGACATGTTGTCGGGCTGGCAACCGCAGTACCAGTCACCCTGCTTGCAATCGCTGGCGGCAGGGGTGGCGGTGTCGAGACAGGCCTGGGCCTTGCCGTCGCAGGCCTTAACCTGCTGGGCGGAGGCAACAGCGGCGAGGGTGGTGAGAGCGAGAACGAACTTCATTTTGGCGGTGGGTTGGGGGTTATTAAATTAGGTGGTTATATAACGGTTTTGTGTTGTACAGACAAAGTCGTGTTGTTTGGTGCGGTTGTGAACGAGAGTGATGAACACGTCTTGTTGGATTGGAAAACAGCGAAAGTGGGTTGGTGAGAAGAAGAGTAGAGAGGAAGAGACGATGGGTGTGAATGATGGGTCTTTATATAAGTGGAATCGAGAGCTCAGAGAAGGCAGACAGATGCTCCAAGTAGTAAACTAGCAGAGAGGCCTTGTCTTTCCCCGTCCTTGGCCGACTATCCCGAGGGTCTGTTCGAGGGTTGGTTGGCTTGGGCCATGCAATGGACCATGCCATGGGGAATGGGGCATGGGCCGAGAGGAGGGACGGATGGAGAACTTCTGCCCTTCCCCGGTGTTGGATGGAACAACAAGCAGCAAAAGCACAGGCAAGGAGAAGTGTACTTACTTCGTACACTCCATTGCCACGCCCCCGCCGCCGCTGCGGGCCATACCAGGAAAGGGAGATGGGTTGTGGGGGAGTGGTGCTATCAAACATTGAACTTCAAACTCGAGGTCCTCTGTGGGTAGCAGCGTGCAATCTTAAGCTGTATCATGTATGGGAAATGCGGAGAGCTGTTACATTGGACCTCTCCACACCCCCAGTGCAGTGCATCGTCGGTGGCAGTCCTGCTCTTTGTTGCTCAATTCCCCGTAGCTTCTGTCGTGGTTGTTTCCTCTTCCGCTTGAGAATCGATCTCCTGTCCTCCACTATTGCCCCGACTTCGTACGACTACGGGAGGAGAGTTTCTAAATGGGGATGAGAGCGGGTATTGTGTTCCAACCATCTAGATGCTGCCAATGAACAGACAGTTGCTCGCCAGGTCTCACATTTCTGCGCATTAAGTTTAATGGTGTAAGTCAAAATCCTCTGGGAAGGGATCGCGGGAGCGGCGCACATGGCTGGCCACATGCAAAAACGACAGTCTGAACCTTCGAAATCGAAGCTCTTCGACGCAGTTCCCGAGGTTCTATTGTACGAAAGGAGTTTAGAAGGAAGGGATTTGAAATGACGTTCCTGCAGAAGGACAGTGTACGAAGTGAGAGAGTAGCAGCACCGATCTGCACCTTCTCTCGCTTCCCCTCCCTCCACTCCACCCCTTCCCCCTTCTGCGTGCAGTTGGGAATTCTAAAAATTCCCGCCCCGTCGGCTTCATTTCCTAATTCTTTTGAGCCTGACCAAGTAGTAATATTAATATAGTATTCGCTGCTACTTCGTACTCCATAGACGCCAGCGCTTGGAGCGAAGTTGTGGAGGGGTGGACCCGGGATTACTACGGAGTCGGGGAATGGCCAAGTCTGGGGGGGGGCTGGGGTCAAGTTGATTTGTCGTCTCCAAAGTACCAGACGCTATTATTGTTCTTATTACTTGTATGCCTGGTGCTAAAAAGAGTCCAAAAGGCGAGACAGGAGAAGAAGGTGGTGTGGGGAATCATGCAGTCGAGGCGAGGAACATTTGAAGCTCCCTCCATCAATGCTGCCTCGAGCAAGCAACAGTCACAGCTGGGCTCCCAGCAACGGAAGCAGCCACGCCTGGCCAGGCAATATGCCTACACTACGCATACGAAGCACGGGAAGTAGCGACGTGCCGTTAGCCTGTAATTCGCTTGTTTTTCCTTAAGACGTACCTCGATCGTAGTCTTACGATTGAATGGCCTGAGTGGCTGGATGGCAGGTGCGTGAATGGTCATGGTTGAGTAGAGGCGCATTTGGTTGACCTGGAATCTTGGAGCTTGCAAACAGCCCCATAGGAGTTGAGGTCAATCAATTGGCTCAGAGGGTGGGCGCCCCGAAGAACAATTGACACAAGTAGAGATTGGTTCGGCTACTGTCCGTGATTCGACTTCTTGGTTGAGATTAGCGATCAGTAGTCCAGACATATATTGATTCGTTCCACTCGATGCTCCGAGAGAGTGGGACAAAGAGACGAGCACTGATTAACACTATCGAATTGAGCATGAGCTGCAGTTCGCCAGCTGTAAGGCGGTTTCAATTGAATTCGGTGCGAAATGCAAACCTCAACGTCTGGGTGAAACACTAACAAAGGAAATCAATGTTGAGGTCGAGGCCGTTTTCATGTTTAGTGAGCAGTGCAGTCAGTCCTTCCCCAGGTTTCCCAAGCCACTGATCAAATGATGGTGGGGTAATAACGGGTGGTGGCTCCCTCGTTTGGAGGGGAAGCCAGACCAGCCCAGTCGTGGAAGTTGGAACGAGGCCCCAGCCACTTTCCACAGCAAACTGGGGACGACCGCAAGGAATGTACTTCGTACCTTTTCACTCTGGGAGTACCTTCCCCAGAGCCCGCCAGTCACTCCTGCTGATTACTCTTGATGATTCCTAGTTTCAATCGTTCCTTCCAAGTCCCGACCCTGTTGCTATTTCGAAGTCTACACTAAATCGGGTTCAGGGCACTCGGGCTTGCCGCGGCCTAAATCTCCTAAACAGAAACATCATTGATCTCCCGTGTGGCAGCCATCAATTGTCGCACTCGAGTTTATGTTGTGTGACGGGAAGTTATGCCCTTCAATTGTCCAAACTTTCGAGAAAGTCTCATCTCTAGTCCAACATGAGCTACTCGAGTCGATGCGTTCAATGCGATGCCGGATTCCAGATTCCAGATTCCAGATTCCCTCGCAGGGTTCCAATTCAAGATGAGATGTTATGATCAACCTCCCCGAGTTCAATGCAAAATACCCTTGCTGGCCGCAGTCAAAATTGGTCATCTCCGCCCACTGACTCGTCGTTATGCCCTTTCGAATCGTGGAGAATCAGCAACTGCCAGCAACCAAATCATTATGTCCTGCGAGGTGCAGATGGAGGTACGAAGTACCAAGCAGCCAGCCGCGGCGAACGGCATCGGCACCATAACCACAGAATCCAGGATCAGCCATGCAGGTCAGAGACGATCGATCGGGGACACTTCCCGCATTGGGACCGTCATGTCCGAACAAAACAACCCTCCACCGCCCTAATTGGTGTGGTCCCCTTTCCAAGTTCGAAGTCAACTCTGCGCTCACGCCTCCCCCTTCTCCCTCCCAAAGACAAGGTATTTCGTATCACTCTATTCGAGGGGAAGGGGAGGAGGGACGTAACACTACCTGGTCCTCGTTCCAAGTTTCCTCCCATTTTGCCACTCTTTTTTTTGAATCTCGATGCAGTGTAAACTACATCCACCTCCCCCCTGCTCGAAGCGATCCGCCCTTCATTGGGGAAAGGAGACGCTAGACTCGTCCTGTCATAGTGTGGGAACACTGCAGCTATCACCGACAGTATCCATTTACCAGGTGGGAAAGCACGGTCTTTTTTCAAGAGAATCCCTCCCTAAAAAAGTCAGCGCCGAGGTGCAATGAGCAAGAGAAACAGAGAATATTGAGCCCGTTGGAAGCATGTGAAAATTTCCCGGCCGAGACCCAGCGAACAAGAGCTGAAGGATTCCCGAGACCGCCTGGCTCCCTGGTTTAGCTCACTCCAGCTTAGCTACCTGCAGCCTGCCCCCCATGTCAGAGTGCGCATCGTATTTGAACCGACGACATGCAGCTGTCTGCAATTTGCAATCCCAGGTGTGCAGTTGGTGGTTGGTGCGTATTAGCCTCTCGTCTTCCCCGGAATGGTGGAGGGAACATTAAAGCTTCTCTCGAATTCGGATTCGAATATTGACAAGGACCCATATCGAATGGGTCCAGCTACACCGCGTGGACCGATATCATTCGAGTTTCTCGGTCTCTTTTAGTGCATGAGAACAGGCGAACTTGGTGGAAACACGCTTAATTTCCATGCCCAGGCGCAATGACCCAATGGGCTCGGAGATGTCTGATGGCTTCGACCCGGGTCCGGACACTACGGACAGTGCCAAAATGCGGAGTGTTGCAAAGAAGGTTGTGCGTTCCGGGTCTAATGTTGGGCTTGGCCCCTTTAATTCCCTCCAAACCTTGATTTACGCTGGGGAACCTGGGGATGACCACATGCCACATGGGATATGTGTGGGTGGGCGTGGATGATGGGCGGCCAACTCGCTCAGAGCCTCAGCTTTCAGATTGATATCCACTCACCGACTGCTTATCGACTTGTTCAACCGCTGGGTTCCTGAAGCATCCTGTTGATCCGACTATTCTCTTGAAGTGTGTCCCGTTTGTGAGAGACAACATGTTCGATAGGCGAATATTACTAATCTGCTAGACTGCGGTAGGGGAATTGTCTTAAACCGAATGCTGGAAAAGCAGATTGCTCACTTCATTAACGGAACACATCGCAAATAACCAGCTCCACCTATGACAGTGATCGTGTCCCGAGAAGGCAAACTCCACCGATCGAGTAGCACAAATCCGGTAGACAAAGCGGGCGAGGATCTGGGGTCTCCAGACGGACTGGCCTACGGCTCTTGGATTCCGCCCCACGATACCACCCAAGCTACGATTTCCGAAGCCTAATGCGAAGCGACATCCTGTAATAGATTTGTAGAACCATCGTGTTCAGCCCTTTCTCAGGTACAGGGCACATAAACGGCCCGTTGAAGTTGAAAGCACCTCTTTGGGTCTGCTTCGTAGGACCAACCAGGTTACATGTGATGACCTCAACAACACACGTTGCCAGTCAGTGGCGGCGACCCCCATTCTTGTCGTCCCTCGGCTTCACAAGCTTAGCTAGATCTAGCTCTCAGCTAAGGCGCCGCCCAGGCCTAAACGTCACAAGGTTGGGTAGATGCTACCTTGCTCCGACGCAGGAAGAAATGGCGATCTACAAACCTCATACAAAGATCGAAGCACTACTTTCGCTCCGGTGAAAAGAAGTGCCAGATTATGCATACAGTAGACGCTAGATCACGACGCCGGCGGGCTCGAAAACGGAAATCTGCCAGGGCGGAGACCTCGTTCTCTTACCCTGGAGAGATAGTGGCTGACGCTCCGCATGCCCGAACGGGGTGGCCATACTAGTTGGGACTAAACCCCTTACGAAGGAGCGACTTTTTGGGACTGGTATCTTAGGGAGCTCCTCGGCTTGAGGCTGTTAGCTTTTTTTTTTGGCTTGTGAACCGTCGGCTTGGTGAAAGAACCTATCTTTTGAGCTTCGCAAGCCTTACGCCATCGGTTTTGGTCTGCTTACAGCACCAGAGAAAGGAACCGAAAGGGTTTCCGGATCATCCCTGCGAAGTCCCAGCTTCGTTCTTACATTCTCTTAAGTCTTCGTCATCGCCTCCCGAAGATCCAGAACTATGGCATCAGCAGAGGAATACCGCAGAACCCGAGAATGATTAGCAAAGAACTGAGTTTCTTCACTTCTTTGGAGAAGGGAACAACGGTATGATGGTGATCGACCACCGGCGCCCCAACGATCGAGAACAATGAGAGGGCATTTACTCATATTATGTGCGATTTGAGCCACCAATACTTTTCTCTTCCATTTCTTCCTTTACTCTGGTGATAGCTCCTCCGCTAGTCGTCTATCAAGGCAAGAACACATCGAATCAGACAGCAAAGATGGACCGAGTCTTGAAGTTAGAGTTTCCCGCGCCTCATTGGCGTTTGCTAAAGTGGAATGCCTGAGACAATGACGTACACATCAGTCTTTTTTCCCCACACAAACACCAAACTTGGTGCTCGTTCACTCAGAGGGGTGATCTTGGGGCGTGAAGGCGATCAAGATGCGCTTGGTGCCCATTTTTGAGCCTCTCTGAGGCCGAGAGTTTTGCTTCGTTGGATTGTTTCGCTCAAGGGATGTGACGCTGGCCCGTTGATCGACACAGCTACTTTCGCAGGCCGTTTTTCGGATATCTCGCCCAAGGCACTCTCAAGTCTCAACAGCCTCTAATGGCCACCTTCAGCGGTCCGTTCTTTATTCCTCGGGAAGCTTTACTCACCGTGTCTTCTCAAGTTAGGCTCCCGGAATACCGTTGTCATTCTTCCCCGTCGTGCCTAGCATGACCTCGGATTCCTTCCTATCGAATATAGCTAGATGCAGAAGGATCGGTTTTCCTCGTCTCTTCGATTCGCCCCCTTCTAGTTCCTCGAATTGCCTGGCCAGAAGAGTCATCTTTAGGCGGTTATATCCATCTAAACGGGATGAAAGCTAGCTTCCATCTCTACTGCGCCTCTATGTTTCCACGCAAACCCTCCTTTGCTTCAGTGCAGTCTGGGGCGCAACCAGTAAATATTTTAACGGTGTAACTCGCCAAGCTCTAGAAAATAACCGCCGTCGAGGAGACCTCCAAGCCAACTTCCTTCAACATCCAGCTGTATGTTAGGCGTATTCCACCTACGCAGTCCGCGGAGTCTAGAAGGGACGTCACGTCTTGGGAGAACTGCTTGCCGTCCTACTTGAACCTATCATTTCATTCAGGATCGGGCGTCTATACATCATGACGTATCTGTAGTCTTCTACCAGGTCGACTTGCTCCCTTGCTCTTAGTTGATATAGCCCGAAGGGTTTAATAACCTCACTCTACGGGCTCTCATCCTCTCCCATTCTTTCGGTCCACTGGGACGTCGTCTTCGAATTATTAGAAGGTAAAGTCTCGCGTGGGAAATTATACCGGACCAACCAAGAAACTACCATGAGCTTCCTCTTTCTAAGCGAGGTTGATGAGATGTACACATAACCTTTGTCCACTATCCTACCGCAAAGGCTATCCGTGGTCTTGGTTGAATGTTTGTGGCAAAAGCTTTGGCCGAAATCGAGGACCATTGTTTGTCGTTTGCTGTTTCATCCACAGATCTAGTTTGTCCGACTTGAAGAGCCCCCGATTTTCCCACACGGGGTGTAAGCGATGCGGAATTGTCGAGGAAACGATGCTTTATAGAGTGTGGTCCTTGCCCCCAACGGGAAGAGTGTATGTAGACTTACTAGGCGCCGAGTTTGATCTGTGTTGAGTCCTCCCCTAGATTTCGTTTTCTCTCTCTTCGAGTATGTGTGTGAACTGGAAGGCTGGGGATACCTTTCCTAGTCGAGGGAGAAGGCTTCAACGTTAAAAATTCATGCTAGGCGGAGTCGTGAGCAACGACGATAGATATCTCAGATTCTTCCGGGAGCTAGAAACGAGGGATACTTCATACCGCGAGGAGCCAGATGCGTATTTGTCATTTGTGGATAGATATTAAGAAGAATGTTTATGGCTCCCTGCCGTTTTAAGAGATGGAATATGTGTTTCTTTTTTTTTTATATTCCAGGGGAGATGACATCGTCGAAGAACACACCAATGACTCTGACATCTCACAGGTTTTTAAGTAGAAAAAAAGCGGGAAATAAGTATTACAAAATTCATACATCGTTCAATTCTCTTCTTAGAAATTATGGAAAAAGTATTAAAAGAAGAAAGTAACAAAAAGAAAAGAAAAAAAAAACAAAAAGCTCGCTCGCGGCGCGCTCCCGGGATCGAACCCAGATTGCGCCGCGAGCTACGAAAATTTGCAATTTTCTAACCTTCTGAGCGCTCCGGTCGACCACTTGGCCAACCGGTCGCAGTCCTGCTGCTTGAGCTGCTCGGTTGGAAGTTCTTGCCGTGGGATCGTATATAAAGCTATCACGAGGAGGGCGGGTTGAACAAGGAAGGAGCGGGTCTTGCCTGGTAACTACGAAAGATTTGGTATGTGTCCAATGTACATACATTTTTGGCTTCGCAGGCATCGCTCTATTCCAGTGGAAACAGGACTGAGAGGTTTGAAACCTCGAGAGCGAACTTTACAGGAGTACGATGGAAACGTGAGCGTAGTTAAGCTGTCGATGTAGTACATATCGTGGGTTAGCCAATCCAAGTGTCAATCAACTTCATATCTAAACATGAATCATCAAATTTTCGACCGGATATATCCTCCATCTATGGTATCAGTCCATTCCAGAAACATTTGATCCCTCCCAAAGTTCCATCGGCACAAATAACAACCTATTCTCGCCAGATATCGAACAAATCCCTTAGAACCCCTTCGCCGTAATGGCATCAACAGCAAGCGCCTCAATCCTCCTCGAATAAAAAGCCATCATATGACAAAGCGGATCTCCCCAAATCACCCCCCTAAGCTCCTTATCACTCGCCGTATGAGCGACAACACCATCCCTCAACCTCTCGTCAATGGTCTTGCGCCCCGTGACCTTGAGTTTCGGCTCCTTCGACCGGAGGACCACTATACGCCCGGCGTTACTGAGTGTGCAGTTGGGGACCCTCCAGACGGGGCTGCGGGACGACCACCGCGATGGCGAGTGGGTCTTCTTCGATACGACGGCCTTGGAGCCGTCTTTGTTGTGCGGGGTCTTGCCAGATGATTTTCCGGATGACTTTTTCTCGCGGTGGTTGTCTCTGCTGCTTTTCACGGCCGTGGGCTCGGGACAGGCAAGGAGTTCAATCAGCGTCTTGACGTAGGACTTGTCTGCCCTCGCGACGGGATCTCCCTCATTTATGAAGCTCATGAACACGCTCTTCTTGAGCTGGGGAATGTCCGGTTTGACTAGGGGAATGAGCGATACGGGCGGTGTTCCGAAGGTAATGCAGTGGATTCGCTTGAAGCAGCCGGTTAGAATGTTGAGTTCCGATTCGGCGGCCCGCGAAGTCGACAACATGTGCATGTATAGCAGAGCGGCAACCGCTCCTCCGGCACTATGGCCGGTGATGAGGAGGGAGTAGTCGCTGCGTCCAGGGTTCTCTTGGAGAAGCTGACGGAGGCGGGCAGCGACTGGTTTAACCATTTTCCGAGCTGAAGTTAAGAAACCGGCGTGACAGAGGTTTCCCACGTCATCCTTAGTGGCCATACTGTCAGCATTTTCTTCGACGAGGGAAAAGAAAAAAAAAAAGTAGAAGGGGAAAAAGCCTACCAAAAATCCAGCCGGAGATGCTGGGGCCATATTAAGATTCACCGCCCAGTCCATAAAGTTTGCCGTGCCGCGAATAGCAAACACGATGACATTCTTATCATCCATTGGCACCGACTTGAGCACCATGGCTCTCGTTCCCGTCCTCCAGTCCGCACTAACATGAGTGTCATTTTCCGCGCCTCTGGGCGTATCATATACCCGCTCAGAATAATTCGCGGCAAGACAGAGGAGCGGCCAGGTGGAGACGTATCTTCCCGGGCTGTTAGCTTTATCCCATAAATTCATTCGTTATTACAATGCCCAGAAGAGAGACTTACAGTCTGAGTGGAGGCAAGTCGAAAGGAAGCCTTGAATTTGCGTATAAGTCGACCTTGGCAAAATAGCCACCAGACACGACAGCCGACGCAACGCCAGAGGCCTGCGTCTTGGGATGGTATTCCCTATCAGGCCTCCTCGACTTAGACTTGCCCTGATCGGGACCTCGTCTCGACGAGTCCAGAGGTTGCTGAGGGTGGAAGGCAAAAAGATCGCGCTCATTCCGGTCGATCTTGTCGACATCAATCAGAGTCATTATGCGATCGAACCCGCTAGCAATCTGGTCGACCATCGCAACTGTCGAATTGACCAGCTGCGGCCCATACGCCTGCCAAGCCGTGACGCTCTCATCGTAGAGCTGGGGCATGACGTCGTGAGCGACATCTTTCGTCAGGTTGATCACAGAATTGCTAAACTTGTCTAACGAAGTACCGGGCTTCTTGCCGTAGGGGCCAGATGCGGGCTGGGAGTTGAGATAATAATGCTGGTTGACAACGATGGGTGGATACGGGCGTTGGTAGCCGTTATACGGAGGTGGTGGATACGTTGGCGGAGATTGAGATTGGGTGGGGCCGCCCGTCCATCCCGAGCCCGAAGCGGCGGGGATGACGGCAGGGACGGGGGGGATATTTTGTTGGTCGCATAGCCAGGTCTGCGTTCCGGCATGCGCTTGCTGTGAGGGTTGAAGAGGAAATGATTGAGATGTGAGCACCTTCTGTTGTTGGGGCTGAGGATGGGGTCGGTGGGCGAGAGCCGCGTGAGGAGCGGTGCTAGGGCGAGGCGGCAACTGGTGGGGCGGAGCAGATGAGGAGCCGGGGGGCTCTTCTTTCTTCCGCTTCTTACTGGAGAAGAAACCCATTGCTGCGGGGTTCTGATGAGAGAACTGGTCTGGTATGCTTGGGTGTCTCGGGTGTCTTGTATGGAAGACCCAATGCAACTGGGAGTTGGTAGTTGGTGATGAGACAATGTGTGCTGAATGCGGGTTGCGTGACGCAGGGAAGAGAGTGCTTCACACTAATGTAGTAAGAGGCTTGAGTGATGGGCAGTGAAACAATATCAAGGGTTAAAGAGACACGGATTCAAATTGATTGATCCAAGAAGAAGTAAAGAGCACGATTTCGAGGGAATCAGCGATGGTATTTCAAGGCAAGCCAGAATCCAGGGTTCTCGGACGAGGCGGATCATGACAGACAAGAGAGACAGGAGGGGACCCTGATGAGGGGCAGACAGAATGACAGACGGGCAGAAAGATCAGGGAGCAACACAACCGTCGACCCTGGAAAGCAAGAGAAGAGACATGGACGCCGAGGGCCAGAGGTGATCTCATAGCCGAGCGAAAGTTTGTCTGGTGCAGGTTGGGAACAATGTCTCAACCTGGCCTTCTCGACGGCTCTTCTCGCTCGTCATCGAGCAATGGCCGGGCTGTAAGCGTGAACCTTATGGCTGGTTGAAGGTTTTGAGGGAAATGGTTATTGATGCTATCGATAACGTGAGAAGGGACAAGACAGGAAGAGAAAGTTCGTGGAAGAGTCATCCATCCATCAATCGACAGGGTTTCCGTACCGGTCCAGTCCCGTTCCGGATCTGGGTTCAGGGAACTTGTCGACGGATTCAACCTTGGCGCACTTTGGTTTATGCAGGGCGAAAGACACGGGATTCATCAATATAAAGACAGGGGACAGCTTCGCACTACCGAGGGCGTAGAGAGCAGAGCACGAAAATAACGTGGGCTATGGCAGAACCACGAGTAAACTGCATGGGTGCAATTGTACCAAGTACATTCCCACTGTATCGAGTCTACGATGGACTTGTCCTAATCCCGTGGAAAGAGCACCCCTCGAGTACCTGTTTAGCCAAGTAAATCTAGTAAATATACCCTCAAAAATCCATTATCCACTCCGAAGTCAAATCGCAGCTCGCTCCTGCAGAATGCAGACTCTGAGGGTGGTCTGACAGATGCAAAGACAGGAGCGACCCTCTAAAACGGGACTTAGCTCAACTCGCCCCGGTCGCGGCATCCCAATCTTTTGACCCTATTTTGAAGTCGCCTCTCATCACAAGCCACTTCAGGCCCGTGATTCGCTGAGCGACTTGCAGCGCTGCCCCAATCCGCTTCGCCAAAACTAGAACGCGGCGTCTAGAGAGGTACAATTGTAACTTACGAGGAGCACTAAGAGTCGTGATACGGCGATGCAGAAAAAAGGCTTCGCCAATTGTGTGCCGCCTCCCTTGTGCTTGTTTTCATGCCGTTGCTTTGCTTCGGACGAAGCTGCATATTAATTCCTGCAGGAGGACTGCCGTTGAGTGGAGCATTGGAGCAGTGCTGCTCCAGGCGGAGGGCAGAACACGATGACTCGATGACCTGATGCTAAATACAGCGAATCCTGCTCATAGACTCCGTCAACAGATGTGCTCTATTGTGCATTACGCCCTGGTCCTCGCCTCCGATAACGATAACACCATCTCCTCGTCTCCAATAGCGGTTTTGAGGCATCATCGGGATCGGCTGTAGTTGCACCGAACCCTTCTCTTGAAGCAGCTCGTCTTCTGATTGCTGGGAGACAGGAGCTCCTGCGGGTCTCCTGCCCACATGTGCAGCGCAACGACCTCCAGAGACGTGGAGCAAAACCGGTGGAGACTTCATTGTTCCATCCAATGTTTGTCGCACAGCAACTTATGTAAGAGTCTGGGGTCACAGACTCTCACAATCGCTGCATGTGAGAAGCTTGAAACTTTACATCGACATCGAGACGAAGTACAGAAAGCCGTTCGATTACATGGACTTTCCACCATGGCTCTGCCAGCCTGATCCGAGTCCGTCTACCAACAGTGGTGCTTTCTGCGGACTTCTACACACAGCACCACGCTGATGCCTATTTTGGGTTTCTGGGCATAGTGGAGAACCAGCACTTGAGAAGACGTACGTCCTGATGCAGGGAGCCGCCGTCTCTCACGTTCCTGTCTCGTGTGCGCCCGTCTTCGGGAGTATAAACCTCTAGAAATGGGGCGGAAACGGCACGATGCATGACTTCACGATGACCCTGGAAGCTTGGGGACCAGCAACTAGCCGGACTTGGGGAGGGTCTTGGAGGGTTTGAGGGGTCCGGACCTCGGGAAGGGTAAAGGGGCCCTTGTCTGCCATCACGTCAGTGACGTGGTGATGCTCTACTCGAGGCATAGTGTCTGCGGTAACTTGCGCCGCCCCCTTGGTCCCTCGTTCTCAGATACCCTTTATTCATGATGCATTCACTGAGGATCAGTGAAGGGTATCGGCAACTTCAGCCAAGACCACTCTTTGGGGACGCTGTCATCGCCAAAGTTCCTGACTTCGATAGCCTTGCCCGCCAGGATCTTGGGAGGACCTATGACGAAGCGGTAACTACCGAACGACCCAAGGTTTTGTTCTATTGCATCCGGAGTTCCTACAACTGGCCTTGGTTCTTTTGCCGAGGTAAAAGGCCTTTTGCAATCGCTTGAGTGGAATGCCCGACATTACAAATATGAGACATCTTTCCCAAAATCGACGATCCATTCACTGTCCTTCACCCTGAAAGTGCGTGTTAACTCGATCATGCCGTCTCAAGACATTGGGCACCTGCCAATTGCTTGCACCTGTCCGCGATATCCGAACTCTAGCAGGTCCAAGGACTTCACATGAGCACCCTGAGTAACGTCTCTCCAGTCCTGCACTACGAGAACTCTGCCTCATGTGATGGACCCTCAGTCTCTCCACAAAGGCATAGCGAGGTGAAGAACCGGGTCTGGCAAATCTCTGGCATGGTAACAACGTGAGCCTTCGAGTGAGAAAGTACTTCCATGACTCATCTCATTTGTGCGTAAATCGAGCAGGACGTCTTGCTCTCTGAGAAGATGCCTTGTAAATGAAGTTTATGCTGAGATGATGGCTTCGAGGATGCTCTGGAAGGTGATTCCTCTCTGTAAGTGGATACGTCGACTGGATCCTGACTTAATGTCATGTGGTCCTCTTCAACGAGACCCCTTTTGTAGATGATGACGACGCTGGGTTCGCGACACCTTGCCCCCTGGGGAAGACCTCGTGCAAGATCTCATTTGCTTTGCTTCGCCTTCCAGTAAGAGGGGGAAAACATGTCTTCACATGCCAAGAAACTAGCGTATCCCCTCAGCGTGCCGTCTTCATCCCCATTCTATTGCTCCCATCGCACGTCGTCCTACATCATTTCTTCGAGAACATAGCATGGATCAAATAGCACAAACAACACAACCATGGTAGCCCGGGGCATTTACGGCTGGTGGGCTTAAGCTACGAAACCCTGCGTCCCGTCGTGTCGAGGCAGACTGTGATGATTTGCTCCGGCTCCGTGTCATAAATTCCTCAAAGACGGAGAAGATTTAAGAGAATCCGGAGGCGGAGGCATACGGAAGCTCTTGCCGGGGGAGGAGCTGCGCTGCTGATCCGGAACCCGGTCACAGTTTGTCTTTTGGATCATTACTACCGATATTTGAATCGTAAACTAAACTGTTGGGCGGAGATGCAAACTCCAAACCCGCGTTCGCCACTTCGAAGATTGGCTCTTAGCTGTTCAATCAGTTTGCTAGCAATCAAAATCACAAATAAGGGAAACAGCCGTGGCATGGACGCCATGTATTTTCTCCTCCCTTCTCATATTCACCACCCCTCAGCATCTAGTCAATAGTACACAGAGAGCCCTAAAACAAAACATACACCATCTACAAATACAACCCCTCCGGCTCACCCTCCTGCTTCGTCCTCAACACCCTCTCCCTCGCAGCCCTGAAATCCGCCATCTGCACACGCATCCTCCGCTCCCTCAGCGCCATGAGACCCGCCTCGGAGCAAATGGCCTTGATGTCAGCGCCAGAAAGGTCATCCTTCTGGCCGATGAACTCCTCGAGGTCGACGTCGTCGTTGAGGCTCATCTTGGAGGTGTGCAGCGCGAAGATCTTGCGCTTGGTGTTCTGGTCGGGGTTCTCGAAGAGGATCTTGCGGTCGATTCGGCCGGGGCGGATCAGGGCCGGGTCGAGGGTTTCGATCTTGTTGGTCGCCATGATGACTTTGACGTCGCCGCGGTCGTCGAAGCCGTCGAGTTGATTGAGGAGCTCGAGCATGGTTCGCTGGACTTCACGCTCGCCTCCTGATGTTGATTCGTAGCGCTTGGTTCCGATGGCATCGATTTCGTCGATGAATACAATCGAGGGGGCGTTTTCCGCAGCAACCTAGAGGGTGGAGAGTTAGATAACAAGATCCGGAAAGCAGGACTAAAAAATTTCAATAACGTGCACATACCTGGAACAGCTGTCGCACAAGTCGAGGACCGTCACCGAGATACTTCTGAATCAGCTCACTTCCTACTATACGCAGGAAGGTAGCCGAAGTCTGGTTGGCGACAGCCTTGGCGAGCAGCGTCTTTCCTGTACCGGGTGCGCCATAGAGGATGACACCCTTGGGAGGCTTGATACCCATCTCCTCGTAAAGCTCGGGATGCAAAAGCGGCAACTCAACCGATTCCCGGACTTCCTGGATCTGCGTCTCCAAACCACCGATATCCGCGTACGACTCCGTGGGCGCCTTATCGAGCTTCATGACGCTGACCAAAGGATCCGCATCATCCGTCAGAACACCAACGATGCTGACACTCTTATGATGAAGCAGTACGCTGGCGCCGGGCTCGAGCAGATCCTTGTCGACGAAGCTCATAATGCTGACGTAGTACTCGGGACCGGTGGTGCTACTAACGATCGCGTGGTCATCGTCAATCATCTCCTCCAGGGTACCGACACCCATCGGGCTTCCTCGCATATCGTCGACGCGGCTGCGCTCGTCGGCCAGCCTGTCGTCGGCGTCGGAGCCTGCTCCTTCCTTGGCGGCCTTGGCCTTGCGGAGGCGCTCTTGGTTCTCGACGTACTCCTCTTCGAGAAGGAGGTGGTCGTGAATCCGCTGCATTCTTAATAGTCGGAGCTTGCATCGACTCGTGGGGTATACGGCGGGGAGCTTGGCTGCGGCGCTGGTGCCGCCAGCCTTTCTCTTCTTTCGGCCTACGCGGGTCGTTGGGCGAGGAGGGGGCTCGTACTTCGGCTTCTTCTGTTTTAGAGGGGATGCAGTTAGAATTTTGTATCAAGGGCCGATGGCATAGAGGGTCATTGTTCTAACCTTCTTATCCTTATCATCTTTTCCATCTCCGCCTCCCATTCCAGACTGACTTTGACCCTGTAGCAGATTGTGGTCAGTGGCGATTCAGCTTCATGATCACCTAGAGGACGTACCATTGTGACAGCTCTCTCAGGTAGACAACGGGACGAATATGATTAAAATTGTATAATAGAGGAGAAATTTGAGGTTGGGGTATGTGAGGTTCGGTTTCGAGTTGATGGATCGAAGGCGAAAGGTCGGGAAAGGGAATGGTTTAGCTGAAGATTGATGATGTTTGTCCTGTTTGCCCTGCGACAAGGTCGTCGGTAGCTTGGAAGGTGCCAGGCTGCTAGGTTAACGCGACAGCATGGTTGATCACATAAGCAATGGTCCGTGCATTGCTTGGTTCAAGCCGGTATTGAGTTTGTGCTGTGGCGTATCTCTCACGCCTCAGCGGCTGAGCCACAATCAAAAGAACAATCTTGGGATGCGAATGATGGATCCCGAACACCAACAAGCCCATATTATTATATGTCTACCTCTTGGTACGCCTGCGGTATTACCTCAATCTCGATTGAATGTCGATGGAGAAAGATTAGAGGAAACCCGGTCTAACATCTCTACAATACCGCTAATTAATTAAAATTTTAATGCTCCACGAACGATGTTATAAACTACCAGTTCGCTATCTTTAATTTTGATGCTCGGACATCGTCTGTCGTCTTCTTGATGATGTCTCCGGTGCGCTGCACGAGCAATAGCAAAGGGCAAGGCATGCCCTCCGCTCCGGGGTTTGATCACACGTTGCCGCACTCATCCAACATCTAACGGGTTCCAGTTTACCATTTGTCTTTTCCTTAGCTCTAAGCCGCACGCGGGGTTTTCCTCTTCTCTGCACTAGCGGATGTTGAGAGAATCGGTGCCTGTATAACCGGCCATGGATGTAACCATGACTCTCGTTATCACAGGGTACAGTGGCTAGGTATCATTCGGGTATATCTACCGACAATTCCCTGCGGGGAGGAGGACCATCTCCCAATGTCTTTCACTAGTGTCCGGCACAGGAAGTGCGTCGTGCTCTAGCCAGCGCCTGCCCGAGAGGCCCGATTCCATTGTTCTCGCGACCTTGCCACAAATTTCTCTTGAAAGAGCAGGACTACTAATTGATGACAACCAACCAGGAGAGGTAAATAACTGAGGAGCTCTGCCAACAGCTCAGAAGGTGGTGTGGTGCTGGGTAAGAACTCACAAGACCGAGCAGGGAGCGTCGTGCGTTTGGGAATAAGTGTGTCCCCCAAGTGAGAAGGATACCGAGCACCCGCCAGAACCCAGGCGAGGAGATTGGTGTCGAAAATCGAAGGGCGACGAAAAATTAATATAAATTCTGCGGGCATCATTAATGCACGTCAGTATAACCGTGGGCTCTGGATGGTCCCTTGGCACCACACCCGATGACGACCCGGGGTTGGAGGCTGGGCTAGGCTGCGTATATCATTTAGACAGGACACGGCCGACAAGTGTAGCGTACCAGAATTTCCAGACAACTGCTCACTGAGACAATAGGCCTTGGGACTTGCCGCATCGTGGCAACCCCCTCGTGACTGGCTGGCGGATTCCCGTTCTACGAGTACCACGATCCAGGAAGATCAGTGACCATGCGTCCAAATCCGGAGCGGTTAAAGTGCAACCACCCTCCGCCTCCAGTTACATTCAGCACTTCACCCGCGGCACGAGGGGATGCCGCAAAACATCGGATCCAAGTAAATTTCTCGAAGACAATAAATGAAGTGCCACCCTTTTTCGTCTTGCCTCCCCCCAACACCTTCCTTCCACGCATTTTAGTATATTGACGGGGGCTAGGAAGATGGCTGGCCGACTAGGGAGGCCGGCCGTGGGAAAAAGAGGGCCAAATCGTCTTGCCAGCTCATGCGGGTATAGACGAGCTCTCAACCTTCATATACAAGCGAGTTGGCTGATCTCCCGCTTTAATGGGAAACCTTAGTTTTTATCTCTGCTTGCCCCCCCTTTATTCTTGTTGAATATCTGTGTTGCCCCGAGATGGATGGTCTCCACTAAGCTTATTTTCTCTTTCCTCACCCTGATCGTTGCAAATCGTGGATATTCCCCATGACATTCTGACTGGGCGGTGGCGGTTGTGATCTTCATCTCAGTATGGCCATCATGTCGACATGAACATATCTCCAGCCCCGCCAACAGAACCAGAACCAAGTTGGCAGCGACCCAGACGCCAAGTCACCTTTAGCGAGAGGATAGAGTTTTACGACGAAAATGGTGAGGGTAGTACATCGCGGGCGAAGCATGACGATACGGCCATCGAACTGGGGTTGTTTTCGAAGGACAGACCATCAGCGGCGCGGCTGGAAGAAACTGGGAAGAGAGAGGTATCGCGAAGGACTATCTGCTGCCTCAGTAGAAAGACGTTTTTCGTACTGGTCATCATCGCCGTGTTTCTCTTTGGCGGTCTTCTTGGAGGTGTGGCCGCCACGCAGATCAACAAAACTAAGTCGGATACCCGGTATGTAGACCTATCGAAGCTGGTTGACACTTGCAGCTATATAGAAGTCCGACTGACAAAGTGAGATGATAGCGTAACTTCGAAATCCTCAGCCACATACACCGGCGGTGGATTCCCGACCATGACACACTCGAGGCCGATACCGATACCGACTGGGTCGTTATGAAATTGCCCTGGTTCACTTTAACGACACATGGCTAAAAGGCCACGCGATATGGAGTAACCTCCTTACCATGAGCCAGCCCGGCCGTTTATACTACCACTAACATTGTACGACATTGTTCCCGTGCCCTGCGCCGAGGCGGAAGCAGGCGCAGCTTTTTCGACATAGCGATCTGTTGGACGTGAGCATAGCAACCAGGACCGGCGTTTGGATTTTGGTGTTCTTCATCGGTTTTTTTGGCCTTTTTTCCTTCTCTCTTTTTTGATTGGCAATAGATGAGGCTCGGCAGAAGAAGCTGACAATGAGAAAAAGGAATCAAGGGGATTGGGCGTTTGAGGCAATCCGGCGCTGATTGGCATGAGAGCGTTCCGTTGAGAGTCGGAAATACGGATTTACTTTCGTTTCTTTAGATGCTGCCATATACCCACCATCGTTATGCTAGAGTTAGCAGTTCCATTAGGCAATATTCGAGAAAATGCATTCAAGATTGCGTTATTGGTGTCCACAAAGGTATCCTGATATGTTGGGCTGGTCGTCGCTATCCTAGGAACCGAAAGATGATTCGTCAAGGGTCTTAAGGTCTTGCACGTCTAAGGAGTCGGGCTGGAGGGACTGGATGGAGATGTGGATAGACATATCGGATTCGAAGCGCGACGGTAGGCCAACAGGGTGGTGGCTTTTCCCGCTAGAAGAGTGGAGAATTGAGGATGAAGGAGGATGCAAATTCGTGGACGACTTCAAGTACACTTGGGCGATCTGATGAGAGGAAGCTAAGAAGCGGACTTCAAGAGGTGGATGCACAACAAAGGAAATAAATGTACTGGATACATAGATGGACACTCTTTTGTTCCATTTTTACCTTAATAATCGTTGTACCGAGTACACTAAATCACTATCTTAATCATCGATGGCGGGGTACTGAGGCACTGAGGCGCTGAGGCTTGGGCAGCCCAAGAACACACACTAACACCCCCACCTCTGCATTGCATTTGACGCTCTCTCTGCCTGCACCCTCTGCCCAGACAAGGCAAGCCAACCCAGCGCCTTCCCTTCCCCTCCACATTCCTGCGTCATAAGCTTGCATCTGCCTCAAACAGCCTCCAAAGCCTGCTCAGCAGTCTGCCAACATCAGATACTCTTTGGGCTCTGATCTCGACTCAACCATCACCTCGTCCAACTCTTCTCCAAACACCCGCACCCCTTCTTTCGCCCCACCTAAACGACATCCCACTGTCTCATATTCTTAGAAATTCCCTAAATTACTATCCCCGCGCCTATCCTATCTCCGATTCTCAACACCCTCCCTCATTCAAACGACCACGGCCACTCATCGCATCACCTTATCAACTACCACCCAACCCCCGACCGCCGATACGTAAACCCTTTTGTCCCAAACTCACCCGCTTCCGCCATGGCGACCAGCCGAGAACGACGCATTGCGAAAGAGCTCTCCGACATTCGAGCCGACAGGGACAAGTCAGGCGTGTTCGCCGAGCCCATCGACGCCGCCGATCTCACGAGGCTCAAGGGCACATTCCCCGCGCCGCCCGATACCGTGTACGCCGGAGGGACGTACCAGGTTGATATCCAGATTCCCGACTCGTACCCGTTCAAGCCCCCCATCATCCGGTTTGATACCAAGATCTTCCATCCCAATATCAGCAGCCAGACGGTATGTAGGAATCTTGGGAGGCTCTTCTCGGTAGAGCTTTGCAGGATTTGCAGGAACTGTACCCAGCCTTGCCTTGTTTCCTAACTAACACCATCTCGATCCTGATTTAGGGTGCCATCTGCCTCGACATTCTCGGAACAGGCTGGTCTCCCGTGCAGACGATCAAGTCCGCTCTCATCTCCCTCCGCATGCTTCTCGAGTTCCCGAACCCCAAGGATCCCCAAGATGCCGAGGTAGCCAAGATGTCTCTCGAATACCCCGAGCAGTTTGCCCGGACGGCTCACGAATGGGCCGTTAAGTACGCCGGCGCTCCACGTAAAGAGATAGACTACTCAAAGTTTAAGAAGGACGAAAGCAAGCCTAAGCAGCCTGCTGTTGAGTATGTGTCTTTTTATCCTCCCCCAACCGCCTTCTGCATGTATGCGGATAGCGCAAACGGAACCTAGCCTGATCTAGTTATGGGACCAGAGCCTTGTTACTAACCCATACTTTGATTCACAGTTACAAGGGGTATAACAAGGACCTCGTGGACCGTTTCGTCAATATGGGGTTCCCCGTTAACGACGTCGTCGATGCTTTCGTCTACGTGGGTATTGACCGCAATGGCGGTGAAGACTACGAGCTAGAGGAGGCATACATGGGCGATATTACCGCCCGTCTTCTCGGAGAGAGCTGAGAGTTCTTGAGAGGACTACTAATTTCATTTCACCGGGCGCAAAAACGGGATACCCTCAACTACAAGATATAAATGATTTTAACGACGGAACTGGATTACATGGGGACCTGTAACTTCGGCGACCACAACAGGACATGACGGAGGGGAAATAGGGGGACGATGGACGGTTGCCGAAGGTTGTGGCTCCCTACTCCAGTCAAAAGCACCCCTCTCCTCTCCTGTTGGTCCGCATTTCCTGGAGTTTCATTTGCTATTTATCCCTCACTGCCTATTCAGCCTCACTGGAGCTATGACTTCACTCTAAGAAGTGTGTTGGCATGCTTTACCTGTTGTCGATGATATGCTAGGAGGGCATTTTGCATAGTCGGAGTCATGGTGTTTTCATTTTCCTTCTTCGCTTTCCCAGGGCGTACCTGTTCTCGTCCTGTTGGTCTTTTCATGTATTATGTCTTCCCCTCTTCCTTTTCTTTTTGTCCCTATGCATCTGGAGATGTGTTACCACGTGAGTTGTACATCGACCTTGAGAGCGAGCATGGGACCAAGAAACATGAAGACTAGGCTTAAATAAAACTGGAAACCGCTTCTACCCTTTCCCCCTTTTTTTCTTTCAAACCTAGGACTTGGGAGATATCAGACTCAAGTGGCGAATGTGGAACAAAAGGGCATGCGGCATATCTCCAAAAAATATATAATACTGCCTACCACTCCCAACCTAGTCTATGAGTGTACCAGATGTTAATAAATTTCCACATGTAATAAACAGAAGGAAAATAAGACCGCGAAGCCTCGGGAGAGGCGCAGACCGTTGAACGTTGAGCGCACGCACGAGCCTGCCTCATAGCCTCGCCAACCTACTCCATCCTCTTCAGAATACGACCTCACGTCTATTATTCAACCCTATCCCACACCCTTCACACCTCTTTTCAGATCCGTATAACACTCGTTTTACATGGGGGACGCGGGAGGAAGGACAAAAAAAGAAAAAGAAAAAGCTCCCCAGCTCCTCTCCCCCTCCTTTAGAGGCTCTCTCCTTTAGAGGAGATCACGGCGAACAAACTCGTCATACATAGCCTTACCAAGACCAGCAGGCGAGCGCTCCACAACAACACCAGCATTCTCAAGAGCCTTAATCTTCGAATCAGCACCGCCCTTTCCACCCGAAACGATAGCACCGGCGTGACCCATACGACGACCAGGAGGCGCCGAAATACCAGCGATAAAGCTAACAACGGGCTTTCCGCCATTAGTCGTGTTATAAGTCTTGAGGAACTCAGCGGCATCCTCCTCGGCAGAGCCACCAATCTCTCCAATCATGATGATGCCGTCGGTCTCCTCGTCCTTGAGGAAGACGTGGAGACAGTCGATGAAGTTGGTTCCGGAGAAGGGATCGCCGCCGATGCCGACGACGAGGGATTGGCCGAGGCCGGCTTGGGTGGTCTGGTTGACGGCTTCGTATGTGAGGGTTCCGGAGCGGGAGACGATGCCTATGCGGCCGCGCTTGTGGATGTTGCCGGGCATGATGCCGATCTTGCATTGGCCGGGGGCGATTATACCGGGGCAGTTGGGGCCGACGAGACGGGTCTTGGATTGGGATTTTAGGATGGAGGTGATGCGGACCATGTCTAGGGAGTGGTGGAGTAGGTTAGCGCGGTTTGCGTCGGCCGGGGCGGACGAAGGCAGTGAATTAGCTTACCATGCTGGGGGATACCCTCGGTAATGGCGACGACGAGAGGAATCTCGGCTTCAATGGCCTCCTCGATAGAAGCGGCGGCAAGAGGAGGACTGATGAGACAGGGAAAAGGTTCGCCTTGTGTTAGATATTCACATGCTTGTGGCCGAGGCTGGAGGGGAGAAGAGAAGATGGCACGAACGGGACGAAGATACAGGAGGCGGTCGCGCCGGTCTCCTTGACAGCGTCGGAAACGGTACCGAAGACGGGGAGACCGAGATGCGTCTCTCCGGCCTTCCTGGGATTTGTTCCACCGACTACCTGGGTTCCTATTTATCGGGTCGCGTCGTTAGCTTTCCGAAACATAGCTTCCTCGGTCTTATCGGCCGCGAAGGAGAGAGAGGCAGTTCGGGATGGGGATTCGTACCATAATCAATAGCTTGTTGCGCGTGGAAGCTAGATAGATGCCACAAGTCAGCGCATTCCGGAAATTCCGATGTATGTTTTCTCATCGGGAGCTAGTTCGGATCCAGCGCCAAGCTCCTCCAAGGGCGTAGAAGCACCCTTCCGAGGAGCTATCGCGAAATCCGGTCTGTTCAGGGGGCCGAGCAAGAAAACAAAAATTGGTCGACGACTTACGTTCCCTGCTTTCCGGTGAAGCCCTGATAAAGGACCTTGGTATTGGAATTGATGCGGAGGTTGTCGACCGTCGCGGCGTAGGGGCTCTGGGTGGTGTATCTCCTGGCCTGGCCGAGGAGGGCCCTTCCGGCAGGGCGAGCTCTAGAGAAGACCTGCATGGTTGCTGGGAAAATTTATGACGGGGTGCAGTAGAGATGATGACGACAGAGAGTAACAACCAAACAAAAATAAATGCAGGAAACCCTCGACACAAAAAGGAGCGGAACGAGGATAAACACGAGCAACCGAGGGACGAGGGACGGAAGTTCAAAAACAGCGCGACTCGACGGGAATGTGAAAGGGGGAAAGAGTGGAGTTTGGAGAGATGTCGTTGCGATTTAGCAAACTTTCTATTTTTTTCCGCGGGGGGAGGTAGATTTCCAGGGAGGAACAAGACAGGAAGCTGCGAGTTTGGCCTTTTGCTCGGTACAATTGCAGCAAATGTCAAATCAAGTCTCGTTCCCATTTGCTTATCCCGAAGGCGGGTTTACCGCTTACCGTTTCCCACAGCCGGCGAAATCCGGCAGATTTGTTAGTGTTGAGGCTAGCATTTCCGCTGCATGTGGTGGGTAGCCACCTGGTACCCGAAGATCCTCCGATAAGGAACCTGGGAGAGTGCTTTGAGAGGCTGCGACTGGAGGATCGAGAGTGGGTGCCGGTATCAATTGCCTGTAACGGGGCGAGGAGGGAAGCTCGGCTCTTCAATTGGTGTCTCAGCTCCGTGCTCCGGGTGGATAGTGCTATTGGTGAATATCATCTGATTGGTCAGCAAGAGCACCAGGAATTGAGCAGCACCTCAACCGAAACCTGCTGCAGCTGTATCAGCCGTGCATCCCCAGACAGATACGACAGGGAGCTCTCAGAATGTTCTGAAATTCCCCTCAGCTTGGTGAAGCTTCAAAGAAAGTGTCTTGTATCCTTCGTTGGAGGGATCGGACCGAGTAGAGATATGCAATTGACTGCGTCATTATTCACTAAAAGGCCTGAGTTGTGTTGGCGGTTCGACGCAGCTGCTGGCAATTGTATCCTTGAATTGTGCGTCACAAGAATTGTGGTGTAGCTTCTGGACTTCTTTTTTTTTCATGCCCCACCACAGAGCATCTTCAGATTTAGTGTACGAAGTTCGAGTCAACCCACATTGCGATCGCATCTCCAACCTCAACTCAGTAAACTGGATTCCCAGAAGAAGCCGTTCCCTGGGACAGACCTTCCTCCAACCATGGCGACTTCCACCGTAACGGCGACCAAGTCAGGTCGCAAAAAGGACGCCAACCTCCCCCCAGAAAGCGAGCGCTTCCTGCGATGCTGCGCTGACATCGCCAATGCCCTGATCGAGGACCATGAGGCGTCCAAGGACTCAAGCCGTCCTGCGAAGGACATAAACCTCAACAGCTTGCGGACGAGGTTCGCAAGGAAGCACAAGCTCCATAATATACCACCCCTCACGGCTATTATAGCTGCCATTCCCGAACATTACAAGAAGTACATTCTACCGAAGCTGATCGCGAAGCCTATCCGTACGTTATTCGCCAAAATATGAATAAATAGAATTGCTGGTGTAACAAGAGGACGAGCAGGCTGCTGCTACTTCTACTGCTACTGCTTCTGTTAGAGTTCATTGGATCGCAAGCTGACTTCCGCACTTTAGGAACCTCGTCGGGTATCGCAGTCGTGGCCGTCATGTGCAAACCCCACCGATGCCCGCACATCGCCTACACAGGAAACATTTGCGTCTACTGCCCCGGCGGCCCCGACTCCGACTTCGAGTACAGCACGCAATCCTACACCGGATACGAGCCGACATCGATGCGAGCGATCCGGGCGCGGTACGATCCTTTCGAGCAGGCTCGAGGTCGCGTCGACCAGCTCAAGTCGCTAGGCCACTCCGTCGACAAGGTCGAGTACATCATCATGGGTGGCACATTCATGTCCCTGCCCGAGTCCTACAGGGAAGATTTCATCGCGCAACTACACAATGCTCTAAGCGGATATCAGACGTCGAGCGTCGACGAGGCCGTGACGGCGGGAGAGATGAGCAACATCAAGTGCGTGGGCATCACCATTGAGACGCGCCCTGATTACTGCTTGCAACCTCACCTGTCGAGCATGTTGCGGTACGGATGCACGAGGTTGGAGGTCGGTGTCCAGTCGCTGTACGAGGATGTGGCGAGAGACACGAACCGCGGGCACACCGTCGCGGCTGTCGCGGAGACGTTCTGCCTATCGAAGGATGCCGGGTTCAAGGTGGTCAGTCACATGATGCCCGACCTACCAAACGTCGGCATGGAGCGGGACCTGGACCAGTTTAGGGAGTACTTTGAGAATCCCGCCTTCAGGACCGACGGCCTCAAGATTTACCCGACCCTCGTCATCCGAGGCACGGGTCTCTACGAGCTCTGGCGCACGGGGAGGTACCAAAATTACACGCCCAACGGGCTAATCGACCTCGTGGCTCGGATCTTAGCACTAGTCCCGCCGTGGACCCGAATCTACCGCGTCCAACGTGACATCCCCATGCCGCTAGTCACCTCGGGCGTCGAGAACGGCAACCTACGAGAACTGGCCCTCGCCCGAATGAAAGACTTCGGAACAACCTGCCGCGACGTACGAACCCGCGAAGTAGGCATCAACGAAGTAAAGCACAAGATCCGCCCGAACCAAATCGAGCTCGTGCGCCGCGACTACGTCGCCAACGGCGGCTGGGAGACCTTCCTCTCCTACGAGGACCCCAAGCAAGATATCCTCGTGGCACTGCTACGGCTGAGGAAGTGTTCTGAAAAGTACACGTACCGCGAGGAGCTCATCGGGCAGCCCACGAGTCTCGTGCGGGAGCTTCACGTGTACGGGACAGCGGTGCCGGTGCACGCGAGGGATCCGAGGAAGTTTCAGCATCAGGGGTTCGGGACGCTGTTGATGGAGGAGGCCGAGAGGATTGCGAGGGAGGAGCATGGGAGCGAGAAGATTAGTGTTATTTCGGGGGTGGGTGTGAGGAGCTATTATGCTAGGCTGGGGTATTGGCTTGATGGGCCATATATGAGTAAGTGGCTTGATGGAAGGAGTAGGTAGGCAGGGGCGAAAGACAGAGGTGAAAGGCAGGGGAGAGAAAGACAGGAGATGAAGTCATCGGCGAAACTGACGAGGTCAACTGGGCCATGTCAAGACTCCTGATCATCGACACCTTGAGGGCTGCCTCTCTTTGATGCGACATGGAAAGAGAAAAAGGAAAAGGAAACGTTACTCTAGCTTTTGCAAATGGCCCTTGCTGGTCTGTCATTGTCGCTCACTGGCTTGCTTTCATGCAGTTTGTCCATGTCCCCTGCCTTGGAAAGTTAATTTATTTTTCCCGCCTTTATGCATCTCTGATTCCAGAGACACAGCCAAACGTATGGTCTTCTGGAGGGAATCAGATACTCATCCTATCACATGTACTTCATTCTGAGATGGCAGACAGGATGGATTTTCATCAGCATGTGGATTACGGTCTTCATCCTCACTCACCGACTCCGATAACTAGGGAAGGGAGGTGCTCAAAAAAAAAAATGAATTCGATCAGACCAGTGAGCAGCACAGTAAGTGTGTAGGTATACATCAATCTTTGGACCCCAATACTTCCACTGATTCCAAGCTTCTACTAGACTCCACCCATGGATGAGTTTGTGTGTCCCACTCAGACCAGACCCAGACTGCATTCACTATTCATCATCCACACATTGATAAGTTTGCTAGCCCCAGCGCAGAGAAAAACACATAGAACCAAAGTCCACCAGGCCAAGCAGATTGCTTCAACAGAGTGACTATTGGGATGGTGGGTGTGGTGTTAGGTTGGGAGGTGTCGCCTTATGCATCCATTGACGAATCCTTCCACGAGCGTCTGTACAGTTCAGGAACATACAACTCGAAGGAAGAATGCCGAGGAAGGTTGTCGCCCAAGACACGCCCCATCCCGCGTCCCCTGCAGCAGTTTATTTCACTGATCAGAAATTGGCCGAGACCGGCAGGTCAGTGTCACGTTTCCGAGCGAGGGGCTCTCGCTGCTACTGTCGGGTGATGACTGAGTCCTCTGCTTCGAGGTCGGCGAGCCTTCAGCAGAATCGTCATCGGCAGAACGCTTTCGTTTCTCGTTAGGCATGTCGTCCTGCCACCCGGGGATGACCACGGCCCAGAGACGATCCTTCAAAGTATCGTGCGGCTTGAGGGGAATCTTGACGTGTTCGACCTCGAAAGAGCAGTTTTTCTTCGGCTTTCGTCCCGGGAACTTGAATCTGTCGAGGAAGTCGGCGTTCGTGCGCGCAGAATAGAAATGGATGTAATCTTCGTCCATGAAATCGGTCATGAGCAGGCGTGGCTGTACGCATTTAGTTAGTCTCGATGCGGTGCTGGAACAACCTCTCCCTCACCACCCCAACCAAGAGAGGGAGAAAAAAAAAGGAAGAAAAAGAAAGGGAGGAAGGGAAAAACAAACCTCAAAGAGAAGATTTGAAGGAGGGTGTTCTGAATTATTGTACCATGCCCACTGATCCGGGTAATACTCATACTCAGATTCCTGCAGCTGCGCTAGAGCAATGAGGAGTGCGACAATGAATGGATCATTTGCAATCTCTTTAGGCTGTAGGAGACGTAACTTCGTCTCCTGTAGGCGCTCCACTGGTGGGTTGTCATATCCCTTCGAGTCTATCCGCTCCCAGAGAAAAAAGTACTCGCGCAGCTTCCTCATTGTCGTCCATTCGGCGAAGGCCAAGTAGGGGATGGATTCCGTGCATCTGCCAAGTGAACACTTGGCTCGAGCGTAAGGGCGAATGTCGGAGCAGGGAGAAGATGTCGGACACCAGAAAGTGAATATGCGTTTTCTTGCGAAGTAGAAGCAGACTGGTTCATAGTTGCTACGCAGGACAGTACTAGTTAGCAGGCGGCGATCGAGGATTAGCAAACATTGATATCTTACGCATAGCACTGGAGGGGACCGGATTCGTCATCCTTGAGCAGCTCGAAGATGGGGGTTGGCTTCCAGGTATTGTCTGGTGTGGCAACAAAATAGGCGGCACTACGACAACCCTCTTCAACTCGATCGGCATCTGCAGTTGTTCGAATTCGCGGAAAAGTTGGAGGATGAGGCTTAGTCAATGCTAAGGGCTCCTGTTCCCCTGCGACTCCAAGGTCCTTAACAGGGCAACCTAGGATGACAAGGTGACGATCAGTCCATTGAAATGGATGGACATAGAGATGCTCGTGAGGGTAGCATTTGACAAGGTCAATGATTGAAGACAGGCTGGTATCTTTGAGATCACACTCCTCCATGGCTGCTGTCTTTAAGAAAGAATTTTAAAGGTAGTTTATCTATGTGAGGTGTGCGATGTGCGATGACTGTTGTTAAAGAAGGGAAGATGTGAGAGGGTGAGCTCCTTTATATAAAATAACTGATCACACACGAGAAGGAATTTTAATGTGCCCCTGATTCAGCCTCTGATTCATCTTTTGAGTGAAGGTTGCACTTGCCTCAGTGATGGTAGAGATCTGGAGGAACAATGTGTTTAGAGAAACGTTGTGGGGTCCGGCCAATCGCGTCCGTGTCCGCGCCGGGCCCCGCTCCGAGTCCGTGACTTGGATTCGGCTCCGTCCGCGGTTTCATGGACCCACAATAACCGTGGCTGGCCCGAGCTGCCATAATTTGGAACACCCTCTGGGCGAAAACCGATGACACCCGAAAATGCGTTGATGATTCATGTTCTCAGATTCATTGGCTCGATAATAGATCTGCCCGAGGCAAGTTGCACGTGTCTCTATAAGTTTGCCTGTGGCCTTGTAGCCCTGTGGCCTTGCATGAAGAGAATGGGTACTGTATGGTATTCGCGGCTGGACAGACACACCCAAGCTTCGGATATCTCCTCCGTTCAAATTCCATGCCTTTCCACTACTGAAACTAGGTGTGAAGATGCAACCTGTCCAATGTCCAAACCCCAGGAATCCCTGACAATCAAGCCGAATGTAAGCATCTCCTCTGGTCTGTTCAAATGTCAAGCATCTCCTTTCCTCAGTCCGGGCGCAAACACTTCCTCCTCTCACCCCTCAAGCATCCCATTGGGACAAACCTCAAACGCCTACTCTGCCCAAACCTCAGCGATATCCTCTACTCCCACCACATGCAAACATTTCCTCTTCTCAAATCTCAAGCATCTCCCTTCCCATATACATAATGATGCCCACCATCGCCTTTCTCAACATGTCCAGACTCTTTCTCAACTCCGTAATCTCCTCCTTCACTCTTCATTCTCCTTCATTCTTCATTCATTCTTCGTTCATTCTTTATTACTTCATCTTTCCACATTCAAGATGCCTGCCATGGCGTATTCCGAACTGATTCGAAGTGCAAATGAGCTTCCCCGACATCCCTTTGGCTGCCGCCAGCAATTGGAATCGAAAGCATCTTTTTGCATACAATGTCATCCACGGGAAGGACCATGTTCAAGTCCTCCCCATGTTCGCGGACGCAGCCAGCCTCAACTTGAATACCAACAGTCTGCCAGTGAAAATAAAAGCCTTCATAGACGGCCCGGGCGAGCACAGCCAGGAGAGAGCCGAGCATCGGCTGGTCAGAAGCCATGGCGAGACCCTGGGACAAACGTGGGCTGCATTAGCCGTCTTCAGCAACACCAATAGTCGCGGTGGAGGAAAGCGTAAACCGGTTCCCATCCCTCGGCCGAACTTCGCAGACTCCAGTACGATAGGAGACGACTCAAGTCCTGTCAAGCAAAAGGATGAAAGCCCCAGCCCCTTCAAGTTCCCGAAGTCTGCCGGAGACCGTGTCGACCAAGATGCTCATCCGAAGGATAACTCCCCGCCTGAAACTAGGACGCTGCGCCTGGTGAGCTGTGCTTTCAGGCACATACTGTATTACTGTCCGCCCCAAGCGGGCAATAATCCCATTTGTGTTGTCGGGTTCCGGGATGTCAGAAATCTGTACAAAGCCCTCTTGAGTAAGGATATGGAATTCGTTGCTGAAGACGATGGAGGATTATCCGTCAACTTCGGTGATGGATTGCGCATAATTAGGGTGTCCCCAGTTATTATAGAAGCGAAGAAGCGTTTTGAGTGCATAGAGGATGGGATCCCCATAATTTCAGACGCATGCTTCGCTCAGGTGGCTGCTGAAGCCCTTGCAAAGCGTCTAAGCCAGGATAGTAAGGAAACGAGGTAACGTCTTTTCCAATCCGTTGACTTTCCAGTTTCGAGCCCTTGGTCTTAGCTAACTAGTTATATTCCTTTTCTTGTAGTGTGGTTATCATTAACTGTGTCCAGAGCCATATCCGTTTTCTTCAGTTCCAAATTAGTGAAGATTACGTGCATGACTTAAAAGCTCGTCGCCGCCTATCGACGTGCATTTCCGTTCGACGAAATTTTACGACCTTCGAAATAGAGGGGGAAGGCAAGATGTCATCCAGAACCTTCACGTCATCATGAAGTGGGCGCATAGGAAAGTCGAGAATATTAGAGGAGGGTAACACTTGTTATCTTTCTCCATAGATTTCCATTCTCGAAGAAGTTGGACTTGCTTGATGGTCGACCCGGAGCACTTACGAGGAGGCCGAACAAGACAAGTAATTCGGAAAGAACTGCTAGTTTTTGAGTTTCTCTTCTCCTACGCCTCGCAAGCCATGCGCTTCAGATTCCCCGCGGCTCAAAAGGCATGAGAGTAGCCGATGTCGCGAAACGACGATCCTTCGATCCCTCTCGCCAACCCAAGATATCACATCCCTGTCGCGGCCAAGATAAAAGGATATTTCAGCGTGCCGTGGGGGGAAATGACCCAGGCTGTCGGTTTAATGTTCGCTGACTATTTGTGTTTGTGGTGATACTGGGATGGGGATGGGGATGGGGATGAGACGTATGATGGATCGGCTGAGATGTGTCGGTAAGGAAGGGGGGGCATGAGAATGCGAGGGAGGATCGACGGGGAATATTATCTCCATGGCCACCTTTTCCTCTTTATTTCTCTCCTTCTCTACCCTCCCGCACCTCACCCCTAACAGCTCTTCTTACAATCGTTGAGGGAAGTTATATCGCGAAACTGCCTAGTTCAACTTACACGCGGTTCACGATTTCACGAGCCGACGACGTCTACAAAACCAACTGAAGGACGAAAAGTATGGCTAGCATATTAGACCGGCCACTACCGGAAATAACACCATTATCACCAATACGACTTCGTCACGATCCAGCAGCAGGGTCTCTGCCGGAAGCCCTACGAGAATCCAGCAGCACGAGACCAAGCTCGGTCTACAGCAGCGCCGAGGTTTCATCAACGGGCGACAAGACCGTGCTAGTCGGAAAAGGAAAAGATGGCCAGGTCGAAGACATCTTCAAGCCATTTCCTCCCCAGGATGGTATCCCACACGAAGAAAACCCCCTCACGATAAGGGCCGTCACAGTTGGGATTCTCTTAGGCTCCCTCGTCAACGCCTCCAATGTCTATCTAGGTAAGAACAGACCAGGGACAGACCCCTTCCTTACTTTCCTTTTCAATTTCCCTCGCGCTCTCTCTACGCTTCATGCCCACTAACACATCCCCCCGGAGAAAAATAGGCCTCAAAACAGGCTTCACCTTCGGCGCCTCCCTCTTCGGCGCAATCTTCGGCTTCGGCATAATCAAATCCCTCACCAAAGTCTTCCCCACAGGCGCCGTCTTCGGGCCCCAAGAAAACTCCATAATCCAAGCCTCGGCCGCCGGCGCCGGTGGCATGACGGGCTTATTCGTCGCCGCACTGCCCGCCATGTATCAGCTGGATCTGCTATCGAAGAGCCCGGTGGATGATTTCGGGAGGATATTGACACTGACGCTTGTGTGTTCATTTTTTGGCTTGTTTTTTGCCGTGCCGCTGAGGAAGTTTTTTGTGATTAGTGTGGCGAGGGAGTTGAGGCTTGTGTTTCCTTCTCGTAAGTAACTTCTATCCTGGACGTGGGTGGAAGTGGGAAATAAAGGGGAGAGAGAGGGGGAGAAGAGATATTTTGGGGGTCTGAAAGATGCAGAGGAAACACAAGCTGACAGAGTATTCTTGGTTCTCTCTAGCAACCGCTACAGCCGTCACGATCCGCTCCATGCACGCCGTAGGAAGCGGCGCAACCGATGCCATGAAGAAAATCAAAGCCCTAGGCATCGCCTTCGCAGCCTCCCTCACCCACCGCATCGGCTCTTACTACGCGCCCGGTATCCTCTACGACTGGCATATCTTCACGTGGTTCTACATCTGGAGCGGGCACACCAACGGGGCCCTCGCCGTCGAAAACTGGGGCTGGATGCTGGAGTGGACGCCGGCCTTTATCGGATCGGGAATGCTCGTGGGTCTCAACGTCGGGATTTCGTTCTTCGCGGGTTCGGTGCTGGCATGGGGCGTCATTGGACCGATCCTTGTTAGGACGGGCGAGTGCGTGGGCATCGCTACGCCGGTGGAAGGGGATCCGCGCTGGGATGACCTTGTGACCTTTTATTCCATGTCGGGAATTGGGGAGGAGGGGTGGGTGCCTTCACCGAGGTATTGGCTTCTTTGGCCGGGGGTGTTGATCCTCGTTGCGTATAGTATGACGGAGTTTCTTGTTCACATCAAGGTTGTGTGGCTTGGGCTCAAGTTTGCGTATAAGAATGGTTGCGCGCAGTTGAATTCCGTTTTGGAGAAAAAGCGTGGGAGGCCTAGTGCTTTTCTGGAAAAGCAGAGCGCAAGGACAGCCGGGGACGATGCAGAGCTCGTCGAAGACTTTGCTGGCCCGGAGGACCAGGTGCCGGGGTGGATCTGGGTAACAGGCAGCGCGGCCATGGTCGTCGTCGCAGCGGTGATTTGCAAAGTCCAGTTTGATATGGGGGTTGAGCTGGCGGTTTTGGCCTGTATTCTGGGCGTCGTGTTTGCTTTTCTGAGCATCCACGGCGGGGCGGTGACGGATATCGCGCCCATTACAGCCTCGAGCAAAGCGTCTCAGCTTGTCTTCGGTGGTGTGACGTCGGGCCAGGGCCTGACGATCGACGGCGCCCAAAGAGCGAACCTGATCGCGGGAGGCATCGCGTCGGGAGCGGCTGATGTGTCGACGACTCTCGTGTCGGATTTTAGGGTGGGGTTCCTTCTGCGTACGCCGCCTGTGAAGCAATTCTATGCCCAGGCAGTTGGTACTCTCGTCGCAATGTTCCTCGCCCCAGGTAAATAGAACCCTCCCCTTCCCTCGCCCCCCCTTCTTTTCCCTTGGAGTTCCTAACCGAGTCGCATAGGCATCTTCGTCCTCTTCATGGCCGCCTACCCCTGCGTAATCCACCCCTCCGACTTCCCCTCCTCCTTCATCTGCCCCTTCTCCGCCCCCTCCGTCGGAGCCTGGCGCGCCGTAGCCGAAGCCGTCACGAACCCCAACGTCCCCATCCCCCTCTCCTCAGCCATCTTCGCCTGCGTTCTCGGCGGCATCTGCGTCCTCCAAGTCCTCCTCAAACACTTCCTCCTGACGGGCCGCAGGGAAAAGTACAGGCGGTGGCTGCCGAACTGGATGTCTATCGGGATCGCGTTCGTGATCCCCTCGACGGTGTACGCGACGGCGACGCTTATGGGGGCTGTTACGTCGCACTTTTGGAGGAAGAGGTGGGAGGGGAACTTTGCTATGTATTGCTTTGCGGTGGCGGCGGGGATGTTGGCGGGGGAAGGGCTTGGGGGGGTTGTGGGTGCGGCGTTGGAGTTGGGGGGTGTTTCGGGGAGTGTGTTGGGGACGATGGTTGGGTGTCCTGGGGAGAGGTGTTGATGGCGAGGGCGGGCTGGGACTGGAGTTACAAAAGGGATAAGGGAGGTGGACTTCGGATGGTATATTTTGGTATAAATCGTATATTAGCCTCGTATTTGCTTCTGCTTCTGCTTCTGCTTCTGCTCCTTCTAGATTTAGTATCACCACTGTGGTATATTATACTATGTATTTTCAACACACACACACACACATACACACATACACACATACACTCACCTCCCTTCTCCGATGCCGAATTCTGCATCCCTCTCATTATACGACGGAGATGCAACACGAACCCTTGCTTTCCACTCCGAATAAGCGAGGCGCAGAATTGACTTTGCCGCCGATCATTTAATCTAAACTCGTATCTCATGACATCATCACACGACCGAGATGTAAGAAAAAGGAACTTGTGCGTCGAGCTGTATTTTTGCTTCTCTCATGTCCAAGGCCGCCCGTCTTCCGTGGGCCCCGTGGCGGCTGGCTTCCTCCATGTCCTGAGTAACATGTTTCCGCGTCTAGCGCAAACACGGCGCTGACGGTGGGAAAGATGCTCAGGAGTAAGCTACATACATGGCGACCATTGGGTGAAGAGGGCATCCTCAAAAGGCGTTGCGGGTCGGTGGATGGGAAGGGAGCAGGATCAGCAAGGGAAAGATCCAAAGAAATGGGGCTGATCAGCGGGAATGTGCATATATGTACTGATCATGATGTCTGTTTGCTGTTGCGTGTTACAGTGTATGGACAGGACAAACGGATGTGACGGATGTGTAAATACATATCTAGACAAGTCTGGACCTGAAGATCTTGCAATATCTTACTTCCTTAAAAAAACCACCCACTTTGCACTTTCGTTCTCCCATCTCCCATCTCCATTCGATCTTATCCACTCTCACCAACTAACTTCAACTTCCAAAATGCACTCTCTCATCCTCTCCGCCCTGTCCCTCCTCCTCCTCATCCCGTCGTCAACATCCACAACTCTCGCCACCTCCCCAGCCTTCCACCTCCTCGCCATCCCCTACAACACCTCCCTCGCCATCTCCCCACTAACAACCCTGCACACCGGCGCCGGCCAAAACCGCATCGCCCTCTCACAACCAACCAACGCCTCCCCGAGCCCAGCGACCATCATCTTCTACCAAAACGCCACCTCATCAAACGACGCCACCATCCTCACCGACGTGCTCCCGCAAGGTTTCCCCCTAACGATCTTCCTCACTCCACCCGGCCAGACCACGACCTCGCCCTCCGAAAAGGGACTCGCGATCGACCTCACCGTGTCGGGATCTACACCCGGCTTGACAATCTCTCTGGAGTCCACGCCGGCGGCTGATGAACAAGTCCCGCTGTTGACGTATCCTGGGGCTACGTTTCTGTCTTGCGGGAACGAGACGGTGGGGTATCTCCCGGGCACGTATACTGTCTTGAACTGGCTGCCGGAGGTTTACATTACTACGAGGGCTGCGGAGGGCGTAGAGGTGGGGGGATGTGAGGTCGTGGATGTCGTTGCCGTTTGCGAAGAGTTGGAGCCCTTGCCGGAGGGGGCGTTGGGGACGCATGAGTTCGTGAGGGAGGTGTGGTGTTTTGATGGCGAGGAGGGCATTGCTGGGATTTTCGGTCGGTAAAATACGTCGGCAACATCTTGACGATGGAAATGGAAGATGGGATGTGAAGGCAGGGTCGTAGAAACAATGGATTTGGTTAGAGAATAGAGGTCGGGATACTTCGTACTTGGGTGGATGCATTACTCGACGGCCGTCCTCTTCACATCAGATATCGATGTCCCTCCCCTATGAGATAATAATAATAATCACAAACTTCATTAAAGAGTCTTGACTGTGACCCTTCTGAACTCCCCGGTCTGAAAGCAGCTTCTGGATCAACGATCCATACTTCCCCGTCCCAGCCAAACTTCAAACTTCAAACACTCGCTTCATGGAGGAGAATAAGGATCCAGACTTTCAATATGAATTACGTCTTTGTGCTTCTACCAACGAGACGGATATCCGAATAAAACACTTTCCCCCGGCCAAACTCCACGAAGCGAAAGCAGATATGCGATGTTAAAAAGTATATGGGGAAAAAAAAGACCAAAAAAAAGACCAAAAAAAAGCGAACGAACGACGATGACTTGAAACCCATCAATGATCAATGTGTGGATATGTACCTTCTCTCTGTGTACGTTACGGAACAATCTCCGGACTTCCTTGTTTACAGAATCCCACTCCAGGCTGGAAAGAGAAGAAAAAGAAAAGTAGGAAAAGAAACATCAATGATAAAAAAAGAACGCTCGGTATTTTCCTTTTCTTCGCAAATTACAACACCATCATGGTCCCAAACACAAACGCAACAGCAACATACAACCCCGCCGCCGCAAACCTCACCGCCGAACTATCATCCTCCTTCTTATTATTCCCCGAATCGCCGTTCGCCGCACTCGCCGCCTGCGAGGCCTCCGTCAGCTTCTGCTCGCACTCGGCGTCCGTCTTGGTCGGCGTGACGAGCGTGGCCTGGCCCGAGAAGTCGCACGCGTCGGCGGCGTTGTTCTGGTTCTTGTAGTAGCGGTCGAGCACGTAGCCGAGCTTCTGCTGCGCGTTGCACATGCTGAAGACGCCGTACTTGCCCGACGTGGCGTTGCCGTTGATGGCGTCGCAGGGTCGGCCCTTGGTGCCGCAGACGAAGTTGAAGATGTCGCCGTAGTTCTTCTCGTCGAGGGTCGGGGACGCCTTGCAGCTGAGGCCGGCGAACATGCAGTCGCACACTTTTTGGTCGGGCGTGATGGGGAGGTTGTCGCCGGAGACTTCCCAGACGTCGGAGACGGGCGGGCAGGTTTGCGGCACGTTGCTGGGCTTGTATTGGTCGCTGTCGATGGTGGTAGGGTCGACCTTGGAGATGCGGTCGGCGAGGGCCTTGAAGTTCTTCATACGGGTGGCAGTGTTTCCATTGAGTTCAACGAGACCTGTGGTGTGATTGATATGTTAGCACGAAGTGACAAAAAGGACACGGAATAGAAGTTGAACGGAAAGGATTTGTGCACAAAAAGAACAAAAAAAGACCCCCTTACCAAAATCGTTGGCTTCCTGGAAGTACATGTAGACGATACCACCAGAGAAAACCGAAGTCATTTCATCCCCATAAAGCGCAGTGGTCTCCTGGAAAATACGCGACTCGGCACCATCCTTGCCAGTATTGCAACCATACTCGGCGAAGAAGACGGGCACCGAGTAATTCTTGAAAAAGTCAATCTGCTTGCTGTACCCAGACTTCTCGAGCGTGCTCTCGCCGCACCATTGGTAGATGTTGTAGCCCCAGAAGTCAATGGCCTGCGACTGGTCATCGCCACAGTTGAAGTAATGCGCAATATCACGGCGCACGTCGGGGTCGTCGTTGGCAGCGTATCCGACGTACAGGTTCACTCCCTTCTCCTTGATGTACGCCTTGGTGTCGCGGACGGCGGCCTTGACGTAAGCGGAAGCAGGCGTGTTCGTCTTGTTTGTCGTGACCTCGTTTCCGGCGAAGAACCCGATGACGTTGTCGTACTTGCTCAACTCGTCAACGACGGACTTGTATCGCCCGAAGAGGTCGAGGTCCCAGAGCGGGGCGTCGGTCTCGATCGAAAGGTTGGGCTCGCCAAGGTCGGAGATGACGTAGATGCCGGCTTCTTCGAGGAGGCGCATGCACACGCTGTGGTCGGCCGACGGGTTGATGGCGTAGGTTCGGATGGTGTTGGTGCCGAGCTCCTTGAGAAGGGGGACGTCTCGTCGGCAGGCGGCTGGGTTCGCGAGAGGGTCGGCGAATTTGGCGTCTTGGACACCGGCGCCGGCGGCTCCGGTGTTTTGCTGGTAGGCGATGCCCTTGATGTAGAATTGCGTTCCGTTTTCGTAGAAGAATTTGGAGCCCTAGACGGAGGAAGGGGGCGAACAATGAGTCTCGGTTTCTTTGAGGGACCAGGGGAAACGTGAATTGGAGCCTTCCTTACCTTGATCACGATTGGCTCAAGGGCCGCTACGGTGGAAGCCAGCAAGGCCGACACGAGTGTCTTGGAGAGCGTCATGGTCGCTCCGGATGATTCGGACTTGTATTTTTTTTTTTTCCTTTTTCAAAACTTCCCCTTTTCCTTTTCCGCGACTAAGGACAGAATGAAGCGTCTTGGTGTCGAATCGGAATCGAAGAATTCGTGGTTCTGGACAATCAGGTCGTTCACAGCAGTCGCGAAAGGGTCACAGGTATTACGGACGATGGACGAGTCGTCGTTGGTGATAATCGGTAGGAGAAGAAAGGGAAGAAAATCGAATTAAATCGCCTCGCAGCCTTGATTGGACCAAGGCAACGCTATTAAAAAAAAGAAAGAATGAAGAAAACGAGCGTAGAGAAGATTTCTGATAACGGGTTCGAAGGAGGGAACGAATGAAGAGAGACAAATTATTCGAGTCTTGACAGACTTCTCAACATCAAGAAAAGGAAGGAGATTTGGTGATGGGTCGAGTAACATTGGACGTTGGTTTTGGGGGGGTCAAACTGCTACGAAATACGAGAATAGGAGACTGCATCGTTCCATTAAAAGTACCAAGGTACCCAGGTACCCACTGCTGCATACTTCGGTGTCCGAGGTACGACGCACAACTGTACCTGGATCTGGTCAGGGGACCTGAATAGGCCCCGTTCCTGGTGCTGTGCCTGGGCAGATCCATTGCCAAGCTACACTAAATCACAAGTGACGGCAGTTTAGGCTCCAAATTAGGGGGACGTCCATGACTAACAGGCACCGTAGGGGCGGGCACCTTCTTCATCCACGAGACATCGGTGAATTAGAGGCATTGAAAGGGCACGCCGTGGGAAAGGGATCTGGATGTGGAGTACGAAGTTAAGCCAATTGAATTTGCCATCAATAATTCGGCCAGCGAGCACTCATGCCACAGTCCCTGGATCTAGCAGTGGCACTTCATCTCGCTGTGCCAGTGCTATCAGGGTCAATCGATGCAAGGAGGGTTGATTCAACGTCGGTCCCTATCAAACTATTCTCATCTTAAGCTTACTTTGTCCTTGTGCAAGGGAAACCGGGTATCTCGGATCTCTTGGCAAAAGGGGAGGCCATTTTGAACAAAAACTTGTTTCTTCGCAGTGGATTTACGTCGCTCGCCTAGCCTCGGAAGATCCTCAATGTTATTCAAGGCGGAGTATGTAAATACACTAGATCAGTGACTTGACAATGAGCGCTGTGCAGTGTGCTCTTTGTTCGTTGTTTGATCGACGAACGGTGATCGCCAAGAATACTTCATAATAATACTTGTAAACTACGTCTCAGTGTTCAGGCACAAGAGGACCGTTATGGCTGTTTACCTAATCGAAGGGGGGGAGGGGGGTAAAGTATGGAGTACACTACTTCGTACTTCGTACACTACTTATAATAGATGGTCCCCTCATAATAGTTTATATCTAGTCTCCAGGCTAAAAGTGTCTGTGGTGACATCAAGCTTTCTCGAAATACCAAAATCACCTGCGCACTGGATAAGATTAAACTCTTGGGTCGCATGGGTGATCCATGCCGCGGTTGACTCTCTCGAAATGAGGCTGTGCAAAATCCATCACTTTCATCACTTCAGTGTGGCAGAAGTGCCTTGTGCGTGTCCAAGGTTCGATGATGTCAAAGTGTACCGGTATACTTTGTATAAAATGTGAGGCCAATTCTGCGCATACGCGAGACTCGCATGTGTCTCAAGTCATTCTCTACTCTCTTTCCACAATAACCTCAGGTGGACGTGTCGAGGGTGCCATTTTCGGCACCCTTGAACACCTTGACAAAGTACATCTATTGGACAGTTTTAGGTACCGGCCATGGTCCACAGTACAGGCTCTGTACTGCTGTGAGGATATCCGCAAACCAGGAAATCGAACACAGGCACGGCAATCCAGGAGACTGCCATTCTCAGGAAGCCACTGAGGAAAATTGGGTGACGTTGAAGACTGATGTAGTTTGGATTTCAGTGGGTCAAGCCACATTTTGGTAGGAATTCAGACACACTTTGTGCCAGCATTCCAACGCGACGACCGTGTCTTGAGATTAAATCAATTGCTGCTCGTTGCTCGCTCATTACCAACGGCATCCTCATCAGAACTCTGAGAGATCTACGCCTAGTCCAAGACGCAGGCAATTTTTGGCTGTGTTTTCCCAGCGAGTCTTTTCTATGAGAGTACACTACTTCGTCGTCTATGTTGGATATTTTCGGAAGGAGCCATGTTCAATTGACTTATTTCTACTCAAATGGCCTGGAAAAACGCTGCCTTTTATGTCCACTGTGTTTGAACAACCCAGTCAAAAACAATCTCATTTTTGACCCTGTTAGAACAGCCCAACGTTACAAACTCATGACGAAACGGGGCCATAACTTTAATGTGACATGGAACTTCCATCCGATGTGGGAAAATACCTGTTTTACTGTGGCGTTTTGGGTTATTTGTGTGACTTTCCGGTCTCAGCTAGGTTGGGGTCTGTTTGACCCATTGTCGTTGTGACCATTGCCCAACGTTTTGCCCCAACAGCCTATCCTTCCCCCCCCCCCCTCCCCCCCTCCGCGATTTGATACATACCCGCTATATCTCTGACGGTGGGACTTACAGGGTCTTCGTGAATAGAATAGCAGGTGTTTATCCATACTGTCATGGAAAGGGATATAACAGAACCAAAACGGTAGCAGTGCCGAAGCATGGCGAAGGTGACGTTTCCTAGTGATAGATCCGCACGGGCATGCCCGAAGCAACCACCATCAGCCCATCCGGTCTCCTTTTCCTTCACCTCTGTATGGTACCGCACCTGCAGACTGCCCTGACTTCGCCTTCGGAATTTCTCCGTGAACCGTCTATAATAGTTCTCTTGCCAGGTTAGGCGACCCTCCCTCTTGAGCTGGATAAGCAAGCGCATCCTCTTCGGTGGTCGACATGTCTCCATGCATCAGGCTCCTTCGCGCTGTCGCTCCGCACCTCTTAGTTTTGCTAACATATTCGGAATTATATGCCCTTCCGCGTCTAGTACATGCGTCCCACGCAAACTGTAGTTGGAAAGCTATTCGGCGTCTTGAGTTACGCGCTTAAGGACCATGTTCTGGAGCGGCCACTCTTTCTGCATTCGCGCCTCCGCCGGACAAGTCACTCTGGACCGCCAAGAAGCAACCAGGCCTCAGAAATTGCGAGAAATCCAGATTCATGATCAGCAGGCTGCAGGTTAGGCCCTGCAGAGGCTTGCTGGCTCAGCCTGCACCACGCCACCGCCTCGGGTTTAATAGATAAACATCATAAAATCATACCCACTGTTCTAGCGACCTTTTTCTCATTCCCATTTCATGACGGAGAAATTGCCCTAATGGAGATCTCTTTTTTGACGCGGATCGATTGATACCGTCGACTTAGTCCACTTTACGCATGAATGGGCAAAATGACCCACCAGGCTCTCAGAGCCTTCCACCATTTACCGGCAAACGATCACGGGACCCGAGTGACTCTGGCGAAGAGGCCCGAAGCATCGATGGCCGGGGCGATCGGGGCGGAGAGAAGAGGGCAAAAACCCCTGGGGCCTTTGGTTTCGGACTGCTGAACGGTACCGTGACTGCTGACGACTTACCAACATTTCCAGGCTCTAAGAGCACATCTACCTTCTCTAGCTCGCCGTTACCTCACGATCAAACTGCCCACGTCAGCATATTTCCAGTTCAAAAACGGGACATCCTAACTGACGGTGCGAATATAGGGTTGGATCAGGGGGTAGGTGGAAATGGCTTTTCAGCCCAGGACTCGATGCTGGGGTTGGGGGCGACCAATATAAAGTCCTTGGGAAATGCGACATCGAACTCCGTACCTGAGATCGCCATGAATGGGGCCAACTGGTTCAACTACGAGGACACATCAAATCAAAGCCCTTTCTGCCTGCATACGACCGATTTCGACGCCGGCATCACTGTTGGCCAGGAAGCTAGTCCGGAGAGCATCGGTCTCCGTGATTCCAACCTTGCGCCATCACTAGCGTTTGATGCCAACAACGTTGAACAGATCGTGCCAGACCCTGAACCGGTAGGCAGGTTTGATAAATATCCGGAGCATCTCGACAAAGACAAGCTCTCCACATCTTCAATTCAGTCGGAAACCCCCGGCCTGTCTGTGGAAAGGGTCTCCGCCGAAGAGGTCGAATACGACACTTGTTTTGGGACGGTGTGTAGCTGCCCTCACAGAATGTATATCACTTGGTACGAAATGCTAACCAAGGTAATGGCTCAAGATTGAGGATCATTTCGTCACAGCAACACCCATCAAGGACGCTAACCAGACAAAGGTAGTCGTCATTACTGGCGGCGGCACTGGCGTCATCAGAGTCGCCGAGACCAATGTATACCGCGGCCTGATCAGTGGAAAACTTTTTGAAGCCTTGAAAGAACTAAAGGAAAGGTGTAGCGTCATGCTCTCAGCAGTAGTGAAGGCTCCAAAAATCCTATCGATCGTTGTTTACGGCCTGAGCAGCAAGTCTGAGACCGTGGGCGACATCCTTCTCGAACATGGTTTCTATCTTCAACTCCCCGACTCCTTTGATCAATCTGTCCCTTACGAGAATCCTCAGTCATTCTCGCTGCCTGGTTTCCTCTCGAATATCCCCGCCGGAATGCCGATAAGAGAGTCCGAGAAATCATCTGTCACAAAGGTGCCGGTTCTTAACACAGTTGAAAAGTCGAAGCTTTCGGCGCTGCTCGATTCGGCAACTGGCCCCGAGAAATTCCGGGAGGTGCAAGCGAGTGAAAAACTCATTACAGAGCTTAATCGTAAGGATTTATTTCTGACCATAAAGCTTTGCGACTAACCACCGTTTAGATATCAAAAGAAGGCACTGGCGATGATGGTTGAGAAGGAGGCGGGAAAGTTGCAAGGAACGGAATTTCCTTCTGTCTGGACTGAAGAGTCAGCCGAGCCTGGAAGCTTGAGGTATGGACTAAAATCTCGTCAGTGGGCTCGGTGCTGACATGGCTGCTTGAAGATTTCGTAACAATATCACGGGTGGCTGCATCTTCCGGCGGCCTGAACTTTGCCTTGGAGGCTTACTGGCAGATGTACGTGATGTTTAACGTATTTAGTTCTTGGTCACTAACGGTCTTACAGGACATGGGTCTTGGGAAGACATTGACGACCTTGACACTCATTGCCGGATCGTTAAGTGAAACAGCCCGGCCAACACGAAGGGGAAAGTCAACCCTCATCGTAACACCCCTTTCCAGTGCGTCGGGGTTTGCCTATTTTCCTTACCCATGATCTTCGAACGCTAACAGAGACAGCACTGCCGAATTGGAAGGACCAAATTTCAAAGTAGGTCTACTGGACCACACAATGTCAGCTTTAACAACTAACCGTCGCGTAGACACTTTAGAGAAGGCGCCCTCACGTTCACCATCTACCACGGACCCAAAAGGGATCAAGCCCGAGACGTTGAGTCATATGATGTGGTCTTAACGACGTATGAAACACTCAAATCTAGCTGTCCTGCTACGATGGTGGGGAAGAGGAGGGCAGCCAAGAACGGAGGGTTTGGCAGGCTTCACTATATCCAATGGCATCGCGTTGTCTTAGATGAAGGTCTTGTTTTGCCCGCCTCCCCGACTCTCTTCCCTTTCAAAAATATACACATTTGTACCTATCGCTTCCCAACGCTTCTCCTTTGTATCAATCTCCATTTTACGCTTTCAATAAAAAGAGTCTCAGGGGCGAAGTTTCGAATATATTTCTAACATGGACTGCAGCCCACATCATTCGAAATCGATCATCTCAAAGTTTTCAGGCCGTTGATAGTTTGATTGCAAGACACCGGTGGTGTTTAACCGGCACCCCGATCCAAAACTCTGTGGAAGACTTTGGATCTCTCGTCGCATTCCTTCGGGTAGCGCCATTCCATGACGCCTTCAACTTTCGACGCCATTTCATGCAGGACCAAGCAACGGGGCAGAACCGGAGATGGGATCTCCTACGATCTTTGGTCCAGGCAGTGTCTCTCCGTCGAACCAAAGCGTCCGTAGGCGAAGAGCTAAATCTCCCAGGTCGCGAAGAACATATCGAATATGTTTCCCTTGACAGCGAAGAGCGACGCTTCTACAACCTGATGAAGAGGTGCTTTGCGACAGCTGTTACCTCAGCGCAACCCTCTATAAGTTGCTTCCAGCTCATCTTGCGACTTCGACAAATTTGTAATCACGGCGTCGCGCTGCTTCCCGAGGCTGAGCGGATTTGGTTGCAGAATGCCTCCATCTACTCGGATTTTATACCCCTTTCGACCGTCTGTGAGAATTGCAGTACGACCCTGCCTGGTTCCGCCTTCGAGGAGGATCCCGCATGCTTCCATCAAATTTGCAAATTTTGTATACAGCAAGCGAAAGAGGACCTAGGTGCAGCCGGGGATGAGACACCCTGCCCGGTATGCGGGGCCGCTCTGCTTAGCACCACCAACGCCCGAGCCGATGAGCCCCTCCCAACCATAACGCCAAAACACGAGGTATTAATGGAGAACTACTCCCCATCATCCAAAGTAAAAGCCCTCATCCGGAACCTCATTGCAGATAAAAGTGCTGCGCAAGGACTACGTGAAGATCCACCGAAGAGGTAAGCTGTCCAAGAGACAATCTCTTCGACTACGCAAGACATAAACCCTAACGTCCTGGTTCACTAGTGTTGTCTTTTCCTCCTGGACTGGAATGCTCGAACTCGTAGAAAAAGCCATGATCTCGACGGGGATTGGATACCAAAGACTAGACGGGTCCAAATCGCTTTCTCAGCGCGACGAAGCTCTCAAAGAGTTTCGCTTAAGCCCGGACTGTGAAGTTTTGCTTACGACTCTAGGCGCTGGCGGCGTTGGGTATGGAGGCGTCCTTGCCTCACCCCAGTTTTCAGTGCAGTGATCATAATGAGCTGACAAAGGCGTTTGTAGGATTGATTTGACCGTTGCGTCACGAGTGCACCTCATGGAGCCCGGATGGAACCCAATGCTCGAAAGGCAAGCCCTTGATCGCATCCATCGGCTTGGCCAGACAAAAAATATCGTTTCTAGATGCTATATGGTCGACGGACGGGATTCAATCGAGACGGTAAGTTGCAGATCCTGAAGTTTGATGTTTGCGGAAGGCTCATCATGACTTGCCAATATATACTGCAGAGACAGAAGGTCAAGCTGGCATTGGTGGCTACCTCGCTTGGAGAAAGAGCAAATCACAAGGATGATGTGAGAAATATAATACAGGCAAGTTGCTCTTCGCTAACACGTCACTCGTAACAAGACAGTAAAGTACTAATTATAAAAGGAATTCGGAAATATTCTAGAGTCCCAATAGTCTGAGTAAGTTGAACCTGCTCTAAAGCATGCCCCAGAGAACAGGGTAGGGTCCCCGATGTTAGGATACCTCAGGTAACATGCCTTAACTTGCTGACCGAAGCTCGTTTGTTTTCCGACAATAATCTAGATTTTCCATTTCCAATGGGGCTAAACAATAGGTAGAGAATCTTATCTGTTCTGTATCAGAGTCTACCATCTTCCACTTTCCATCAGCTGCCGCCGCATGTTACTAAGGCTCGGCGCTATGACATGGAAAGATTCGCCAGCAGCAGCTCGTAAAGCAAACTCTTCCCAGCTTATTCCAAGATGTAGTTCCAGCCATTGAAATGGAATATATTTCCGGATGCCACTCAAGTCTGGATGCTTCGGATCAGCTCCGTATTGAAGCAACATCTCCAGGTGTGCCACAAAATGGCGGCCAGAAACGAGGGTCGCCACTTCCAGCGGGTGTGTCGGGCCTAAACTATAAGGAATTATTCCGTTTGGACCCCCCCCATTGTCCAAGCAAAAGACGACCACTTCCTTGATTCCGTACCGCATAGCATACTCGAGCCCGTCAGTATAAGCGTCTGGCCAACGGATGTACTGTTTCATTGCCTCTAGTCGGGCAACTGTATCTTGTGGTTCAGCGTTACGAAGTGCGGCGTATTTGAATATTAGCCCGCAACTTTCGAAGGTTATGGGGAGAGAGAAATTAGTGTCTTCGACCAGGAACCTCATCAAACGCGGATTCCAAAGACTGAATGCTCGTGCCAGCCCGCCTCGTGACTTATCCCAATATACCCCTAGCTTGTGGGTTATTGGCTTGCCATATCTCTTGGAAGATATCTCGCCGAAAAGCGCCTCGGCAAGCAAGGCCGACATGGAGCTACGATTCGCTACTTCTGCTCCAAGAGATATTAGTGTCCTAATGTTCGTGAGATTCTCAGTCTCGATGGCAACAGCAAGTGCTTGGTTCAGCACATCTTTAAACGCCTGTGCGTTTGACATTGCCGAAGCAACTGCTGAACACAGGAGCCTGACCATTTCTGGGCTGCATTTCCAGGCCGCGAACTGTACCAGTTCATCAGCATTTCCCGGAAGTTTCCCGCTGGAAGGCCACAGTTTGCTCGCCAACTCGATCTGGTTGCTGCAGACGGCATCTAGTAGCATGCCGTCAAGATCGTCCCCAGACAGATTGACAATGTCGATATTTGTTTCCGACTGCGGACTTTCGGCGACCGGAAAAGGAATTTTGTCCACCGAGGCACCAGATCCAATCTCAGGGACTCTGATCAAGCGACCGTGGACTCTCATGTGGTGGAGTCTCATCTCTGCGGTCTTGTACCCATCGCGGAACTTTGGGCAATGATATTGGTTACAGTAATAGATGGACTCGCCGTAAAGACGAACCAAGTTCTCGCAGCGGCACTCTGAGACATGGACGGCGTCTTCGCAAAAGTTGGCTGCCAGTTTGGATCGAAACATCTTTAGACCGGTGAGCAGCGTCGTAGGATCTTGGTTGGGCTGGGAGCCGTCGCCATCTATCGCTGTATTTGGCACATTAGAGCCTGTTGAAATAGGAGGGTAACAAGTCCAACACTTACAACCCTCGCCAAGTAAATCATGCTCCGCTCTCCCCATGAAGTACGCAATTCCGCATAGGCTGGACTGTAGATCTCTATGGTTCCTGAAGACGTTAAAACTGGGCAGAAGCACCTTCGCGGATGCGGTTCTTTGGAATGGTTGCCCACGCTTCTCCAGTAAGCGCTTGAGACAAGCAACCAGCGTACCTAGTGCTGGCGTGTCGATGTTGTTTTCGTGGGCTCCTGGAACAGAGATTTCCTTCACGTGGTGGATCCAGGAAAGCACGGCGTAGTTAAGGAAGACGTAGCCGCCGTCATGAATCTCATGTTGTACCGGGTTGGCATTGCATTCGAAGACCGAGTCGAGCAACGAAAACGACAAATATGTGGCACAAATAGTCGCCGCCTCAACGTGGGCATCTCTGAGAACCAGGAAGTGGTTACTTTGCTCGCCGAGAAGGTATCTATTGAATGCGCTGGCATTAGCACTTCGAACATGGAACGAATGGCTAGGGCGATGGTAGGTACTCCTTAGCAGAGAAGTGAACGAAGTGGATAAAGCCGTCGACAATCTCTATGATTGGTCCACACGCTTGAAGTATATCTCGGTGATCCTTTCGGCCCTTGGTGAAGTCCTGCGTGCCCGGCACGATCGCAAGAATCTGCAGAAGCTCCTCTTCCCGGAGCGTACGTTTCTGGCAAGCTACCCACGACAGGACTTTCCGGGCGGCTTCGCGGACATTCGGAACGCGAGAAGACCGGATGCGGCTCAATACGCGACCGTATCTAGAAAGGATCGCCAGTCAGTGGAGATATATATATATAGTGTTACCGCAACAGCTTCCGCGTTTACGTACGCTTCATCCAAATTCTGCGGTAGGCCTGCAAACTCCGCTCGAATATCTTCGACGTTGCCAAGATCCATAGCTATCTGGAAGATAAGACTGGCATAGAGTATCATCCCTAGTCAATGTCAGCTTTGTCGCCTTACTACCCCCGGAACTAGACTTGCACTCACCACCAGCTCTTTCCACAACAATAGCCGAGGCATCCTGCACTTGACTGCAGATCTCCTCGTTTGCCCCAAACTCCCTTAGACGATTGACCAATCTGCCACATTCGAGATCAACATACTTCTTGATGTCGTCCGAATTGTTCTCGTGAACACGCAGCTGAAGTGTTCTTTTGGCCGAAAGTTGCCTCTTCAAGTCACTCTCGACCCGACTGCTAACCAGTAGCCTCACGAGAGGGCACGAGTCGACGACGTGAAAGATGTCCTGGAGAATCTCCTCGCGGCACTTTGTCTCGCCGCGGCGTTTCTCATCCAATTCGTCCAGCCCGTCCAAGAAAATAAACACAGGCTTGTCGTGAAGGACCCTGGACAGAAGATCTCGAATCCATTCGGGGCTACTGGCAAATTTCCTCTCGTTCGCGGAATAGGACCTGAGAATCTCGGGCCGAAGCTATCATCTTCTTTTAGAGCCTGAAACAGGAGAGAATGAAGAGGTTGGATGCGAGGAGGTGATGAATCTTCGTGGGAGAAGAAAATGCACAACACTGTATGCCCTGCATCTTGCAGTCGACGAACGGAGTTTCCTGCAATGTACGTCTTCCCTGAACGAGAAGCATTAGAAAGTTGTAAACCCAGAAAGATTAGGGAAAGGGAACGAAAGTGTTAAAGATAGAAGGAAAAGAAAGGGAAGGGGAAAAAAATTAAAAAAGAAAATATGGAAAAGAGGAAAAGACGTAAGAGGAATGTAATGTAACTAACCGGCTCCCGGAATTCCAGAGAGCCAAAGGCATCGATTCTTGCCCATTCCGTCTCTCCAGATCCGGAACCGAGTGTTCTTCTCCAACCACTGCCCCGAGTCGAAAGAGCTATCCGAAAGGATCTCGTATAACCTCACATCGTAGAGCTTCGGTACGACCTCCTTCTCCATCTCCTTCCAGTACTGGCGATTGCGAGCCATCTCTGCCTCTTCCTCAGCTTTAAGGGCCTGCTTGCGCTCCCTGTGCGATTGCAGGACGTGCTCAAGAGTGACATGGCTCAACAAGACCCTTTCATGATCCTTAATATTGTCCAAGATCACCCCAATCTTGCTGCGAACATTTGGCCAAATCGACTCAAGGAAGGTGTTCCGACCTGGATGCTTCAAGAAGTCGAGTAGCGTGCTATACAAGGCTAGAATCTCCTTGTAGAAAAGGGTCAGTACTGGCTGGATCTGTTCGTCTTCTAGAATCTCCCGGTACTTTTGGAACTGGGGTAGTATCCTGCCAATTTCAGAGAAGACCTCGATCATCTTCTCGAAAAGCGTGATGACTCTGCTCGTAGCCTTTGGGCGGAACATGTGAGAATCGAACTGCGGCAACTACAGTGACAAGACACCTTAAAACATACCTCGAGAATAAACTTGAGTGGACCCTATGAGCAAAAAGAAGGTAAACGTCAGCATTGAACTCTTCTCGTTCTCCTCCGCGTCTACTCACCCATATCAAGCTAAGAATATCCTGCTTCGCCTGAATAAACACCTCCACAACCCCAGCATACTCCTTCAACCCGTTCACAAGAGGCTTCAATCTCCCCAAAGCCCTCAATTTGCCACTCCTCTGCTGCTGAGCCTCCACCTCGGCAATCGCATCGAGAACATGTTGAATCGTCGTAGCCTTCGACAGAGCCTGGGCGGCAGGCAGGCTCCGACGCTTCAGGCTGCCGACAAACTCGGCCCGCGCCGCCTCAAAAGCCTCGTCTAGGTCAGTAGACGCCAGGCGTGCCATTCTCACGTCTGGTGCCGGAATTCACAAGCCGTGTGTGGGGCTTTTGGTCCCTAGACTCTGCTTGCCAAATATTAGATCATCCTACGAAGGCGACAGTTCGGCTAGGCATCGACTGGGGGTTGAAGTCGGAAGAGAGAGGGCGTTGCTGTGACGTTCAGCGGCCTGGCAAGCTCCAGCCTGAGGTGGTATGCTGGGGCAGGTGGATAAAGGTAAGCTATGGGGCAGGCTACGCCAAACGCCTCCAGTACCAGCATGGCGGAGAGTCATGATCAGGGTGGCAACGGAATTCCAAATTGGAATACGCCTTGCAGAGCCAAAAGATCTAGATCCCTGACACGTGTACAATTCTCTGAAGAGCGGCGCTTGCCTCTCGCTGGGCACATCATCAAGATAACGAGTGAGGTCGATCCTTGCTTGTAAACTACATCTATCTTAGTCGGCCTACGGCGGAGACAGGCTTCTTGCCATAGCAAGAGTATTACCAACCACCGTTGAGGAGCCCACTTTCCTCTTTTCGGTTTCACGGAAATGTTGATTCTTCGACGCTTTTGGAACCCTGGAGAGAAGGTACAAAAGAAGGCAGCTGCCTGAGCGGTACCTTAGTGACGTGACTCTTGGCGCCCAGGGAAAACTGCCACTCAAAACAGCGGCCACCGCCTGCGAAATCTTGTGGAAAAAAGATGTTGGATGCCAAAGCGAACCAATCGGGACCTCGTGATGCAAGAGAACTGATTGATTACTGACTCGAAACTATTAGGTATTTTTGTATAGTAAAACAAGTCCTAAAAAGTATCTGAATTACATAATACTTCATAGAGCTTGGGTCTCAGACAACGCAATCCAGGGCATCTGAGGACAGTTATGAGATGCCACGTTTCTTCGACGAAGCAGGATCGCGAATGATGCATTTGTGATCCAACGGCGAGTGATGTAATAATCCCATAACTGACCTCACGCGAAGGAGATTATTGATGAAGGAAGTGTCAGTATCGTCAAGGGCATCTTTGGCGTCTGGGAATTTAGGCCTCGCTGTAGACGCGACCACGCCAGTCGACCGTAACTTTAGGCTTGCCCAATTTTGGATAAATGCAAAGGAGGTATCTCTGTGTGTGCATATTTGGTCGTTGGTCTCGGTAGAATACTGATCAGCAATGGGGATGCATGTGCCTGTTCTCGTTTTATATTAGTGGTTCCCCATCAATACCACTTCTCCCGGTCAAGGTCTGGGGGCAGCTTCTTTTAAATCAAGCTCAATCTCTCAACGATTTTTACCCACCTCAAACGATACAAAGTTGTGTGTGCATGAGATCTTTTCGGAGCCACATGGCGAAAAAGTCCATTGACCTAGCCCAAAATATGGAGGATTCTCCTCACCGAGCACTAGAGCTTGTAGAGCTTGGGTGGCATTATAAGACAATCTTCGCCAGTGAAGCCTCTCAAGGTCAGACCGAAACGGTCCATCCTCCCCATCCCCCAAGTTTCCTATTCTGCACACAGTTATTGGCCCCCGTGGTGGCCTCGACTCTCATCGGCCACCGCCATCAACACGCCTATGACCCCAGCGGGCCCTTGACCGATTTGACAATAACGCCTTTGGACAAGTGGCTGATGCTGCGATCAAGTTCGTCAATGGCGGGTGCAAGGTACGTGGGTACTTCCGTTCCAACATTCAGGAACCGTCAAGCACAGCTGTCCCATGTCACGACTGGTTTGGAGCAGGTGCAATTCCCTCGGTGTCGAAACCCCCATCAACTGCAACCACCATTCGGTTTCTTCCAGGCAACATTGAAATCTCAGAAAAAAGAATACAGATCACTGATGCACGTGATACCGTAAGCACATTCCAGACCCAAATGAAGGAACAAGAAAAGACGCCAGAAGTTTGTGTGAGCGGCGGTCATCTGAATAGGCAATCGTGTGAATTCTCCACATGTTCTATTACACAGCCACGTGCGCCCCATTTTCACCCTTCTTAAGGCCTAATTGGAGGCTGTCACGGCAAGCTGAAGCAGAGACAGCCCTTCTGGCGCAATGGTAGCGCGTTAGACTTCTAATCTAAAGGTTGCGAGTTCGAGCCTCGCGAGGGGTTCTGCAGAATTTTTTGCTCTCTCGTCCTCTGTTTTTCCCTTTTCCTTGAGGAACTTTTCTCATTTTCGAATTGCGAATTTTCTACTTGCTTAATTTTTAGGGGGTCTCTCATTTATTTTCTCCGGTTCGACATGTTTCGATTCGCATTTCTCATTTCGCATCGGGTTAAATGAGGGGATGCCCCGAGGTACTCCTTATCCCCTGAAAAAGAGATCTGCATTGTATCGGAGGTTGGATCTTCAATTCAGATCTTTGATGGTCTGTTCATGGATGATGGCCTGGCATCCCATCTTTTTCTTCGCTCAGTCTTTCCTTTTTCTCCGACCCTTCGGACATGAAGAAACGAAGTCATTCATCGAATTGCTCTGGGATCTGTCTTGTCACGTGCTCCCGGAATGACGACCTGTGAAGGACAAGCCAAACTGACTGTCTAGCCGCTCAGATATCTGTAACACAAATTCGGGTCTTCTCTTTTTTTTCCTCTTCCATTCAGCTGCGGCCTCCCTTGCTGTTTCTCGGGATGACCCACGGACACGACTTAGCAGGAGGACTCGCTTGCTTTCCTCGCGTCATTCGTGCGACCGGACTCCCGTGGACCCCCGAGGTGAGACGCGGGGAGGTGTGCGAAGTAGACAAGAGGCTGGCGTCATTTTAAATGTCGCGGCTGGTTTTATATTGTCCCTCCTTTTTTATTTTCCAAAACCAAGGACCTTGATGACGAGTAAATCACAGACTCGAGTGTGATCGGGGGACTTTTAGGCTGTGCCGTGCGTTCTTCTCCGTTGATCTGCGATTCTGTTTAGGAAGTCGGTTGGTTTTTAACCGCCACCTTGATTCATTCCATCGAGAGAAAAGAGCCCCGGGATATATCTTTCCAGTCCGTGGAAGCTGAGTGCAGTCTCACCTCCCTATCTCCGGCTTCCCACCCTCATCGAGGGCAAAGAAGTCGTCATCGTGAAGTTGTGCCGCGCTGCCCGCGCAGAAACACATGAACGGGTACCAAGAGTTGTCCTCCCTTCACGTAATAAATCCCATGTCTCACAACTCTATCTCAACCTCCGTCCCTCCTACCCACCCAACAAAACAACGCCTCGAAAGTCCTCTTTCACCTGCAGACATAGCGCCGGGTCTCCATTAACGTGAGACGCAGAATCGCAACCGGGGAACCGGCATTCTACGATGTTTCTCGTATCCATGGAAGGCCGCAGGATGGTGGGTCGCTAAGAACTAAGAACCTCCCTATGAGAGCGGCATAGGGGGGGTGTCAAAAAGCCTTATCCCGCGGTGTGGTTGCGGGGTTGGGGATGCGCGAACGGGTAAGGTCCGATTTTCCTCGTGTTTCTGGGGGTTCCGGGGCGCACAGCAGGGTAGGTTATTTTGCAGTTGGGGCATTCGAGAGTAGTCCCTGATTTGTGTCGGGGTCCAGCAGGACTCGTTGAGGGTAGAGGGACAGTATCCAACGTGCTGTTCCTCCAAGAAGGCGTCATCGAGGGAAGCAGTGGATGATATAAAGATATCAAAGATCCTCCATTCGGATGCAATTCTCTCAATATTCTCGAAGCCACAAGCACAAGAAAACTTGAAGACTAAGCTCTTCCACTCGTTTTTATAAGAACCATTTTGCAAGTTCTCGACCTATACACAACACCGAAATAATCCCCTCTTTACGCCCGGCATGCATTCATTGAAAGGCTACCTCGTAGGCTTGACGCTCAGCCTGATGCTGGTGTCGGAGACTACCTGCCACCCTGCTGATGTTGGTTCGTCTCTCTTGAAACGCGGCCGGGACTTTGGTGGTGGCGATGGCCACGGCCCCGGGTTCTATGGTGGTGGGGAGTAAGTTTAAACCTTTGTTCCCTTTTTCTCTCTGCCTCTTTGACATACCACGTGCTGACAGAGAGCCCCAGCTCCCCTTCTTGGAATGGCGACAAGCCCGATTACGGTGATGGCAAGGCCGGCCGCGGCGATTGGCCTGGGTATGGAGGCCCTCACGGACCGAGCCCCGAGGTCAATGCCCCTGAGGTTCCCAAGAAACCTGCTCCTGAGAAGCCAGCACCCGAGAAGCCCGCTCCGGAGAAGCCAGAGCCCGAGAAGCCAAAGCCTGAAAAGCCAAAGCCCGAGAAGCCAGAGCCCGAGAAGCCAAAGCCTGAGAAGCCAGAGCCCGAGAAGCCAGAGCCCGAGAAGCCAGCACCCGAGAAGCCAGAGCCCGAGAAGCCAAAGCCCGAGAAACCAAAGCCCGAGAAGCCTGCTCCTGAGAAGCCTGTCCCCGAAAAGCCAGTTCCTGAGAAGCCAGTTCCTGAGAAGCCCGTTCCCGAGAAGCCTGTCCCTGAAAAGCCAGTTCCTGAGAAGCCCGTTCCTGAGAAGCCTGTCCCGGAGAAGCCTATCCCAGAGAAGCCCGTCCCCGAAAAGCCGGTTCCCGAGAAGCCTGTTGTTCCCGTCGTCCCCACTACTGAAGCTCCTAAGCCTGTGGTGCCTACTCCCGAGAAGCCTTCCACGGCGGCTCCCGTCGTTCCCACCACCGAAGTTCCCGCTCCTAAGCCTACTACCGAAAAGCCCACTGAGAAGCCTGCGCCCACGAAGCCCGCGCCCTCGCCCGAGAAGCCGAGCCCTGAGAAGCCTGAGACCTCAACCGCTGAGGCAAAGCCGACCAACGTCCCTGTCAGTGCCGCCACTATTGGCGCGATTGCCAACCTTGGCCTCCTTGCTGGCGCTTTGGTGATGGCAGTGCTCGCCTAGGCCCCGCGGAGGATATGGCGTATCCACAGATGGGATTGATGTGATGATCGGATAGGATAGGATAGGATAATAGTGAGACAGGGTAACTTACATTCGTGGTGTAGTCTAATAATACGTGGCCTGCTTGGTGTAATTTTTATCTACATTTTTGCCTACGTTTTCGTCACCAGTGAACCCTTGATTTGCGACGTGAGATCAATGAATGCGGAGTCCAGGATGAAGGGACACGTTCTAATCATTTCAGAACAAGATTGTAGCTTTCCGTTACTGCAACTTGGGGGAAGAGTCGTCAGACAATGACATGATTCTCCAAGTCTGTGCAAGACGTCGAAATTGTTAGTGTTGCAACTATATTCCCCCTCACTACTTCGTACGGTCGCATTCTTCATTTGTTTCCATGCAGAATTAATTATTCTGCCACAGACACCCACGGACATCTCCCCCGCAGACCGCAAAACCTCCGAACCCAGGCAGACCATATCCAAAGTCGCGGGCATGTCACCGAGCATTTTGTCAACGCAATCCCGGTTCTGCGCTACGCTTCGGTTGGTGGACAATTTACGTAGCGAGATGAGCGGAGCGATCCGTTTAGGCTAAAGCGGTGATCTTATCCGGGTTCTCGGGAGCGTCAATTGGCCAAGCAGTGGAAGCGAACGGTCAGGGGTTTCCGGGGGGCTCGGACTTTGTGGACGAGGCCGCCGGCGTCAGTCACCCGAGGGGGGTTTGGCGTCTTTTTAGGCGAGGGGCCAATTCTGGTGATGTTCGATTAGACGTGGATATCTTGGATGTTTTCTCCCGGCCTTGATTTTCTCCGGCCACACAGGTAGAGGTTGCGCTCGTCAAGTCAGTGGCTAAGTCTAGGTTTTCAGCGGGACTGCGACGATGCCCGCTGGCCTTTATCCGGGCCCGTTCAAGGGGACCGTAACATCGGATCGGACGACAGGCTCGCTCGTGGTCGTGGAAGACCATTGATGCTGCTTCCATCGCCTGAGTGTGCTTCTCAGTCCGATGCCCTTAGTTTGCGGCCTGGGCTAGTCTCTCCTCAGTAGGCCCTGCATTAAATCGGTGCTCAGTTCGTTCGCGCTTCGTCCGTGAACTTACCAGGGTCTATTTCCATCATTTCCCCACACATTGGACGACGACGCAATGACACACTAACGCCCGCCCTATCTAATTCGTAGCGTAAACCCCATCAATGGGAACTTACATGGAGCTCACTTATCCACGATGGCATCCTACATGGATAACGTCGCGGCGCCCGTTGCAACTGTATTTGGTCAAGCAAACCTGCCCGGAATTTCTTGGTTCCCGGGTGTTGTCGAATATATTTCCGTCCAACCTACCCATGTGATTGGGAGACAACGTCGTAATGGATGGGCGTAGACGACAGGGACTGGGAGCTTGAGGTGTCGTCCATGAGGTGCCGACAAGGATGAAGGAACATCAGGATGTTTCTATGAGGCTTCTGTACCCACGGCACTCAAGCTGCCAGCAGGTATAAATCCTCTCCAGTCCTCCTTCACCATGGCTCCATCGACTCGGTAGTCTCTCTCTCTCCCCCCTTCCCTAGACAAGGCCCGCTCAGTCAATCCATCCACGTTCCCAAGTATCTTGCCTCGTTCTATTCTCTCCACTCAAACACAATGGTCAAGTCCGCATACCTCGCCGGCCTCCTAGCCGCCTGCACCCCGGCCGCGGCCCAGCTGCACAACCTCGCCGTCTCCGCCGGCCTCAAGTACTTCGGTTCCTGCCTCGACAATGGCCACCGCAGCGACGCGGGCTACATGAACATCATCAACAACAAGGCAGAAGTTGGCCAGCTCGTCCCAGAGAATGGCCAGAAGTGGGCCTACGTCGAGCCTAGTCGAGGAACCTTTACCTACACCGATGCCGATGTTGTTCCCAACATTGCTGCTGCCAACGGCCAGGTCTTGAGGTGCCACACTCTGACCTGGCACAGTCAGCTCCCCAGCTGGGGTAAGTCTTAACAAGCTTCACGAATCCTTCAGAGAGCTAACAACCATGATCCTTGTCTAGTTGAGAACGGCTCTTGGACCAAGGCTCAGCTTCAGTCCGTCATCGAGACCCACATTGCCAACGTGATGGGCCACTACAAGGGCAAGTGTTACGCCTGGGACGTCGTCAACGAAGCCGCCGACGACAACGGCAACTGGCGCGACAGCGTCTTCTACCGCGTCATGGGCACGGACTTCCTGCCCATCTCCTTCAACGCTGCCAAGAAGGCTGACGCCAACACCAAGCTGTAAGTCTTTTCTTCTCCTTTTACTCCCATGTTCCTCTCCGCATACTGATCTCTCCAAGGTACTACAATGACTACAACCTCGAGTACAACGGCGCCAAGACCAACCGCGTCTACGAAGCCGTCACCATCGTCCAAAACGCCGGCGCCCCCATCGACGGCGTCGGTTTCCAAGGCCATCTCATCGTCGGCAGCACGCCCTCCCGCGCCAACCTCGCCACTGTCCTCCGTCGCTTCACGGCCCTCGGCCTCGAGGTCGCCTACACCGAGCTCGACATCCGCCACTCCAGCCTTCCGGCCTCTTCTTCCGCCCTCACTACCCAGGCTAACGACTACGCTAACGTCGTGGGCTCTTGCCTTGACGTCGCCGGCTGCGTTGGTGTCACTGTCTGGGGTATGTCGGACAAGTACTCGTGGATTCCTCAGACTTTCTCCGGCCAAGGTGACGCGCTCCTCTATGATAGCAACTTAAACAAGAAGGCTGCCTGGACTTCCGTCTCCAGCGTCCTCGCTGCTGCTGCTACTGGCAACCCCAATCCCGGCACCACCCTCACTACCTCTACCCGAACCACGACTACTGCTCCTCCTGCTACTACTACCACTGCCGCTCCCGGTGGTGGCGCGGCACACTGGGGACAATGCGGCGGTATTGGCTGGACTGGCCCTACTACTTGCCAGTCTCCTTGGACCTGCACTAAGCTGAATGACTGGTACTACCAGTGCTTGTAAGTTGGAATATGTTGGGAAGGTGAAAAGGGGACAGATGAGTGGGCGGTGCATGAATAGATGGAAATAAGACAGCCAAGGGGGTAAAATCTACGATGGACCCTTTGGCTCATCTGTTTGATAAAATTATGTACATACCTTTCTTCTGGATATTCTTTTTTCTTCGTAAATATTATTGAGATCATACGTCAAAGTTTCTTTATATCCCACTCATAAACAATGAGTCGTTTGGCCCCTTCGACTTCATGCTATTGATTTTGTTACACAATCCTTTGACTCCATCCCACCAACGTCGATGATCAACTCGCATTGTCTCGACCGGTTCCGTGTATGACAATACCGTACTCTAAGGATTTCGAGAGATGGAGACACACCCCTTCATTTCCTATTCATTCAAGTTGGAGACTGGTATTTATTCTGGAAGCCGAGGCAACAAAGTATCGAAGACGAGATGGCTCATCGTAACCTTGATGCCAAACAATTGAAAGCGACTTGGTGTTTGCACAGCCAGGTCGAAGCCATTCATGGCTCATGTATGCAGTCACAAAGTCTATTTGTTTTCGACTCTTCTCCATAGATTGCATTGTCTCGATCCTCGTCGGCTCGATGACTCCTTAGCATCCAGATAGACTCCCGGGGTCAAAGACGGAATGGAAAACAAGTTACGTATAAAATGGCCGGAGGATCTTCTCGAAGTTCTTCTTGGATCTTCTTCTCCAGGCCAACATCATCGGATAGAAATCATTCCAACAATCTACTACCAGTACATCGCCAACTTCATCACGAAGGGCACGAGTAACTGATCATCCTTTGCGTCACAGATCCCACTCAAACGACTTATTCCATATTTCGACCGGAACCAACATCTTTTCCTCTTTGGACATACACTTCCGGCAATTCCTCTCTTCACCCTCGCCTATCGGAGATTACCGCCGGCTCTGTCGTCATCTATTCCAGCCTTTCAAGCGGACGAGGTAAACCAGGATCGAGATGCCGGTGTATACCGTGCCCCACACCGATCGCCAGCCGGCTTTCAATGCCGCTTTGAATCATTCTCGGGGCTCCTCCACCAACTCCAAGGGCGATCTAAACAAACTTGACCTTCATCCCAAGGAAATGAAGAAGTGTCTCGGGAAGCACATTAAAGGCCGGGACCTCAAGCCCGCTACTGACAGGTTAGTGGCTTTGGGGGAGAAAGGCAAGACAAGTTTGGAGGCGGAGAAACCCTCTGGCAGCGGTCAGAAGGACGAGGCATCAGGCACCTGGTCGTCCCCAGATATGGAATCGGGGAGCGATAACCGCCAGCCCCGGGGCTCGTTGGCTTTGGCCGAGTTTATTAAGCCCGACTCCTCGGCAACAAAATGCTGAACTGAAAAGGAGCCTGGTGTTCCGAGATGAGAAATAGGAGGAGGATGAGAAAGCAGTTCACAGGGTGGAGTTAATGCGAGCCTTTGAGTGCTGGTGACGCCCGGTTGATAGACACTTCAGAATGATATTAAATCAACTTTTTCCACACTGAATTCTCCATTGCTTCGAAGTTATCTAATCTCCAATTTGATGCTCATCGTAGCTCCCCACTTCGTCTAAGTCTCGAGCAGGTGGACGATCAAGGCCAGCTCATTGGTCAAAGCTCTTGACCCGTCATTAATCGCGGGGTTAGGAGCTTGGAGCTTGAGCTTCAGGCAAGCTGAAGCTCCCTCTCGGTGGGCACGGCTGTATGACAGACGTCGAAAAATAGACGGTGTGAAATAATGTGATTGAGATGAAGGAAGAGAATCGAGTCGATTTCAGCGTCAGGATTGTTCTTTCTCATTATTCGACATGTCTCAGTATTGAAGGAAGGAGCAGGTGGGATGACGTATTCCCATGTGAACGCCCACTTTGAGACAGCTACACGTGATAATCCCTCAGCTTTCTAAGAAACCACGACAGAGAAGGTGGACATCGCATCATCATAATTGCAGATCCAGCTGTTCCACTATCAAGAGAGCGGTTTTCATCTCTCACTCGCTTCATTTCCGTCATCAAGCAACGAGAATAAAATACCGCTACAGATTCGGAATTAAGAGAACGAAAGAAAAATGGGCGCTGACTTCAACGGTCCCGCCAAGGGCAAAGGCGTAGTCGGAAAACGGGTCGCGGGCCTCATCTCCTTTCTCACTCGGCAACTCGACAGGGTCGTTAGCCCCGATACGCGCCAGACGGCGTACAGTGCCGTGTATGATTTCGCCCAGGAACGTCCCCTACTTGCGGTATGACCTTTTCTTTCGTTTCTTTTCCTCTTCTTCTCTCTCCTTTTAGGCGTGAGGAGGGCAAGTGACATCGCCAAGCTATTCCTTGGAGTGCTTCCTAGGCGCTAGTCTGGCATTCTCTCCGAGGCGCTCTGGATAATAAAGGCACGGCGAAACTTATGCAATAAGAACTAACAATCTCACAGTCCTTCCTCTTCACCCAACTCCTCTTCTCCTTCATCCCCGTTCTCCTGTTCCTCACCTTCATCCTCTCCACGGCCGCATTCGCCTTTGGCGTCGCCCTGGTCTTCACCCTGTTCTGGGCCGGCGTCGCTCTCCTTGTTCTCGTGCCAACCATTTTCCTGACCGCCTCCGTTGCTGTTATCGCTTACGTTTGGGCCCTGTCGAGCTACCTACTTGCCCGCCAGGTGTACAGCTGGGTGCCTAGGGGCGATGGCCAGGCTGGGGGAGATAGCCACCAGAGCGTTTTGGCCGGCCAAGGTGGTGTACAGGTGGGCAATGGAGGTGTTGCGAAGTATGAGAGCGGAGTTGGGAATCCTGGTTATGGTACAGTTAAGATTGGGAATGAGTTGTAGGATGTTGATTTGATGCCCGAGCTCGGGTTAAGGGATATATTGTATCGGGGAATGGACAAACCGCGGATTAAGGTAAAGGGTATGGAGTATCATGGGACTCTGGGACTTCATTGGCCGTCCATTCATTACATCGATTATTGGAGCATTTCGGCGCCCAGCAGCGAATTAGTTAGGGCTCTTAGTTTGCGCTTTCAAAAGCGCCATGTGGGAAATAATGGTCATGGTCTTCTACTACCCTAGACGGTCCCTTGCTGCATGTCAGACCAGATTGATCATAGACTTGATTCTACCATCATCTGAATAGCACGGCAACGTGGGACCCGGTTTCTCATCCGGTTTTGTTCCCCACAGTCGCCTGCCAACCATGTGAGCAGGGAGCGTTGCCCTTTCATCCTACTCTCCTAGCGTAAAGGCGGACTGTAAACTGAATCCATTCCTCCAGCCACCCGCGTTTGAAAAGGCGTGTGGCGTTTGGCTTCGTAGACGCGACACGCCAGACTGGGAAGAGAGCTATTGAGGCCCAGGGGAAACAATGCATTATCTAAATCTGGGTTTGTCTGACAGAACACGCCGATGAATCGCGGGATTCAGGCCACCCAACTGGACCCTGTCAGGCAATTGAGCAAAAACAACACCCCTTCGGTGTGGGTCTCCTCGGTGCTCCTCGGTGTGAATTCGTTTGGCCTCGATCGGAAGCCACCAGGTCCGGACGGGGGCCTTTCTGGGGGCCATCACCGGGTTCCACAGATTATATGCTCACCATTTTTCAATCCTAGCTTAAACAGGAGAATAGAATCGGATGATGTTCTCGTCCTTTTGTTGTCTATTTTCAGAAATCGATCATTCAACGGACGCGACACAGAAAAAAAAAACCCCAATAGATTTGATGGATTCAACCACGCAAGCATTTCTTGGACGAAAATCCTTTCTCGAGTGGGAAAGAGTTGGAGGATGCGATCCCAGGAATCACAACGGAGATCAAACAACATCATCCCGTCCGTCCCCTTGGCGAAACGCTGAATATTTCTCCGTGTAGAGCACAAGAGTATGCCTAGACTGCGACAATCGAGCCCTTTGGCATCTTCGGGGTTCGGACGAAAGTTTTCAGTGCAGGGAAAGTAGGGCCGGTCTGACTTGCCCTCGAGGACTTTTGTCGGGCTCCGTTGGTGAACCCTCCCATGCCCAGGCCCCAGTTCACATCCTGAGACGGTTGCAAAGGGGCATGTTTCGCCCTCTTAGAGCGCACGTCCTTTATCTGCACTATTTGCACAGTAAAATTTCTAGCATGTGCTCCACGAGAGAGATGTTTTGTTTTACCTGCCAAGTGGAAATACGACGACAGGCAGGCATGGGCTGGAGAAACAGGAGAAGTGGTCTGGACTCGGGGAGGAAGGATTCGAACTGAACAAGATGCATGCTCTCCCTGAGATATCACAGCTTCAATACCATCATGGGCTATAGGGCTCTCCACAATTCCCAGGTAATTATTACTATTCCAAGGGCGCTGACGACGCGGATCAACGGGAAATGCTTCGCATCAGCCCTACTTCCGACTGACTGACAAACACACAAAAGGAACATCCTTCATATTGACCAGAACATAATTTTTTCTTGTCAGTTGGTCTGAGGCTCAATCTCGATATTCTTGTTCTTCTGGCTGGCCCCAGCAGCCTGAAGATTTAGAGTTATCCAAGAGGTTTAGAGTTATTCAAGAGGGTAGTACTACATAGCGAAAATTCCCCTAATGTCTCACCTTTTCAGGGGGCATGGGCAGCCACACCTGCAGCGGGAAGCCCCTGGAAACGCAGTATTTCGACCTATGAACTGTGCTGTTTGTTGCGCTGTTCCCGTATCTTTCGTATTCACACGGTATCGTATCCCTGTGATGCTTGGCACACCAAGCAAGGCGAAACTCGAAGGATGGCTGTGAAGAGGAAGCCTCCATACTTCGTACTAAGTAGGTGCGTGCTCGAGCATTTGTTGTTGTTGTTATCTGCACAGCCATCGGTATCTCAATGCTCGAATGTCGGACATCGGTATCTCAATCAGATTTGGAGGGAACTAAATAATAGTCCTCGCCAACAGTACTCCCCAGGCAGATTCCCCACACAGCTAGCCAAACTGGATGACAAGCAAGATCTACCCATAGTCTTGCCATCCGAAATATGAAATATTTGAAGGATTTTGACAGTCTAGGGTATCCCGATTCGGCAGTAAGCTCTCCACCAGTATGATACCAGCGGTCAACAAGAGCACCATTCCTCACATTGATTGGACTCCGGGGGCATTTGTGAGGGAAACTAAGGGCCCGGGGGACCTTCCTCCCGAATAACCTTAATCCTACGAGGAGAAGGAGCTGCCGATACTGAGGAATTGTACCTTGTCCAAGTTGGGGAAGTGCCCCCACAATCCTGGGTCGTGAAGTATCATTCCCCCTTAGGTACAAGAACCAAACAACTATTGCAGTTAACATGGTATATGGCGGAAGACTCGGGTAATTTGTACCTCCGAAATCCATGTACGTACGGCTCTTCAAGGAGAGTGTGATTGTGCCTGCGTTTTAGTAATGCACCTTCCCAAAGAGAAGTCGCTACCCTGGTCGCCATTTGGCTCGGACCCTGGTTCGTTGTCCCTCTCTTGTCTCAGCGTCCCCAGTCCCCGTCTGTGATGTCTGAAAACCTGCAATGCACCACACACTGGGACTCGAGCACCAGCACGCATTTTCTGAGGAAATCCGAGCCAAGCCTCCCAACGCCTCTTCCGACCAAGCCTCAATTCCCTGACTAGCACCACCGAGATGGATTTCGGGCCTAAACGCAGGCAATCGAGCGATGGCCACCTCAATCAGAAACTCTCTTTAGATCGAGCTCGAAGGGAATACGAGCGCTTGGCCACCGAAAGCCAGGGAACTAGAACTTTTTCTCGGAATTTCATTCTACCCCCTAAGGAATGAGTGGCCTTTGGCGATCGGCGAGTGATCTCCGTCCAAGGCCGCTCCGCTCTAGTTATCCCTGGTTACGAGGCAACTTGCACTGATGTCGACAGAGCAGATCGCCAAGGACGATTTCCGTCGCATTAAGGCAAATCTCGGATCCAGCCGATCCTTCTGCTCAACGTCTCTCTCAATTGGACCTCGATTGGACCAAGTGGGGGGTGGCAAGGTGCCACCACGAGGGAGGACTGTTACAGATTCCCCAGCATTGACTCCTAAGCCTCCTAATAAGCCCCCTCTGCCAGAAAGAGACTGCGTGGGTATGATTGCGACTGCTCGAGAACAGCAGCGTATCTCCAAGTGGTAGAGCCAAACGCTTCACCTGCCCATGCCTCTTCTTGATATTGGAGATGCAAGACAACCACTCCAATCCCGCCAGCAGCTAAGGAGCCCATACAGTGCGTCCAAACCATCAAGCTTGATTCTCCTCACACATGCTGAGGACGTTGGGTGGTCAATTGCTGGAGTTGAGTTCTCTTATGATTCTACACCTTATTATTGTCATACACACCAAAGAAAAAGAAGGAAAAAAAGGTACTGAGGTACAACCCCCCAAGTCAATAGTAGCTCATTCCAGCTGCGAACCCTGGGACTGCCAAGCCTTCTAGCCCACCCCTGCTTCTCCGATGGAGCACTGACAAGGGCCAGGGACTCAAGCTTTTCTCAGCCTCGATCTTTCTGCGGCTCTGTCGTTCGCTGGTTTTGTCCTTTCTGCGGTCTGTTATACCTTTCATCCACACTAAGAGACGATGGTACCTCAATCGTCCCGGGTCCAGATGTTTCTGGACAACGGGATGGAGTCAACCACCCCTGCCTACCCTGGTGTAAGTCCGGGTACCTTTCTCGCCATCATGAATCTCTCCTCCGCCAATGTAGCGAATGCCCCTTGAGACACGCTCCTCCACCTGTCCTGATAACCAGTTGGGTCCCGTATCAGCCTCTGTGGTTGCGAGGCCATCCCATTCCGGAAAGGGGGCAGAAAAATCACAGTACATCAGCTGGGGTGTGGGATTCGAAAGGGCAGCCCATCGTTTACGTGTGCGGTACGTATCATCGCATCCGACCACCAGGATAGAAAGGTGTATTATTATTATAAGACTCTCGGCGCTGCAGTGATCGCCATTGTTTCCCTCCCTCTCGCTCTCCTTCTTCCTTCCCCCATCCCCTTCGTTCGAGCCGGTCTTTCTGTTGTTACGTTCGTTTCTTTTCCCGTCAGCGGACTATTCTTCCTTTCGACGGGTTTGTTGGGGTCGAGAAGAAGACTACTCGTAATACCCTTCTAGTCTATCCTTCTTCCCTTCCTTCTTTCATCAGCCGAGCTGGCATCTCGATCTTTTCTACTTTTTATTTGAACATCTTTCCTTTCTCCCTTCCCTCTCGGAGTAATCGTTTATTCGAAAGGGGTCTTTCGTTGGAAAGACATAGTCGATTCGGTCCAGCATTCGAGTCGATTATCAGCAGCTTAGGAAATACGAACCTCCCCACCAGAAGAAGACCCACATAGCAACTCGCCAATATGCTCTCCCCACGATCAATAGTGGCCGCAGGGCTCGCCTTTGCCTCCGTCGTCGTTGCCACCCCGCCGCCGCCACCTAACTACCCGCCGCACTGCCCCCACGAATGTGTGTTCGCCGTGACCGTGACCGAGACTGTCCACGTCCCTCAGATTGTCACCAAGACGGTTCATGTTCCTCAAATTGTCAAGGAGACAGTACATGTTCCCCAGATTGTGAAGGAAACTGTACATGTTCAAGTGCCGGTCCATGTTACCGTGACGTCAGTCCTTGAGAAGATTGTCACTAAGACGGACGTCCAGAGGCAAGAAGTTACCAAGGTTGTCACCAAGACGGATGTTCAGAGACAGGAAGTCACCAAGGTCGTCACTGACATCAAGACCGCCGTCGAGACGAAGAACGTCGTGCAGACTAAGGAGGTTACCAAGGTGGTTACTCAGCCCGTCACACAGGTCGTTACCAAGACGGATGTGAAGAACGTGGTTCAGACCAAGGAAGTTACCAAAGTCATCACTCAGCCTATTACGCAAGTCGTCACGAAGACGGAGGTCAAGAATGTGGTTCAGACTAAGGAGGTCACTAAGGTTGTTACTCAACCCATCACCCAAGTTGTGACCAAGACAGACGTAAAGAACGTGGTCCAGACGAAGGAGGTCGTCAGGACAGACGTCAAGACCATAGTCCAGACCGAGGTCAAGAACGTGGTCCAGACTAAGACGGAGGTCCAAGATAGGGTGGTCACCGTCCCGGTCACCGTTCCTGTGAACGTTCCTGTCACCGAGGTCAAAACCGTCAAGGAGACCGTCCAGGTCCCCGTCAAGGAGACTGTCCAAGTTCCTGTCGAGAGAGTAGTCACCGTCACTGCAACCGTGTGCGAGACGGCAAATGCAGGTGCGGGCATGGCCCACGAGACGCCTCCGGCCCACGTCGTTCCGCCTGTACACGTCACTCCACCCGTACATGTCGCTCCGCCTGTGCATGTCGCCCCGCCGGTCCACGTCCCGCCAGTGGTCCATGTTCCTCCCGCAGTCCATGTTCCGCCGGTCCACGTTGCTCCTGTTCAGAATCAGCACAACCCCATCCTGATCGCGGTCCCCATTAACGGCGGCCACCACGTAATTCCTCCTGCGCATCCCACCGCCGCCGGCCATCCCGTGGTCGTTACTACTACCCAGGTGGCGGAGGCGGCGACCGCGTATCCCACTAGGCCAGCCTACAGGCCGCGGAGGTAGACATGTGAACGGGTTCTAGAGACATGAGAGAGAATAATACGTCAATGTTAGGGAGGAAAGCTGGAGGATCCTTCGTTCTGTTTCCCACCCCAATGATTTAATCGAGGCAAACACCGAGAGCTGTGGAATATATTTATTTTTCCTATATACATTATACATACCCTCCTACCTTCACTTCATCTATTGCTTAGACAGCAAACGAAGTCCCCTTACGGCCAATATATTTATGACCAATATATTAATCTCCGATGGGACACTTTTCTTCTCTCTTTTTATTCCTTTTTCTACTTAACCATATCCATATCTTTTTTTTCCTCCTTTCCGCAAGTGAAGGGCGCCTCAGGACCAGGAGAGGACGGGGGTTAGATCTCCCCTGACACCCTTTTTTTTAGATGAATCAAAATGGCTTGGGTGTTTGAGTGGATATTTACTTAGATTCCTGGATACCCGAGCGCACAAGAATATGTTGATGAACCATTTCTGCGGAGCTTTTTGTGTTTTGTGTGCCTTGACAAGAGGAGTTGTTTGCCTGTTTCCGTGATCATCGAGTGAAGTATTGCTTATAGCTGAAGACCTACAAAGTAATTCTCAGTAGAGAATGGAAACGGCTGAGAAAAGAAGAGGAGGAAAAAAAGGAGCTCCCGAAGAGCAAATGTCATTAAATTTTTTTTTGTCTAAAAATGGCAAAATGAAAACATCATGCCCTCTGAGGGGATCGAACCCTCGACCTCTGGATATCTCGGAAGTGTCTCTTTCGAGTCAAGATTATGAGACCAGCGCTCCACCGACTGAGCTAAGAAGACGGGTGTTTCTTGTTGAATGAGGCCGGCTTAACGGACTTTGTCCAGCTTTGTGGGACGTGGGACTGGGGCTGGGAAGGAACAAAAAAAAAAAATTGTAACGAGAACTTGGCATTGGGAAAAAAAGTTTGATGTGGAGGGGATGAAATGGTGGGATTAGGAGCAAAAAAAGCTGTCCTCTGAGGGGATCGAACCCTCGACCTCTGGATCTCCCGGTAGTGTCCCTTCCGGGTCATGTTTATGAGACCAGCGCTCCACCGACTGAGCTAAGAAGACGAGTTGTTACGAGCTGCGTTCTAATTGTAGATTATAAATCATTGACATGTCGTCGACACATTTGTGGGGGAGTTTTGCAGGTGGCGGCGGTTGGCGGTTTGCCGCAGGTCGAAGTGCAGAATGTTCGTTCCTGCGTCTGAAGAGTACAGTCGATTGCTTCATGCAAGGAACCGGTGAACGCCGAGCGAGATAGCGGGAGTATGGATGTAGTATAGAAGCCGGTTCTTGCGGATTCAACCTAATTTTCTAGGGGACTGCATCTGAGCTCTCGAAGCGGGAGAGATTGAGACATCACGAGGAAGAAGTTTGGAGGAACATCATCACAGAGAGATCTCCATGCTAAGCAGGAATCTGAGCCAATCAATAAATTCGGACTTTAGCAGGAACGGTTCCCATCCCCACCTGCAAGCAGCGAGACTCTCTTCGAGTTTTTCCAATCCTCACTTTGCTTTGCATGGAGTTGATGAGCTGAAGGCCAGGAGGAGCGTCTGTCTTCAATCTTGCCTGGCGCACGGACCATCTGCGCATGCGACCAGAGGCTGAAAGCTCAACGTCAACTTCGAGCTTGCTTTGCTCCAGGCAAAAGGCCTACTTGACATCCTCCAACCCACCATCACCTCGCCTTGTGCGAAATCCTCCCACCCACAACGTCACCCTCTCCCGATGATCCTGCCCCGTCAAAATCCACAACCATGGACGCCATAGAAGACATCCGCTACCGCCAATCCACCCAATTCCGCATCTGGTCCTACTCACGCTCCAAGCTCGCCGAGCTTCGCGCCAAAACAAACGCCCTCGCCACCACCCACATCACGAACCGCCTCGCCGCCGCCCAAGATGGCCAGCCCTTACCCGAATTCCTAACGCCGCAGGAGGAGGAGAAGCTCCTCAAGTTTTTTACTGTGGAGTTATTGCGCGCCGCGGCCTTTTGCGAACTGCCGACCGAGATTAGGGCGACGGCGGCGGTTCACCTGAGGCGGTTTTACGTGACGAATTCGGTTATGACGTATTCGCCGACGGAGCTGTTGAAGACTTGTTTGTTTTTTGGGTCGAAGGGGGAGGGGTTTTATACGAGGCTTTCGAAGTGAGGAAAAGAAGTCTCTTTTTATTCTTTCTTTCCTGTTGGAATCGAGGGCTAATGGGATGACTGAGTGGACAGGTTCGCTGAGAAGTTCCCAAACACGACAGCTGAAGAGGTTGTCGCGGGCGAGTTTCTTCTTTGCCAGGGTATACGGTTTTGTTTCGACGTGCGCCATCCTTTCCGGGCCCTCGAGGGCGTTATCCTAGAGCTGCGACGTCTCTATCCCGATGAGGTACTGCAACCTTTCGAATCTAACTCGGATCGAGACCGAACGAAAACTAACTCTCTTCACAGAGGTCGCGAATCGACAGAGTGCACGCCCAGGCCAGACACATCCTCAAGTTCAGCCCCCTCATTACCGACGCCTACTTCCACTACACGCCGAGCCAAATCATGTTCGCCGCACTACTCATGGCCGATCCCGAGCTAGCAGAGCGATTCATTCAGCGATCTTTCGACTTCACTGCCTCCCAAGCTTCCGCCAACGGAAAGACCGAGTCGCCCGTGAAGCCCGATACAGAGGCGCTTGAAGCTCTACAAAGAAAGATCGTCCAGACTATCAAGTCGTGTAGAGAGCTTCTGGAGACGGAGCCGCCTGAGAGGATGGATAACTACTGGGGAACGGTATGTCTCTTGATACTTTTTTTTATCACCACCCACCACCCCTCACTAACCAAACCACCCCCACACAGGCCGAGTGCAACAAGGAGATCCGCCCGTTACTACGAAAGCTCAAGAAGTGCCGCGATCCCGATAGGGCGGACCTCGTGGCTCTTCAGAGAGCTAGGCGGGAACAGGCGGTGAGGAAGGACCACGCTATCAAGCCGCAGGACGACGGTTCGGTCTTTGGCGGTGGGCTTTCTGACGGTGCGCAAGCGAGGGAGGCGAAGCGTAGGAAGGTGGGCGGAGCTTTGGAAGATCCGTTTGGACCTGCTCTCTGAGGGAGACTTGGGGGAGGATAATGTGTCCAGGCGCTGGAGCGTGGTCAATGGATCTTTTGAGGTTTCTCTGTTCATATTCGGCTCTTCTGGAAGGCGTGTCATGAGGGAAAGTTTGGGTTTGTATGATAGATGTGTATGTGTATATGATTATTGAATTGCAATATACCCAGTCAATTCCAGCAGTTTATTTTATCCCTCATTACGTTTGCGGCTTCCGACATGTTGTTTTCGTGTCGTCCTGTTGATTTCACCAGGGAGGTGGATCTCAGTGACTGCTAACTGGCAGAGAATAATGGAGCGTTGCTGTCATGGCCGAGCATCGAAATGGCGAGGAAACATCAAACTGAAGAGGAGAGGCCTCAATTGCAAAGGGACATATTCTCGAGTTTGTACATGACTAGTCCTCCTTCTTCTCCTCGCCCATTTCTCATTCCAAAGCTAACGGGCCGCTCTTAACACTAGCTAGGCATTACCCACTCAACAATGATCATGGTTCACATTAAATCTCACCCTAAGTTCACATAGAAAAGAAAGCGAAAGCGATATGGGTATTCCGAAATTGACCGAAGACAAGGGTTTATCTTGGGGCATGTGCTTCACAAGAATTGGAGGAACTTCACCTCCCAATCACAGACGGAGAAGTTCAACGTGAAAATACAAGAATTTGTTTAGCAAGAGAGACTTTATTCAATAACAAGAGGAGGTAAGCTGCCTGCAATACTTGTAGATTTATTGAGAACGTACCCTCATCCCGAATCCCTCTGGCAACTCAAGTTCTGCTCATCTGTTCCCCAAGACCCTGAAACATCTCCCATGTAAAGGAACACTTTACAGTTACGCATTCGATAGGATCCATGGTGATGACGGACAGTCAAGCGTGTAAAACCGTAGAATCCTGCATTTAGTTGTTTCTTCTAGGCTCTGATTGCGGGAAAAGATCATCTCGTTCCGGCTGATGCAGACAGACTTAGACGACATTCTGGATAGGTTTTGGTATGGTATATCTGTATATCTTGGGAGATGTTCAAAGGTTCGTCGACTTTCTTTAGTGGTTGTTGGCTTTTTAGGAATGGATCAAAATCCGGAAGCAGTGGTTGTGCTTGTTTTTGGGAAGTTCCTATTTAGGGCAACCCGTCTGACTCCTTACATGGCCCCCTTCGTAAAAAGTCATGGTGACAGTGTTGACGAGTCGTTGGATCTTGTGTTTCGAGTCTATATTTCCATTTTCGGTGGATTGGACTTGGTTCTTGAAGAGTTGAAGACCGTTTTGATACATCTTCAGCGAGAGAGGAAACCCCAGAGTCCAAGATGCCTGTGCAATGGCACCCTGCCGTCTGGAAGATTGTGAATTGCCACCTATTACACTAGAAACCATCATCATCCAGAATGCAATACCGAGAAGCAACGCTTATAACCCCCATCGGCAGGGACATTCCAGTTATTTTTGGCCCTTTTCTATCCGTAAAAGAACCACGGTAAGGACGAATGTCCAACTTTATGGCGGCGGCCTGGTGGTTGCCATCTGCATCGGCGTCACACCCCGGCCCTCCCCCTCAGAAGGGCTTGCTCCCCAACATGCACCTCTAAGGAATCATCGCCAGAAGAGCTTTTGCTTTCCGAATCGTCTGGTATGTGCACAAGGTTTTCGATTTTATAACGTGAACCGGTCCTTTTAACAGAGGATGATGCTGAGGCCAGGGGTTCCCGCACCTTAGTCTCCTTCCCTCAGAACCGTCTGGGTGAAACTCTCCTCCCTCGTACCAGTTAAGGGAATCGAGGACTCCCAATGTATTCCTTTGTTGTCGACTCATTCAATGATTAGGTCGAGTAAGCTCCGTCACTATCGCAAACCAACCGATGGTGTGGACCAGCCACCTGTGGGGCTTCTCTTGATATTGATATGCATTTCGCGCAAGAGCCACCTCTTTCTCCCAGGCATCGTGTGGATAAGAAGGGGAGAACTGTCAGATACATACCCAGTATTGTCCTGGGGTTCAACTTCGAGCCGCGGTTTCTTTTCTCGTTGAAGCCTGGGGGTTCTTCAAGACCTCAGGATACAAGCCAAACAGAGCGGGAAAGTCGAGTCATACGGGCTAACTGCGGAAAGAGTTGCCTTATGCGTTAGTCTCTGTCTCATTCTAGACACTCCGTTGAGGCTGACTCTATTTCACCCAATGTCGTTGTGCGAGTTGCTTTTCCTCTGTTCCAATCTCGAGAAAATTCGTCAGAAGGCAAGTAACAAAAGACTTGTGGAAATATTCTGTGCTCTCCGGACTGTCTCAATGTGCTTCAAATCCAGGCCAGTATCTTTGCTGAACTTCTTGATGGTTGATTCATATCCGATGTCTTTATGCCTTGCCCGAGCCATCTTCGGACCGGTTCAATACTCATTATACAGCTGGGAGCGAAATCGGTTTCCGCTTTACACTCTTTGAAAAATTCTGAGCACAGACCATGACTACTTAGAGCTACCTTAATGATATGGCAGAAATAGCAAGCATTAGAAGTACTTCTAAGTATATAGCAATCCAACAGAGCTCTTGCCTGCTGCCACACAGTACAGGATTTACGCAGAGACAATCCATGTACCCGCTTGACCTGACCAAAGTCGCTACTTAATAACATCCAGGTGCCAATCCCTCCCTGCCAAAACGTCGATAATTATATTTAGGAACGTTTATTAAATATTGTCCTCTATAAGAGAGCTGAATATAGAGTAAAAATTTAATAAAAAATAGTATCCTAGCCACCACTCCATTGATCCAAGGCATCCAAAGAGGAGAGTGTGTCTGGATGCTCTAGGCCCAGTATTCTCTGCCGAGCATGGACACAGCTCCTCATCAAAGCCAGCGCATCTGCAAGTCGCCCTCGCGATTTCCAGGTCCAGGCTAGGTTATTCATACTAGTAAGCGTGTCAGGATGATCATCCCCAAGCTTCACCTTGCGAGTCTCCATCACCTGCACATCCAGCTTCTCAGCCTCCTCCCATCGGCCCTGGTTCCTATATGTCAATGCCAAATTAGCCATGCTGGTGAGCGTAGAGGGATGATCATCCCCAAGCTTCACTTTGCTCGTCCCCACAACCTGCACAAAGAACTTCTCAGCCTCCTCTAATCGGCCCTGGTTCCAAAGCGTCAACGCTAAATTAGCTATGCTTGTAAGTGTGGAGGGATGATCAGCCCCAAGCTTCACGTTGCGAGTCTCCATCACCTGCACCTCTAGTTTCTCAGCCTCCTCCCATCGGCCCTGGTTCCTGTATGTTGATGCCAAGTTGGCCATACTAGTGAGTGTAGAGGGATGATCAGCCCCAAGCTTCACCTTGCTTATCTCCATCACCTGCACCTCTAGCTTTTCAGCCTCCTCCCACCTACCCTGGCTCCTATATGTCAACGCTATATTTGCCATGCTAGTCAATGTGTCGGGATGCTCTAACCCTAGCACCCTCTTTCTAGTCTCCATTACCTGCACATCTAGCTTCTCAGCCTCCTCCCATTGGCCTTGGTCTCTATATGTCGATGCTAGATTCGCTATGCTAGTTAGAGTTGAGGGATGCTCTGACCCTAGCACCCTGTTTCTCGTCTCCATCACTTGCACATCCAGCTCCTTAGCCTCCTCCCACCGACCTTGCATCCAAAAAGTCGATGCTAGGTTTGCCATGCTAGTCAGCGTGTCGGGGTGCTCTAACCCTAGCACTCTCTTACTCGTCTCCATCACTTGCACTTGTAGCTCCTCAGCTGCCTTCCACTGGCCTTGGTTTATATACGTTGATGCTAAGTTTGCCATGCTAGTCAACGTGTCGAGATGCTCTAACCCTAGCACCCTCTTACTCGTCTCCATCACTTGCACTTCTAGTTCCTCGGCCTCCTTCCACCGGCCCTGGTTTCTGTATGTTGATGCGAGGTTGGTCATACTGATCAGCGTGTCGCGATGCTCGGACCCTAGAGTCCTCTTTTTCTCCAACACTTGCACCTCCAGCGACTCAGCCTCTTTCCACCGGCCTTGACTTCGGTCAACCTCCACTAGAGCAACACGTTCCAACGGGCGAGAGAGGTCCAGCCCTTCGACAATATTGAGTGCAAGCGCCGCCGATGGTCTGTCGGTAGGCTCCTTTTCAAGCATTTGCCGGACCAATAGCCTAATGCGAGTGCGGAAGTACCCCAACGTAGTATTATCAGGAACAGAAGGAGGTACCCCATGTAGGTCTTGTAGGACGCTGTTTACAAGATTTGCATTATGCGCGAATTGGCATGTGCCGGTTCCCATCGCTGCGTTGTACACAGTTTGAAGGCCTGGCCAGGGACTGAGGACGCCTTCCATTAGGGCAAAGCAACAACCAAGAGAGAAAATATCAGACGCTAAAGTCGGGTCCTGATTCGTGATTTGCTCTGGCGCTTTGTACTCATATGTTCCAGTGTTCGCCGTCGTGGCACCATCAATATGCTCCTTGCTGATTCCGAAATCAATGATGATAGGGCGGACCTCTGGTTTCTCGGACCTATCAAAGAAGAGGAGGATGTTGTGAGGTTTGATGTCCTTGTGCCTAATGGGATTTGGCTGTTGGCTGTGAAGATATTCCAGGCCACTCAAGCATTGTCGCACAATACTCGGCCAAGGGTCTAATCCCTGAGGCTTGAACCATGAGCAAATAGTCGAATGGCCGGATGAGTTAGCAAGGTCCTGGATGAAGTGGTGGAGAGATACCGGTGCCCAAGGCTTCGTCACGAGGCAGATAGTGTGCAGCATTCGGTGGCCCGGAATATCGATGATAAACGCCTCTTCAAGCGCGAGAATATTCTCATGCCGAAATTGTTGCAGGAATTTGATTTCTCGGGCTACATTCAGGCGATCTTTGGCGGACACGGCCTGTATCTCTTTGATCGCATAAACATCACCCTGCCCGACGAACGGTCTCGCCGAACGGCGAGTTGCTCGGTAGACCGTTCCGTAGGACCCCTTGAAGGATCCCCACGAGTCATCCCGTACGTATGGAACATCTTGGA